AACCTATTTCAAACTCATTCAGGAAACAAAGTGTCTTACGATAAAAATAAACACCCAGGCAAATACATTGTTCGCAGAATGCGGTTGCCATCAATCCACGACTATTCACAACCATAGATTAAATATAATATTTTTCTATTATATATACCACTGAGTCGAATGTCATTAAACCGTGCATTATTGTGTTAACAATATTGTTTATTACTCATGCCTATATTATAACACAAATAGCAAAATTTTATCAAAGTAATTTGTATGCCACCATAAACTTCAAGCGATAACAAAACGGTACACTTTATTTTACAACGCGAGATTTGATGTCCGGTCATATTGGTATCACGTTTTATTATTATTATTATTTATTATTTCACTATTAACTGTCCACTGCTGGTCATAAGCCTTCCCCATAAAGTATGTTTTGCCAGTAATTTTAAGAGGGACTCTGCTGCCCATCGCTCGACCATTAAGCTTCTTACGACACCCATGGGAAAGGAAGGGGTGGCCCATTCTATGCCGGGGCACACACGCCGAACCTACGTGCATAAACATTTTCTAGCTACTACTTTAAAGATAAACAACATTGTAAACTAGTGACCCGGCCCAGCTTCGCTCGAGTAAATAGAATTTTCTAAAATAATTACCTCTCTTATTAATAAAAAACATAAAAACTCTCATAAACCTATTTTAGCAATTGAACTGTTGTCTCTTTATTTTGTTCTAAATTCCCAATTTAAAAGACAGTGGCAAAACAATGTAATAATTAAAATAGGTTTATTTTAATGGGTGATAATGGAATGGTGACCCCGCCTGCACTATCGCTATGCGCTGGCGAGGCACCAGTGAGGGATGATAGGTGACGATGAAAGCAAATCAGTTAGCCCATCGTGACGAATTTCGCTAGAATTAACCATAATGGTTTCCAGAGGAAACCGTGTGGAGGTCGACCTGATAGGGTGTATTACTGACAATGGGTCAGTTAGACCCCATTATTAACAATCCCTTTCCTCCCAGTTAAAATAGGTTTGTAGGTTTTAGTTTGTAGTAATAAAGGAGTTAGTATATAAGCCTATGTTACTTGGTGATAATGTGGTCCCGGCATAGAATAGGCCACCCTATCTTTTCCCATGGGTGTCGGAAGGCGACTAAGGGAACTTATGGTCAAGGGATGATCAACAATATACCTCTTCAAACATCACCAAAGTTCGGAGGAAAGAGATAGTAATGGAGACTGAGAATCCCATTGTTAGAAATATACCCAACCAGGTCGACCTCGCGGTTCTCCCTGGAAACTATCATGGTTAATTCCTGATGAATTCATCATGATGGGCTAACTGGCCTGTTTTCATTCTTATCTATTACCCGTCACTGGTGCTCCGCCAGCGTATCCCGTTAGCGCAAGCGGAGTAACCATATCATTTTCACCCATCAAAAAAAAAATATCACCAAAGCCTAACTGCAGAGGTCAATCTGCCTGCCAAGCGCGGCAGCTACTGACAAAACCCGCCAACAGGGGGAGGCCTATACTCAGCAGTGGACAGATAACGGTTGATAATGTATGTTTCTATTGATGAAAGAATTTTTAAAATAGGTTGAGTAGTTTTTTTTTTATTTATCTATTACAAACAAAGAATGGAACAAACATTTCTTTCCCGTTTGTACCATATGAATGAATGAATGAATGAGTATACTTTATTTGCATTATACAATACAGGAAATAAGCAAGACAATTTACAAACACAACGATACAATTGTATAAGTACAGTAAGGCGGTCTTATTGCTGAGAGCAATCTTTTCAAGACAACCTTAAGGTTACCATATGTATCATTACAGATTAGCTTTTGTTATGACACGATAATGGAATGGTAACCCCGCCTGCGCTATCGGTATGCGCTGGCGGGGCACCAATGAGGGATGATAAGCAAGTCAGTTGACTCATTTTGACGAAATTACCACTAATTAACTACGACAGTTTCCAGGGGTACCGTGTGGATATCAACCAGATAGGGATGTAGGCTGTCAACCTTCATACTGTATAATTATGTTAAAGCAAATGCTGTGAATACCTTTAAAAAGCATGTGCACTAATTATGTATTTAATGTTTGTTATATGTATCTGTTATAATGCAATATGCTGATGTGTTCCTATAAATAAAGAAATAAAAGAACCTATGTAGTTTTAGAAAAATAAATAGTGACATGCTTGACACTCTTCTTTAACAATTAAGTTTACGAAAAATATAATTCGTTATTTATTATATGCCTAGATTTATTTATTGTAAATATTATTATTTATATTATCCCATACTAAATCTTTCTTTCTTTCACTCCTTCTATATATCTATGTATATAATAATATGTATTTAGAATAATTATTTGGACATACGTAATTGATAAATTTTTACTTAACATGTGCTAAGACAAAATTTGCATGCCTTTAGATAAGGCGAAATGTGTAGCTCAGCTACCATTTAAGACCTTTATACCACATTTCGAGCAAATAAATTATTCTTATTCTTATTCTTATATCATCAAGCTTACTTTCACAGGTATATCAGTATTAATACTGTAAAGAAAAATTTGATTGTTTATTTGTAATGGATAACTTTAAAACTACTCAACCAGTTTTGAAATTTCTTTCATCTATTAAATACTATATTATCAGGAAGTAACATAGGTTATAGGTTATTTTCGAAAATTCTATTTACCCGTGCGAATTCGGGCCAGATCGCTAATTGCCAATCATAATTGTACTTTGCTGCAAGCGCAAATCTGTCAGTGTGTACTGACTCTATCTTGTTATCAGGTGCAGTCATCATGTATGGGTCAATACAGTTATCGGTCGAGAAGTACATTCAATGATTAATACATACTATATGTACGTACTATCATAAAACTCATTAAAATGGAGTAAATTTTAAAAAATTAAATGCATAATATTAACCCATAGGCCAATAATCTATTTTTTATACCATAAAAGAGATAGAAAAGATGCAGTAATTATATATTTTACCCAACTTCAAAAAAGGAAGAGGTTCTATGTTCGATTGCATATTTTTTTTTGTAGAATATAATTAATAAATAACAAATATTTAAAAAAATTAAATAAAATAGTTATTTATTTTACTACTTGTTAACACAATTAACATTCTCTTTTCTGAATATTGACGTACAAATAACATTACAGATAACTTTTTGAATTATCATGCACAATTACAATTTTGTTAGTATTAAATGAATATTAAAAAATTAAATTAAATTACAATCTCAAAGTATTGAGTGAAAAAAAAAAATATTTACCAATATTTATCAACTGTTTAAAAATAAGATTAACTATACTTATTACAGTAATAAATTATGATATGTTATCACACTCATATAAATTGGAATGTACAAACAGAAATAACATTTCGGCTGTAGCCTGATAGATTCATGTTTTTCTCTACCGGTTTTTTTTTTGTTTTTTGATGGGTGAAAATGGTATGGTAACCCCGCCTGTGCTAACGAGATACGCTGGTCGAGCACCAGTGAAGGATGATCGATGAGAATGAAAACAGGCCAGTTAGCCCATCATGATGAATTCACAAGGAATTCACCATGATAGTTTCCAGGGAGAACCACGAGGAGGTCGACCTGGTTGGATATATTGCTAGCAATAGGATTCTTAGTCTCCATTACTAACAATCCCTTTCCCCCCAACCATCTAACATATTAGATGACTATTAGTATTAAGAAAATTATTAGTTAAAATTAATTTGTATAATAGGTGTTAATAAAGTTACCCAAACCTTGTCCCTTTCATGTTTACCAGAGGGAGACTTTGTACAAAAGTCGATTGCTTGGGAACCTCTGTCCCATTTGTGTTTCAACCGTGAAGCAGTTGTGTTTGCATGGCTGTGTTTCGGTTGAAGGAATATGGTGTGAATTTACAGGGTACAGAGGAATAACACTTGAGTCCTCAGGAATGGCAACACATGGGGGTATCATGGGTAAAACAGTATACTCTGTTATGTCCATGGTACTGCTCATGTTACCATGTTAGGCAACGGTTACCACTTTCCATCAGATGGGCCGTCAGCTTGTTTGCCATTCTAAGTTGTATAAAAAAAAATGTTTTTGCAGCCAAACTACCATCCATAAATGTCTGGCTTTATTTCAATGGTATGTAATGGCAATATAAATAACACACATAGAAGAATAATATTTTGACTATAGGAAAAATAATACATTAAATATTACAGAGTATTCTACAATATACATGGCACTGTTCATATCTATATATAGATGAAGAGCATAATTTTCAATAATATTCTAAATTGCATAAAAATGTTGCTTAAAATGTATCTACTAACTTCAATTTATATAAGGCATTATTCAGAACTACACATCTTAATTACTGACACACTCAGACTTGTTTAATGATTATTCAGGTAACTCCTCAGTATACATTTAAAAAAGTCCATCTCAGAGTTACTAAAGGATTTAGGGGCTGTTAAAAGCAATTACCAATTTTGTTATTACATCAATTAACAATTTAAATTTTTATTAACTTATTACATCTCATTAGTATTAATTTAACTAATCTCTCCGAGTATGGCAGTTAGGTATATTCTACAGCTTTACCAGCAGAGATTAGAATAAATAAAAGTATTGGAATAGAATAGATTTTTTTTATTATTCTAACACAATTTAGGATTATGGTTTGTGTATCATGATCTGGTAAATAAAAATTTGACATTATTTACTAGTTAAAAAATTATCAATTAACAAACATACAAACAACAAAAAAAGCAGTTTGAGTTTAATTTTTTTTATGAGATATAAACATAGAAAGTGCATGAACCTAATCTCTGTTTTACAGATTAATTAATAAATAATTTTCTTTACAAGAAAAAGAAGGATATTTAGTGGAAAATTAAAAATACGGAATAATCAACTAAATTATTTAAATTACGTATCACAATTTATCTAATAAACTATTGACAATAAATGTTATACTCACTTCAGATAACAAAGGAGCTCTATCTAAATGTTCTGAAGATGCAAATGCAGACTCGAAGTACGCGCCCCGACTCCTGGACTCGTACCTTGAGCCCCCGTCATCCCACATCCTGGCTTCTAACTCATCAGACATTCTGGCGCCTAGTCTAGTACTAGCAAAAAATTAAATTTCTCTCACTATGTTACCGAACACATAACTACAAATCACACAAAGACCGAGATGTTAATAATCTGAACGCCAATGTAAATAGAATACAGTTATATCATAGATTCGTCTTTTATTTACAATAAGAGTTTGTCTGATATCACTAGAACGGTAAATAAAAAGAGACGACTAACGCGAGACGACTTAAAAAATGTATAATTTCCGCGACTCAAAGATTGATACTGATATGGTGCGTTTCGAAACTAAATCTACAGAATCATTCATTTAAGAAAATAAAAAAGTTTGTTATTATATGATTAAATATATGTTTATAAGGCTAATAAATCTTAAATATAGTGAAAATTAATAGTACTTTAAATTACAACTTTTATTGGATCTAAATCAAACTATATGTATAGAAATAACCCTTTATTTAAATTATGAAATGGAAATAAATTCATGCTTCAAAACGACGGTCGCGAATCAGAAAAAGTGACATCTGACATTAAACGCCTCTTTGACACTATTATTGACAGCTGTAGTAGATGCGTTCCAAATACATTTATATCAATATATTTATGTAATTATTTTCTCTGTACTATTTTATTTATCCAAAGATTCCCGTATACACCTTTGGTCTACATTAGTGCAAATCGCCAGTAGCTCAAACATTATTGCATGACGAAAGATGCACTAGACATTTTTCGGCAGAATATTTATATTTTATCCATAAGTACTTATTCGACCAGTTATTTTTTAATGGGTGTAAATGGCATGGTAACACCGCCTGCACTATCGGTATACACTGGCGAGATACCGGTAAGAAGTGATAGGTGACGATGAAAAGCTAAGTCAGCCTGTCGTAACGAATTCAACGATAGTCACAATAGTTTACAGGGGGAACCGCGTTGAGGTTGACCTGGTAGGGTATATTGATAGCAATGGGGACTAACCTTTCCATTACTAACAATCCCTTCCACCCTATTCCATCAATTATACTGTAGTAAACTAATAACTGGAGGTTAATGAGAGGAGATTGTTGATAAAAGAGACATCGTAATTGTAGGTCGACCTTTACAAAGTCTCATATTAACACGATCGTGATTAATTCTTGGTGAAATGGCCACGATGAGCCAACTATCCTGCTTTCATTTTAAAATCCTAGCATACCTTATCGCAGGCTTGCTATTCCTTTTTATATTAAAGAAATATAAGTTATAAGTATCAAATGAAACAAAATAATGCTTTAATATAGTTTAATCCTTTCCATAATAACTATTATAATAATTATTAATTAAATTAATCACAAAAAAATTAATAACAATATTACATTAGAAACAACATCGCTCATTGAATGATAAAATATTTACATTTTTTTTTTATGTGACAGCATGGCAACACACATTAGAATTAATATACTAATAATTCACATTATTAAAATATATCTTAATAAGGTAAAAATATCATTACCATACATATTATATATTTTTCCTTTTTTATACATTAATATAAATAAAAATTTTAGAATTTATATTTTATTCTAGGTCATATACATCTAATTGGAGAGTCGAGTATCAAAGAAATACTCTTACCAATTGACAATTTTACTCTTACATCAATGGTGTTGCCATTTTTAATATACAAATTAATACCATTGCAATGTCATTTCTATAAAAAAAATAACCATGCCCTCGTTTCGTCGTTAGCCATCTCTGAATACATCCCAAAACACAAGTATTTTGCCTTCTTTTTAAATTTATTTTTTATAAGTGAATTATGCTATGGCGTACGAAATCCTTATAACTTTACCCCATCTCAAAGATAATTTATAAACTTTACATACACAAATTGTAATATATAAAAATTAAATCATAAAATATTCATAGAAATAAATATAAAAATTCATGAGTACACGGTTAATCAAACTTCGTATAAGAAAGCTATACGAGTACATGTATGAATGCAATGCACAAATTTAATATTTTATAAATAAATACACAGCCCATGTACAAACATCTATCTGTTATTACGAAAACAGACATTTTCGTACACTAGACACCACTTTTTTAAAACAACATAAAAAATTAAAGAAAATAAAAGGCAAAAATGCATTTTATGTTGAAACAATAGAGTGCACATTTAATTTGTTTCCTGCTACAACCTAACATCCAGATTTAAGAAGGACAAAACACTCGTGTCTGTACACCGAAGTTTCTAGATTCCTTTGTTCAATCAGTTCACATTACAACCACATTGGAATATATTATTTGTTCAAATTCAAACAAAGACCTCAAACAGCTTAAAATGGAATGATAAATTCAACTTGTCTATGGTACCGAATCCTTTTAAAATTTTATTTAGCATCCTAACCCATAATAAGTTGAGATTTTAAAATACTGCAAACAAATAATATTTGTTTATGTTTAATGAAATAACAAAGAGATTGAAATTAAATTAACTGTAAAAGTAAAAAATTAGAGTTCAAAATATTTAAACCAATGAAATGAAAGTAAGGTAATAAGTCAATTAAGCCGCAAATCGTTTTTAGTTTTGGTGGACCCGGTTTACACTTTGGACTCCTTCAAATTGGGCTTTTTCTAACCCAAATTAGCAAAATGGAGTCCAATACAAAACAATTTCTAAATATGGAATCCTTGTATAAACATTTATATCAGAAAATTACACTTCATGATACTAATAACAAAAATAATGAAATATTGAGTAAGATTTCCCGCCAAAAATACTTTTTTTTTATTCATAACCGCTAAATCGAATTCAGAATATAAACTATTACTTAATTTTGCTGCCCTAAGAAACTGATGAAGTGAGTTTTAGGTAAAGTGAACTTAGCGATTTAATTTGATTGATAGAGTTGAATATAACATGATATATTATGTAAATAGAAAAACTACATTTATTTCTCACATCTACAAGTATAATTGATTTAATATCACGAAATTTGTGACTTATGCTTTTTTCTTAGAAGGGCAGTAAACAATTAAAAAGGCAAAGGACAAATAATTATAATATCGTTTGTGATTGATTGAGAGGAAACAGTGATATGAGATATTCGTTGCAATAAAATCGTTTGGTTCACTAATATTTTACTTAATTCACATTTTTTTATTTTATTATTTTCATCAGCTACTACTACATATATTTCTTTTTCTAATAAGATGGAAACACATTTACACAAGGAAGCATATGAGATGCGCATACGTAGTATGCACAAAATGTACTTTGGCAAATAGAATTGTTAAAAAACCACCAAAAAATATTTAGCATAAATCACTTTACGCTATAAATTAAAGTGAACTACATTTTAGGTTTCTCCTTTTTATTTTTAAGTTTATTGAAAATGGAATACTAGATATATTCTATTTTCAAATGTAAATTCTAATTTCATTTTATTTCCATATTAAAGTTTTAATTTGATACCAGAGAGAAATTAATATGGGTCCATAATACATTAAATTTAGCTTATGGTCCATAAACTGTCACTAAGCTATCTAGCTATAGATGGATTTAAGGTAAAGCGTATGGTATGATGACGCTGTGCAGCATAGTACAGAATTGATCACGAGTGTGTAGATAAATGATGTATATTGCAATTAATATAATAGTTAGGTAGTATAGCTTGTTCATAGTCTTTAATTAGCATTTAAGTAATAAAAAAAAAATAACGTTTTTCTTTGACTGATATTTAAATAGAAAAAAGGCGCTAAAATTATAAAAGGATGTCAACATGTACACACAGTAATCTATGCAACAATAATCTACACACATACCTGTGTATGTGTATATATCGACATGTATCTATGCAGTTTTATGCTTTTACAATTATAGTTATACTTATGTTACAAAATCAACTCTGTCCTATGCTGCGAAAACTACGTCACCAGCATTTTTATTCAGCATACGCTTAACCTAAAAATAGCCGTAAATAGACTTCAATATTATTGGAGTTTTAGTTGGAAATCAACCGATTAGATGTGCCCCATAGATATGTGGTGTACAATGCAGGTGTATATGTATATATACTGAATTAATTTATTATTTGCTAAACAATCTTGGCTTGTCGTTTGAAATAAAAACATTTCTGTTTGAATTTTAATATATTACAGGTTTTTTTATTAACGTATAATGATGAACTGGAATAAAAAGTAGTCTGTACTCTTTTCTATTCCAAATATTATGTGTACGCCAAGTATTATAACGATTGATTAAGCAGTTCAAACGCCAAAAGTTAAATTTGTTTTCACATTTATATTATTAGTTATTACTAATTAAAAAAAAAAAAAAACAATCTGCCAGGATTGTTTACTAAATACGTCATGACGAAAAATCAGATTATGTCAGTCTAGTTTTCATTTATTTTGTGTCACTGAAAGTTACCAAAAAATATAGCCAGTTTCGGCGTGCGCCATGAAAGTGCGGTGTCGCAATGCGGGCGAGTGTACAAGTAGTGAGTATACGGGACGGTCGGCTAGACGACGACTACGAGCGGCAGGTCGCGGATCATAAAGACGTTTGAGGCGCGCGGGCCGCTGCCAGCTCGCCGTTGTCCAGGCGCGGCCAGTCCACGAACTCCTTGCCGTGCCTGCAAACAAACCATAACCATAGTTAGGATAACTCTCAAACTTACTAACTTTCGACATATTTTATAACATAAGTACATTGTGCTTCGCAGAAACACACAGTGATATTACTAGTCAATATTAATCACGATTGAATTTATTTAATGAGTAGATAGTGAATAAACATTTAGTAAACAAGCGCGCTATATCTGTGACGTTATCATCTCTTATCATCAGGTGATGTTAGATACAGCGCACATTAAAATAATAAAAAGAAAAATAGAATCCTTAAAAAAAACCACACATGAGAAGATTCATAGATATTAGCTTTAAAACATTTCAATTGTATTTTTTTTTGTACTCATCCAACGGACTATACCCCCTCCCCCACCTGATGATAAGATGGTAATGTAGTCTAAATATGAGGTGTGTGTACGTAGATGCGTGCGTGTATGAGTGTGCGTACGTAAGTACGTAGACGTGCGGTATACTAACTTGAATATGAATGAGAGCGTGGCGCCGACGGCGGCGCCCCAGAACATGAGGTAGAGCAGCACCTCGCTCGAGTAGCGCGCCGGCAGCGTGGCGCTCGCGCAGAACATCGACACCGCCACCAGCAGCACCGACGGGAACTGCACGGTAACCACCGACAACTTTAATACTCAACACGCTGTCACACTGGACAACAACTCAGCCTTGGCTAGATCAATATGGAGCCTTGCTAATTATTGATAATCGGTACGGTTAGCGAGAGTTGCCTCAGCTCAAAGGTCACTCAAGCTATTGAAATACAGTTTTATTTCAAACTCTTCTATATTTATTTAATATGTCGGCGCAAAATAGAAAAAAAGACATTCTATTGACTCGAGACACAAGCGCAAAAAATGGAGGGGAGCGCTGACAAAACGTTGGAGCGATAATGAAAGGAAGTGGGGCGATATTCGTCTGTCGAACATCGCGCGGCTTCAACGGATCGTTGTGTCTCGAGTCTTAGCTGATATTGTTTTAATTTAGTTCTATTTTATTTGATATTATTGTATTCGTTTTTATTTCTTACATTAATGAAAATGATTGTAGTTTAAAAATAAAGTGTGATTTTGTAATTGCTCTAATTATTGATTATTATTAGTACACGCCCACGGTAGATTAGTTTTTGTTAACCATGGCTGAGTCGGAGGAAACAGAGCTTAGCTATGGCCATCTACCGACAAATATAATATTTACGTTTAACATTGTACTATTCCTATATTCATTCATTTCATTTATTCATTAGTACAAATGTGTGTACATGGCAAACTTAATGCTAAAAGCATTCTCTCCCAGTCAACCATAGGGAAGTGTCAGAATACTCGAATGCGGTACTACTAATTATTGATATAGATACATACTAAAATTACATATATAAACGAATAAATATATATGAATAACAAATATACTTACACATATATGATATATACTATATTATACACGATACTATATTCTTAATCTTTTTATTTCATGTGTCTATTACACGATACTTTTGATCAAACGCCGTATTTTTTTTTCAATTTTTGTTAACTCTATAACCTATACAGTTGTCTCTTATTAATATAACGATTACTGTTCACATGTAATGAATATTGTTTTCGAGTTATTTGCCAGTGGTGCCGATTCTGAGGCGACATTTCTCTAGCTTAAAAATTTAATTCTAAATTTGATATCAACAGCCAATCTAAGAAAGAGAAAGCGATAAGCGTAAGCATATACATTAAATTTCCAATATATAAAGTAAAATAAGCTAGACAGAAAAACTAACGAATGAGGAAGTCCTGAAAAGAGTGAACGAGAAAAGAACATTAATTAAAATAATAGAGAATAGAAGAAGCAAAATGCTGGGCCACTAGTGACATGACGATTTTTTAGTAGAAGGAAAAATAGAAGGCAAAAGAGGAAGAGTAAGACCGAGCAATAACTACATGGGACAGATAAAGGAAACACTAGGCGTCATGTCGTATAGGGAGATCAAGGCTATAGCCTGGGATAGAGCTGGCTGGAGGAAGATGCATGAATTAGTTGCACCGACAAGAGGAAACTCTTAAATGAAAAGAAGAAAGTAAAATAAGTTTATAAAGGTTCATGAAACAGTAATTTCACAAAATTATGGAATAAAAATATTAATTTTAATTCCATAATTTAGAAATTAGATAATAGATAGATAGGTTTAAAGAAATGACGCCTCAGAATCGACCCCATTGTCTGTAAAATAAAAAAAATCTATTAACTCACTGTGATATATTTCCAGTCTCGGTCCCTGCGCAGCGGAGACGGCACGGTGTTTCCCTCGCCCTCCGCCACCACATACTTACCCAGTATTAGATCTATCGAATCCTGTAACGATTACATATTGATACTATTACAAAAAATATTGGAATATAGTTATAGTTATCATTATGGTATCATGGGCGAAACAGTATACTCTGTTATGTGAAATAAGTGTGTAAAATGGTAAGCGTCGTCTATAGACATGAACAGTAATATGGACATAACAGAGTATACTGTTTCGCCCATGATACCCCACATGCGTTACGTCCATGACGTCTCTATTACGTCCATGGTATTGCTCATGTCTATAGGCAACGGTTACCACTTTCCATCAGATGGGCCATTAGCTTATTTACTATTCTAAGTTGCATAAAAAACACTAGATCTTATAAAAGAGATTGTCACCATACCTGTCTGAAGCCGTCACTGAAGTTATTCTTGTAGTATCTGGTCAGGGAGTTGACTCCATCCTTCGCGAGCCCTATGTGTGTCCGCTTGCCCGTGCGTGTGAAGTCAGTCTTGAGCGCACCGGTGCCCGAGTACTGGGTGGAGATCATGTCTGCGTGGTCGGCCCACACCTGACGGCGTATTTAAATAGATTAGGGACAAATAATATATAGCATATTGAGCAATACCTGTCACTAAATAACAATAAATAACAGTTACAATATCTATATATTAGCCCAATAATGGATATATTAAATATTGGTCATTTAACATATTACATATAAATCAGAGGTAGACTTTGCATAAAAGTCGTTTGCTTGGGCATCTCTGTCGCATTCGTGTTTCTAGCGTGAAGCAGTTGTGTTTGCATGACTGTATTTCGATTCGAGAGGTGGGATATGGCAACTTAGAATGGAAAAACAAGCTGACGGCCCACCTGATGGAAAGTGGTAACCGTCGCCTATAGATATGAGCAGTACCATGGACATGACAGAGTATACTGTTTCGCCCATGATACCCCACATGCGGACTCAAGTATTATTGCTCAGTACCCGGTAAATTTACGCCATATCGCACCCTTCAAACCGAAACACAGCCATGCAAACACAACTGCTTCAAGGTAGAAACACAAATGTGACAAAGATGTCCAAGCAAACGACTTTTGTACAGTCTCCCTCTGGTTTAAATTTAAATTAAACCAATGTATAGAAACTATAGATACTGTGTGTGTGTGTGTGTGTGTGCACTGGACTGACATTGTTGAAGAGCGCGTCGAGATGCGGGTAGGCGGAGGAGGCGGAGGAGGCGGAGGAGGCGGAGGTGCCGGCGAGCAGCTGCAGCGCGGCGCCGAGCTGCAGGCGCGCGAGCAGCGACTGCACCACGTTGGTGCGGTCGAGGCAGTCCACGCAGTTGGTGCGGAACACGCCGCTCTGACGCAGCAGCACCGTGCCGCCGCGCGACAGGAAGTAGCCGAACTCCGTCTGGGCAACAATTTTAATGATACATGAAAAAAGCGAACATCTGTATTTGTTTTTTTTTTTTTTTACAATAATAATATCCTGACAAATTAACAATTTTTATTAATGGTAACCCTACATAGAATGAAAGATGAGGATGACAGTAAATCAATAGATTAATCATGAAGAAGAAGGTACATACTTGCATTCTATGTCTCGGTTTATAGGGTAAAATATGGCATACTCGCTAAGTAATTATATAAAATACATAAATAAATGTCTCTGATATTGCAAGTTTTTCACTAAAATGGTTCCATACCATTAGGTCGGATTTTGCTAACGTTCTCTTAAAACATATTCGCGCACGATGCGGTCGCTAAACGCATTGAACCGGTAGTACGTCACAGCGCGGTATTTTTTTTTTTATGGATGATAACAAATACCAGTGACAGGAGATAGGTGAGGATGAAAGCAGGTCAGTTAGCCAATCGTGACGAATTCCACAAGAATCAACCACGATGTTTTCCAGGGGGAACCGTGTGAAGTTCGACTTGATATAATAAATAAACAAATATACTCTAGTAATGAGACTGTTTTTTTTTTTCAATGGTTGATAACGAAATGGTCACCTGGCCTGCGCTATCGGTATACACTGGTGGAACACCAGTGATAGATGACAGGTGAGGACGAAAGCAGGTCAGTTACCCCATCGTGACGAATTCCACAAGAATGAACCACGATGGTTTCCAGGGACAACCGTGAGAAAGTCACACCTGAGAGTGTATATTGCTAGTAATGGGGACTGTTAGACCCCATTACTAACAATCCCTGTCCCCCAAGAGAGACCTGTGTTCAGCAGGTTGTTGTCAAGAGGTTACAATTAACAATGACCTTTGACCTTTCTTAACTAAACCCAAACACATTAAATATCATTTGAAATGATAAGATATTATTAATTAACATTTGTAAAGTGTATATTACCGTTTATATATCTATGTACCTGCTCGTGCGCGATGCGGTCGATGAGCACGTTGAGGCGGTGGTAGCGCATGCCGCGGCACTCTGCGTGGAAGTCGAAGGGCTCGTAGCGCACGCCGGGCAGCGCGGCCGCCGCCACCGCCGCGCGGTAGCCGCGCTCCAGCGCCTCCTCGCCGCCGCACTGGTCGATCTGCAAACAAAACATACGGCATTATATATATATATATATATATATATATATATATATATATATATATATATATATATATATATATATATATATTTAACGGACTGTATATAACACAGATCAGCATTATCTTCCTATTCTTATCCCAATTATTATAAAGGGTCGGCGTAATATATTTTTTATCCATATTACAAAAAGATTTGGCTTATAGTTCTACGACCGGCCGCCTGCCTGACTTCAACCGTCTATGGAAATGCATTTATTGGTGATTTCCGTCACCTACGATATAGAGGAAAGGATTGAGAAACAAGAAGGAAGAGAACATTGGAAATGCATAAAGGAAATTGGTAAATAATAGAAATAAGGGACTTGTGAGGGAAAGGAATGGGGGCGAAATGCAGTTGCGTGAAGGACTGGGACACTGCAGCGACTCGGGAGGCCGGGGTCGCATACAAGTATGCCCTTATTCTAGAATCGGAAAGACTAGAGAAGGACACCTCTCTGATACTATATATAGCACAAATGCTAACTCATAAATAACTAATCTTGCATTTTAATATACCAAAAAGAAGTGGTACAAAATTATATCGCGTATTAAATTTAGCACAACGACAACTAGTGAAAAAGAAAATTAATCAAAATCACTACTATTTTTTTTATACCACTGTGGTGGCAAACAAGCATACGGCCCACCTGATGGTAAGTGGTTACCGTAGCCTATGAACACCTGCAATACCGGAGGTATTACGCGTGCGTTGCCGACCCTGAAGAAACCTCTTTACCCACCTTTTGAAGTACTAAAAATACTAAAAAAAAAACCTAGATAATTACAATATCCAATATTTACTTTTTATCTCAGGAAATGTTCAGAAAAATGAAAAATTAATGAATGATTACATTATCTATACTATTTGTAATATTATAAATTAAATTATAAAAATACTAATTTATCTTTTCTACGCGTGCGAACCCGGGGCAAATCGCTAGTTTCAAAAACTTTATTCCACCCAGTAAATGCAACATTGCAGGGACTATGGGTAAAAAGCCCTCCCTTTCTCGTAGGCGTCGTAAAAAGCGACTAAGGGGATTTAATGGTTGAGGGATGAGCAAAGGATGGACAATAGCGTCTTAAAACATCACCAAAGCCTAACTGCGGTTGTAAACCCGCCTGCCAATCGTGGCAACTATTGGGAAAAATCCCCCAATAGGAAAGGCCTGTATTCAGCAGTGGATAATTAACAGCTGATGCGAAGGGTAAAAAGACATGCAAGAGGTTACAATTAACAATGACCTTTGACCTTTCTTAATTAAACCCAAACACATTATTATCATTTCAAATGATAAGATGTTATTAATCTCTCAATCACTTATTAATTAATGTTTGTAAAGGATATATTACACTGTCATTTTTATACGACTAGCTTTTACCCACGACTTTATCCGTGTAATTGGGAAATTTCTTTGGGACCAATTTGTAAGTATATTCTTAAAGAAGATTTTACAAATCGGCTCACATCTGACAGAGTTATGAAGTAACAAACATAAAAAATACAACCGAATTGAGAACTGCCTTTTTTTAAAGTCGGATGAAAAGGGCATTAACTATGTCATAAATCAAAATCAATTACCGAATGTGGGGGGAAGGGATCGTTAGTAATGCGGGCTAGCAGTCCCATTGCTAGCAAACGGGCATATAAATGTGTTTGTAAAGAGTTAATAAATTGTTAATATAAGCAGAAAAACAATACTTTACATTATCACATAGGATAGGTATTTTAACGTCTAAAGTCATGCGAGTAATGCCGCGGGATACAGTTAGTAAATAAACAAATTGCTGTTTGCTCTTATCTATCCTTATCATTGAAAGCATCCAATCGATAAAATTCAATAAATTGTGTAAACAACATATTACGCCGACCACAAACAATAATTGGGATGAGGGTAGGAAGATGATGTTATAGTATAGGTGCTTGTCTCGATAAAAAAAATTACTGTAAAAAATATTCTTGATGAAATATGGTCGAGTGTGACTTTTCATTGGGGCTGTAAAACTAATTGCTTAATATCAATTTTATTCCCCTTCGACCTCATTGTAGAAAGATCACCTGTTTGAGTACCACTGTCCCATTCGTGTTTCTGCATCGAACATTTATTACACAAAGCTATGAAATCGTCCACTTACCAAATTTACCAACACCTGGTTGCCGTATCTCTGCTGCTGATCCCTCAGATGCTTGGTGTAGGCCGCCACGTGATCTTCGTGGGACAGCGTCATCTTGGGCTTGTACTTCAGGTTCGGGTACTGGCTCCAGTACAGCGGGATGGATCCTCGGGTCTGCACAAAGGAAGACTTCTCCCCGCCGCGTTCTATGATCTGCTCTGTCTCTACGTAGTTGGCTACATTCCCCTGGTAACAATGAGATATGATTATAATAATTAATTAAACACTAACGGACGCATTACACAGCGCCTACCACCAAATTGGATTATGCTACTAAAATGGTCACCACTCAGCTAAGTGTAAATTGGAAACTTCTTTACCAGGGGGAGACTTTGTACAAAAGTCGATTGCTTGGGTACCTCTGTCTTATTCGTGTTTCTACCGTGAAGCAGTTGTGTTTGCATGGCTGTGTTTCGGTTTGAAGGGTGAGATATGGCGTGAATTTACTGGGTACAGACGAATAACACTTAAGTCCCCAGGAATGGCAACGCATGGGGGGTATCATGGGCGAAACAGTATACTCTGTTATGTCCATGGTACTGCTCATATCTATAGGCGACGATTACCACTTTTCATCAGGTGAGCCGCCAGCTTGTTCGCCATTCTAAGTTGTATAAAATAAAAATACTTCTAGTTTCTAAATTATACTTAGTTGAGTGGTGACCATTTTGATCGCATGATTCCTAATTAGTTATAAGTTTATTTACGTATTTCCTTTTTCTTTTTTATTATTATATATTATAATTATATATAAATGTTTTAGTTGTAACTGTTATTTATATAAGACAAATAAAAAAAAATTCTTTCTTTCTTAAATATAATAAAATTTGTACGGTCATCATTGAAAATAAATTAAAACAATAAGATTTTCGAAACTTCTATAACTTTTACCGTAGCTAAAAGTCCCTGATGCTAACAACCCTTCCCTTACCCTGTATCAGAAATAGTAAACCTGTCTAATGAGGGGTGAGGGAAGGGATTTTTTTTTTGATGTGTGAAAATGGTATGGTAGCCCCGCCTGCGCTAACGGGATACGCTGGCGGAGCACCAGTGAAGGGTGATAGATGAGAATGAAAACAGGCCAGTTAGCCGATCATGACGAATTCATCAGGAATTAACCATGATAGTTTCATAACAATCCCTTTCCCCCCGGAGGGGAGGGATTGTTAGTAATGGGGTCTAGTAGGTGTAGTTTTTCTTATTCTCTTTCCTTTGGCTTCCATGCGTTATCTTGTGTGACCGCGCGTTATTATCACTGTATATATTTTTTGCTTATTTTAAGTAATTAAAAAGGTTTATAATTAAATTATTATAATTTTATTACATCAGATTCTCCTTGAAAACCATCGTGATTAATTCTTGAATACGTCACAATGCTGCCTGCTTTCATCCTCACCTATCATCTCTCACTGGTGCCCCGCCAGTGTCTTCCAATAGCGCAGACGGGGTCATTATCTTTCCATCTGGTCAAGTTATGATTCATTAAAAAAACTGTTGAATATGTATTACCTGTGAGTCGACGCCCCTCATGTAGAAGCGAGTGCCAGCTCGGTGTACGCTGCGGCGCGACACCAGCGACCACGTCAGCTGGTGACCGTTCACCGTCACGTTGTTTATCGATACGACTGTATACTGGCTAAGGGATTACTGCACAGTTTTATTACATAAGAAATATTGATGAATGTGGAAGACGCGAAAGAGGTTTGTTTGAATCGAAGCATTTGTCGTTCCATTGTTTCTGCCTACCCTAATGGGAGACAGGCGTGACAGATATGTATGTATGTATGTTTTATTACATAAGACTAAACTAGCCAACTCTAAAGCCCATTTTGTTGAAACAGTAAAAACAAAAAAAAACAAAGTATCCAATTACACGAGTTACGTATAATGTAAAGACAAGAAAAGACAAGTAAAAAAAATTAAGAAAAAAAAAGTTTTTAAAAAATAAAAATTCTTTATTTAAAGTAGTCAACTTACCTAAGTTTTAGATTTTTTTTTAATTTAAAATACTAAACTAGAGGGAAAACAAAAACATTTATATCAGAACAACAACAAAAAATACTGATTTCATTTGTGGACAACCAGTTATGAAAAACTAAACTATTGAAGTCTATCTATCTATCCTATTTAAGAGCTGCGCTCTTATCGGTGGAGCTCTTGCCACTCACTACGATTTTCAGCGAGTCTCTACACCTCTTGATACGACACGACACCAACTCCTTCCTTGGTCTGCCTGATGTAACTATGTCTCGGTCTCCCTCTCCCCCTTCTATTGAAGTAATTTTGATAATTTTTTTCATGAGACCAATCTGAAAGATTCCTCTTAGATAAAAACAAAATGAAAATCAGTTTATAAATGTCGAAATTATGAGGTAACAATCGTTAAAAAAATACAACCGAATTGCGAAATTTCTCCATTACTTTTCCTTTTTTTTTAAATTGTCTAGAATAATTGCTGATGTTACTAAAAAAATAAGCCATAAATTTTGATCTTTCAAAGGATACATCCTTGTATGATGGGTAGCGCGAACCTGGCGAACTGGTCCTGTGAGAAACCTTTGAGCAAGTGGCCATTCCACAGGAACCTGGAGTCTGCACGTGTCGCCAGCGACATCTTGTGAACAAGTAGGAAATCTTTAGCACAGTACGAGTAACCTCTGAACTTTTCAATTCAAACAAATGACAATCTTCTTATCACTAAGGTAATAAAATAACCAGAGGGAAACTTTGTACATAAGTCGTTAACTTGGGTAGCTCTGTGCCATTCGTGTTTCAACCGTGAAGCAGTTGTATTTGCATGGATGTGTTTCGGTTTGAAGGGTGGGATAAGACAATGAATTTACAGGGTACAGAGGAATAACATCTGAATCGTCAAAAATGCTAACGTATGGGGAGTATCATGGGCGAAACAGTATACTCTGTTATGTCCGTGGTACAGCTCATGTCTATAGGCGACGGTTACCACTTTCTTTCAGGTGGGCCACCAGCTTGTTTGCCATTCTAAGTTGCATATTTTTTTTTTACAAATATTTTATGAAAATATGTATGAGTGTCCTTAATATAAACGATAGAAGCCAAAACGAAAAAATTTAGAATTTTTGTCTCTCTATATGTTTCTTTTCCCGTGGGTCTCATAAGAGATGACTAAGGGAACTCAATGATTGGAGGATGGGCAGCAGCGTCCCTCTTAAAACATTACCAAAGCCTATCTGCGATTGCTAACCTGTCTGCCAAGCATAGGAACTATTAAGAAAACTCGAAGGGAAAACTAGGGGGAGACCTACATTGAACGATGGGAGGGGGGTCGCTGCTGCCCATCCCTCGACTATTAAGCTCCCTTAGTGGCCTCTTACAACACCTACAGGAAAGGAAGCGACGGCCCATTCTATGCCAGGACCATAGGACAAATCTCTTACCTTGTGGAAATCGGCGGCTACCGAATGCAACCGCTGCAGTGTGTGTGTGAGATCATATCCGTACGAGAAGTATATGCCGGGCGTCTCCAGCGCCGCACGCAACATACGTTCGTATGTGTTGTTGTCTTCGATCTGGTAATCATAATAAAAAAAATATATAAAATACTGTCCGTAAATATGGCAGTAAAATAACAGGGTACACATTAGGATTTACATAGGATGCATGATACATAGTTCCAGTGGCGTAACAATAGGGTGGCAGGGCTGGCAAAATGCCACGGGCTCCCGACCCAAAAGGGCCCCGGCTAAAGAGGCCGCGAGTTCAAAAAAATATATATATACATTTTTTTTTTACATTTTACCTGAGTATTTTATTTTACTTAAATATTTTTTTTACTGATAGGGCTTTATACTTTCTTATTAGATGGATGAAAGTGGATTGGTGTCCTTGCCGACGCTATGTATATACGCTGGAGGGCACCATTGAGAGATGAATGATGACAATGAAAGCAATTCAGTCGGCACATCGTGAATAATTCCACAAGAATTAACCACAATAGTCTCCAGGGGTAACCACGTGGAAGTCGGCCTAAAAAGCCTTTTTACGGATGGTAACCCTACCTGCACTAACGGTATATGCTGGCAGGGCATCACATCGAGTGAACTACCAAAGTAATTTGCTTAAAGAAAGCATAGGCAAAGAGTATAATATAAACCAAACCTGTTTACTACTGAGATGCGTGGTGGAGCGCGCGTACGGTATGATGTCAGTGCCAGCCAATTCGTATACGTCATGGCCATTCAGCCTTCCCACCTGCAAAGTAACATATATTAGCACCGGGCTTTTTAATTAAGGGCAACCTACATGGGAAATGTCTTTTTGCTCAGTATGAAACAAATGAATGCGTTTTTATATATATTATCATAAAATAAAATAAAAACTTTCTTATTTATTTATGCATAAAATAAATTTTCGCATGCACACCTGTATGGTTAAAAAAAACACGATGCCACCTAAAGCAATAATATTTTCTAATATAACTTATTAGATGGATGCATTTCCTTATCGTATTCCGATAAACGAAATATCGGAGAAATAAAAATAAAAAAAAATTCTGAAAAAATAAATTACCTCTTTCACTTACCAATATCCGGTACTTGGCTACAACTAGGTAGAGTCCAGATATCAACTTGATAGAGCCAAGGAACCCACATACAGGTTTGTATGCATTGGCTGGGATTGGGATCTTTACTGAGCCATATTCTATGGATAAAAAAAAAAGCTATACGATAAAAAATAATTCACTATAATAATAATAAAAATTGTAACTAAATGTTGTCTGTACATGAAAGGTATCTAAAAAAATATAGCAGTTTTAATAAAGGTAATAAGTGTAAAAAGAAATACTTTTTTGAAATTTTGTCTGTATGTCCGTTTGTCTGTCGGACTATTTATCTGTCTGTCTGTACGTATGTTTCAACATTACGCAAGAATCGCTACATCATATCAGATGCAGTTTTCAGTCATGTTTCTGGAGGTCTACCTATACAATTTTGTGTACTTTAATCTTGTCATATCATTTGAAAGTAGTCTAGTTCATTGGGATTCTTATATCCGAAATGCACATGTACGAAGTAGTGAGCAAAAGAATAGTAAATTCAATAAAAATACTCATGTTTTTTTATATTGACATTAAAATAATTATTACCTATTCATCTAATTTCATAAGAAAGGGGATTCTCAATTCGTTTGTATTTTTTTTTTATGGTTATTACCATACATCTCTGTCAGTTCAGAACCAATTTGGGAGTCTTTTCAATCCAACAGGATATACTTATAGATTAGTCCCATAGAAATTTTATCCAAACCCGTTCAGTTTATATCCAGGTATTATTGTTTTTTATGCAACATAGCATGGCAAACAAGCAAACGGCCCGCATGATGGAAAGTGGTAACTGTCGCCTATAAATATGAGCAGTACCATGGACATAACAGAGTATACTGTTTCGCCCATGCATTGCCACTCCTGAGGGCTCAGGTGTTATTCCTCTGTACCCTGTAAATTCACGCCATATCCTACCCTTCAAACCGAAACACAGCCATGCAAACACAACTTTATGCTTTATGGTAGAAACACGAATGGGACAGAAATGCCCAAGTATTCGGGCCAACTGTGCTGCTTTTTCATCTTCACCTATCATCTCTCACTGGTATCCCACCAGTTAGCGCAAACAGATTTACCATTCCATTATAACTCATTAAAATTTTGTGATTAGATGGCGTTTTGTAACATGATCAGTAGTATTTATTTGAAATACCTTTGACAGTAGCCTCTCCCGTCACTCTGTCAATAACCATAATCTCTGTTGGATTAATAGTTGGCTCGAAATAGAACTTATCTGATGTTGTGTACCTGAAAAACAAAAAATTTGTATTACATCATAATCCATAGATAGTAGACCTTGTAGAATGAAGTCATGATTCATCAACTAGTTGTAATAACTCTTATTATATGTAATTATATAACACAAATATAAGTTACAATCGATTGTTAGTAATTGGACCTAGTGCTCCCATTGACAGCAATATACCCTGTCAGTTTGATCACCACATGGTTCCCACCCATATTTTTTTTATGGGTGAAAATGGTATGGTAACCCCGCCAGCGCTAACGGGATACGCTGGCAGGGCACCAGTGAAGGGTGATAGATGAGAATGAAAACAGGCCAGTTAGCCCGTCATGACGAATTTACAAGGAATTAACCATGATAGTTTCCAGGGAGAATCGCGAGGTCGACCTGGCTGGGTATATTGCTGGCAATGGGATTTTTAGTCTCCATCACTAACAATCCCTTTCCCCCCAAATACATATCTTAATATATATGCACTGGTACCCCACCAATATATACCGATATAGCACAGGTGAGATTATCATTCCATTGTCTGATTCAAAAGGTACTAGGAAGGAGAGAAGTGGATGATTGGTTATGCATTTTAACCCAATACTTAGCATTGTGTTTTGATAGAAAAAAAAACAAAGTAAAATATGAACACAATGTAAAGGAAAAAGGTTTTACTTTTTTTCTTTACTGATTATATATAGTGATATATTCTTATTTTTCTGAATAAAATCTAGGTACTTTTTATCCTGAACAATTAATATACAGTATAAGCTTCCATAAAAATGCAGCGAATACAGAAAACATGAATATAGAAAGCCGAATCACTTATATAGCGTGACAATATTTGACAACATACTTTAGGCGTAGTTGTGTAGGTTTGTTTTAATTTTTTATTAATCCATTCGCCTACGCCTTTACAAAGGATACAAAATTCTTTTTAATAATATGTACCAATTAGATCTGCAAATAGTGAAAACGCAAATTAAGGAAGCATGAATAAGGAACTTTTACTATATTACACTCATGCAGCTGATGTCATAGGTAAATACTACTGTTTAAATAATTTATAAAATTACCTTTATACAGAGTTTATTACCTTATATTTTATATATATATTAGATAATATAACTTACCTAAATAATATTGTAATTCATCAAAGTCAATGATAAAGTACCCAATCAGATAAATTATATGTAACCAGCAAAGTTTGCCATACTGGATAATTGACTATCTGATTTTTCTTTCCAATTATGTTTTGGTATAGTGAAGAAAGAATTTATTTTTATCAAGTCAAAGTTTTATTTACTAACAGAAAATATATATGTATATTGATTAAAATGGATGGAGATTACAGAGAGTTAGTGGATGCAGGTGGCTCAGCTTCTTTATGGCAGTCTATGGGGGAGGCTTATGTCCAGCAGTGGACGGATAATGGCTGAAATGATGATGATGATTGATTGAAATGAATAGGGTTTGAATCTGTTTAATTTTTTCAATCACGATAAATATTACAATATTTTAATTTAATGATAATTCTAAAAGTATAGGTATTTATCATTGAATTTTAATCATATTTGTTGCAAAGCAGTTAATATTTACTAATATGTAATAGTCACAAATATTAACATTACAAAAGTATTGTGAGCAATAACTAATTCAATGACTATTGGGTCTATCCAATAAGTTACAGTAACAATTCCCTATCAAGTGGGCCCTCAGGTTGTTTTACAATTTCAGCATTTTAAAAAAATACTTTAAAGCTTATCATCATAAACATATTTAAGAGTAGGCCATGCCCACCTCATAATAGTCTCGTGCCCACCAGAGGATGTGAGAGTTCACATCCTCGGTAGTTTACATCATCATATGTAACATTATGTTATACTATTTTTTACAGGAACAGACTAAACCATAGATAACAATCCTTTTCATCTGAAAAGGATTGTTAGTAATGGTGTCTAATAGACCTATTACTAGCAATGCACCCTATCAGGTCGACCTTCACGCGGTTCTTCCTGGAAATCTGGATAATTCTAATGGAATTCATCACAATGGGCTAATGTTATCAGCCATTAAAAAAAATACTCAACCGTTAATAATCTCAAATATGCTAATGCCTATCATAAATATAGATTTTCATTCAGGCAGATTCTTACATTTATTGCATTTAATTAACTATAATTTAAACTTAAATATTTCATTAAAATAATAAAATAGACACTGGTTTGGTTGTTCAGTATACAATCTATAAGTATAAGTAAATAATATTTGAAGAATCATAATATGTTAATTAGTATAAATTTGTTAGCACTAATTATAATGTAGATAAACATTTGTAAGGATTCAAAGAAAATATGCGATAAGCAAGCAGATGTTCAATGAACTTTAACTTTGTGTAAAATTACTTATTATAAAATAGAAAAAGGATTTGTACTTACAATTTAATATCATCGTGAATTAATAATCGATCTGCCATTTTAAAAGACTTCAATCAAATTAATTATAATTTATTTTATAATAATTTTAGTAGCGGTATTAAAAGGTAAAACCAAAAACAACAATGAAATAAATTGATTGATTGAATGAATGACATACAGAGACAAAGTTATCGATAACTGACACTGGCTGTCACATAACATCTATTGGAGTCATAGATAAAGATGTTGGATTTTTCTATAACAAGATATACGTAAATAATGATTTAGTACTGGACAAGTCGACTTCGTAAATTTAAACCAAAATATTCAACATTTAACACTCTCTGCAGTGCTCATAGTTCTAATTAGAAAACAGAAAGAAATATATCCTTATAAAATATTGAAACTTGATGATTTGATAAACTGCCTAATAATAATGAATTAGAAAGTCATACAGTTTGATATCAAGATATTGAATATTCAAATCGATAGATAAGTAGTTTTTAAGCGATTTATTCCCCTAATATAATGTAATCATCCAAAGCCGTAATAATCTCTGATTAAAAAAAACTCATTCTGCTACATGTGAGTTTGACAGGCGCATTTGACAAATAAAATAACCTCAAAATTTCATTGCATCTGTTTTTGTAAATACTCTTTTTTTACTACATTATTATGTTAAATTAGCTTTTTAATATAACTATGGAAGTAGAAGGTCATCCAGGTCTTATAAAAACAATAGCAGATGACGAAGAAATTGAAGATTTTTCCGAAGAGTCAGACGAAGAAATTGAGGTTTTTATTTAAGAAATATTAAAATAATACGCGCATGCAAGATGTATTTCACTAAACTTTATCACTCTTTATCTACTTCCACTCTATATACTATCCTTTATATCCAATATTTATGTTCCTAAGCGAAATTATGTCAATAATTGAATCACACTCGAGCAACTGTATTCCAACTATTTTCTGCAATATGTTTTCCTTACTACTATCATTTTCATTTTTTATATAAGAATGATCAATATTTTAATCAGTGGGTGTCATTAGTGGCGTCTGAAAGTTAAGCATAAAACTTTATTTTATGTCCTTAAATTTTGCACATGTTTTTATAAGATTACTTCTTCAAAACGACTTCGCCTGCATAAATGCCACTATTTTCCATTTTTATAGGGTTTTGTTACTAGATGCCTCTATCATAATAAGAACTACAGACTTTCAAGTTTAAATTTCTAACTCCAGCTGTTTAGTTTATATATAAGTAAATCAGTCCGTTAGTAAAAGATATGTCCATATTCATAAATGATGCATAAATAATGCTACATCTAACTATAAATGTAAATAATTGGCTGACGGTCATTGATTGGTTGTAATTTTAAAATCTCACTTTTTATTTTGGACACATATAAAGAAGATATCTAAGGAACAAGTGTCCCTGGTAGTAGATCAGGCTATACCATAATAATATCCCTCATCTTCATGAGGCTACAGAATCGGTCAAATTTCTAGGATTAGACTAGTGGTGATTTAAAAAAAAAAGATTATTATCTAATTTAAAAGTTAAATTCATCTTTAACAATATTTACATGGTTTTATTGTGGGTGTCATAAGAGGTGACTAAGAGAAATTAACAGTTGAGAAATGTGTAGTAGTGTCACTCTTAAAATATTGCCAAAGCTTAATTGTGGGTACCAACCTGCTTGCCAAGCATGGCAACTACTGGCAAAACCCCCGCAACAGGGGGAAGCCTATGTTCTGCATTGGACAAGTAATGGCAGATACTTTATAGGTGATAATGAAATAGTAACCCCTCCCGCGCTATCGGTATACACCGGCGGGGTACCAGTGAAGGATGATAGATGATGATGAAACAGGTCAGTTAGCCTATTGTGACGAATTCAACGAGAATTGTTCATGATGGTTTTCAGGGGGAACCACATGGAGGTTGTGCCAAAGCTGTCAAACTCCATTGCTAACAATCCCTTCCCCCCAATGGCGGATACAATGATGACCACATAGTTTTGTTTTGCTAAAGTTTATTACATAAATTGATTGTACTACTATAAAGTCGTATAAATGAAAGTGCTTAAAACCATATTTTCAGTATCAACCATCGAAGCAAAAAGTAAAGAAGAAAGCTGATTTTAATCCCAATTTCCAGTTTGTGGGTTCAGTAGAAGAGTACAATAAGGTTGGTTTATATATTTTTATATTATTAATGTTAGTTCATATATTCATAAAAGAATAGCTAATTTGTAAAGAAATATCTCAATCTTTGTTAAAGACATCAAAATTGGTTCATAATGATATTGCATAGTAACTGAAAAAAGAATGTTGTGGTAGTGTGAAGACTCTAGTAAACAACTTGCTGCTTGCAATGTCATAGTGAACCATGCTGTAGTAATGCATAAGTAAGAGCTTCTATTGTATGTGAAGCTGGTTGGACAACCTCAAAAACAATGATATAAATATTTGTTTGGAGTTTGTCTGTCATTATCCCAACATTCTTGCATAGATGATTTGTAAACAATAAATCTTTATTTTTTTACATTTTATGTATATACATATTATCTTATCACACATATCACTATCACTACATAGTATAAAACAAAGGGGCTTCCTGTCTGTCTGTACCTATTTATGCTTAAATCTTTAAATTTACGCAACAGATTTTGATGCGGTTTTTTTTTTTTTAATAGATAGAGTGATTCAAGAGAAAAGTTTATATGTTTAATATGTGCATAATATAGTAGAGAAATATTGATAATTTTAGAGGTTTCTAATCTGATGTGATGTAATTGTTCACCCGTGCGAAACCGTGGTGGGTTGCTAGTATATAATTCTTAAATGACTAAAAATGATATTTATATCAACTTTAAAATATTGTACCAATCTTTTATCTTATTGCAGAACACCTGGGATGATCTGCAGAAATATGTACGTAGGAATGTCAAACAAACCTTGGACGAGAAGATAGAGAAACGAAGGGCGCAGGTGAAGGTGAATGGGAACTCTGTGGATGTTGACACTGATTCCGATGTTGATGAGAAAGGTAAGGAATTTCGTATAACTACATCTATTTGCCTTTACACCCACAGCTTGCCTTGGTGTCTCAGAGCAAGTTTATGAAGCGTCAGTGGACTCCCTGACTGATAATGATAAAAGAGATATTTTTGTCGAAACGACGAAAAAGGTCATTGGGGATTAGCACTGTTCACCTCAAAGTCGAATTTGATGCAATACTTTATTAAATATTTTTTTTTAGAATTCAGCGCTTCACCCCTGTTCCTGAACACTGCAGGGCCAGTACCCCTCCCTGCTCTGTGACTGGTACTTTATATACTAGAATGCATGTAGAGACCCTACATTTTTTTTTTTTATACAACTTAGAATGGCAAACAAGGTGACGGCCCACCTGATGGAAAGTGGTAACCCTCGCCTATAGACATGAGCAGTATCATGGACATAACAGAGTATACTGTTTCGCCCATGATACCCCTCATGCATTTCTGAGGACTCAGCTTTTATCCACTTTGGTACAGGTCAATGTCTGCAGATACCTTGTCATAGAGGACACAGAAAATAAATTCCCAGTGCACTTTCCTTCTAAGTAGGTAATAAGCAGTATCCACACATTTTCTAAAGTGTGTTGTTCGGAGTGGGGTGTGAGGAAGGGATTATTAGTAATGGGTTCTAACAGCCCCATAGCAGGGGGAAAGGGATTATTAGTAATGGAGACTGAGAATCCCATTGCTAGCAATATACCCAACCAGGTCGACCTCCTCGCGGTTCCCCCTGGAAACTATCATGGTTAATTCCTGATAAATTCATCATGATGGGCTAACTGGCCTGTTTCCATTCTTCTCTATCACCCTTCACTGGTGCTCCGCCAGCGTATCCCGTTAGCGCATGCGGGGTACCATACCATTTCCACCCATCAAAAAAAAGAACAGCCCGATAGCTAGCAATATCAAGTCAACCTCCACGCGGGGGAAATAGAGGGATTCCTGGAAATCATCATAGTTAATTCTTGTTAAATTCTTAACGATGGGCCTGCTGACCTTTCTTCGCTTATCATCTATCACTGGTACCTCGTGAGCGTATACCGATAGCGCTGGCGGGATTGTCGTTCCATTTTCATCCATTAACAAAAAAGTGTGTAGTTCTACATTATAATTATAATATTAAAGTAAATGAAATCATAACTATTTTGTTTTAATTTTACAACAGATGAAGACGTTGATGAGCTACAAATATCCGACGATGAACTCAAGAAGGATGAAATTAAAACAAAGGACAAGAAACTCACTAAGAAACAGAAGTTGAAACAGGTATCTTTTTATTACTATATTTTGGTCTGGAGAAGGACTTGGATAAAATTTTTTATACCACAAGGGTATCAAACAAACATACAGCCCGGTAAACGATCATTGTTGTCTATGGACGCCTGAAACACTAGAGATGTCACGTGCGTGTTGCCGATCCTGAGAAAACCTTAATATGCCCTTTTTGAAAAACCCCATACTGATACAAAGAGCTCCCTGCCAAGGTTTTCCCTAGAGAGTAGTCTCTAGGGAAAACCTTGGCAGGGAGCTCATTCCAGCTAAAGGTTAGTGAGGGAAAATAAATAAAAATAATATTTATTTGTGTCGTATATATGGGTATCGTAAGAGCCAACTAAGGGAACTAAATAGTCAGTGGATGTGTAACAACGTCTTTCTTAATACAATCATCAAAAGCCTAACTGCGGTTGCCATCTCGCTTGCTAAACGTGGCTACTACTGGCAAATCCCTCTTGATGATAAACACCTTTATAATATTACTATGGAAATCGTTAATTAAAATGAATGGTATAAATTTATAATAAAGTCAAATCTTGGATAAATAATTAAATGTATAAGAAATAAATTTAATATTAGGAATTACAATTAACAAAAGTCTATGCTTTTCATAGACAATACACAATTAGAAAGAAAAAAGTTACAAAGTAGACAGGTTGACTCTATGGCACTGTGGTTATAGTCGCAATCATATAACAATAACAAAAAAGTTGCGTTCAATATTTATGTTCTTAAACTTCATATCAACATATATAAATAACTTTGAATTCTAACCTTTTATTATAGGAAATGAAGGAACTAGACGCGGAGCAAGGGACTCGCATCGAATACGATTCTGATTTCTTCGAGGAGCCACCTCCATACGACGAGCAGGCTTCCTTCCACATGATGAATCTCTCACGTCCTCTGCTCAAGGCGATCTCAGCACTGAATTATGTCCACCCCACGCCTATACAGGCGGCGACTATACCCGTTGCCCTACTTGGTAAGTTAAACCTTTGTATTAGCAAAAATTAGTAAAAATTTATTTATTTATTTATAGGATTACCAACATAAGATACAGGTAAACATTTTAATACAATACACTGGTATTTTATGGTATTGTATGGTCAATTACTGGTATTTATGGATTAGATCTTACTGTTCTTACATTTATAAGCAACCACAGCATGCCTTGAGTTTGATAAACATTAAAGCCTTAGATATAGTGAAATTGTTTTGGATATATTAATATGTGAAAGTCCATTCATGTTAATCTTCAAAACCACTCAAGCAATTTAACTTAAATTTATTTGATGGTTATGGTTTACTCTAATATAAATAAAAAAAAAAGATATAAAGAAATTATTGATATAAATTTAATTATAAGTATCTTTTAATAACCTTTTGTATTAGTTGGTGAGTGTAAAAAAAATCGATAATACTTCGTTATGAGGAAAATGGTCTGGACAGTTTAATATGTAAAAATTAATTCATGCTAAACTACTAAACTATTCAACCGGTTTCAATGAAAGTCTATATTTATTATTTGCATTATAAATAAAGAAAAAAAAATAAACTGCCCACTTCGAAATGCAATTTTAGCTGAGAAGAAGAGAGAATCATGTATATATCTTATTTGATTAAATTCTATTTATTCGATTAGTGTTATTGTATTATATTTATTATTTTAACGATTTTCCCAACAGGCAAGGACGTGTGCGCGTGCGCAGCGACCGGTACGGGCAAGACGGCGGCGTACATGCTGCCCATACTGGAGCGGCTCCTGTACCGCGCCAGCGGTGACCGCATCACCAGGGTACTCATCTTAGTGCCCACTAGAGAACTCGGCGCACAGGTAATATTTTGTACATTTAAGGATTTTTTTTAATACGAGTACTAACAATTAATTTACAATATACAGAACCATACATAATATGTCGGAAGAGACAAAATGGAGCCTGAGACACAAATAGAGTTACCAATAACAAGAAATCAATATAAAGAGATAATAAAAAACAGTAAAACAAGATGGCTATTTCTGAAATATAGTAGCAAAATAATTGAAAAAGTGAACAAAGAAAATGCCACCAAGTAATGCTATATTGAAGGCATGTATTTATTTATTCATTAGTACAAATATGTGTACATGGCGGACTTAATGCTAAAAGCGTTCTCTCTCAGTCAACCATAGGGAAGTGTCAGAATACTCGAATACTACTAATTATTGATATACATACATACTAAAATTACATATATAAACGAATAAATATATATATGAATAACAAATATACTTACACATATATGACATATACTATATTATACACGAATTTGAGAATAATATAAAGCACTTACTGCTCGAATAAAGTAAAATGAGTATATGGTCCAAAATTTAGTCAATATAACAAGTAGAAGTAAGAAAGCTGGTTGTAATGTAACATACTGAATAAAACGTAGAATAGGCATCCCTGGCCAGGAAGGCAACTAGATTGTAGATATAAGATTAGAGTAGTATAGATAGCGATTATAGTGTAACTGTAAAAATAGAATGAAAAAAAAAGTAAAAAGCCTGTAAATCAATATCCGGAACCAGATAAAAAAATGACAGATTAATTATTGGCCCAATCTGTACTCGATATTACTCCATAGGTATTAATGAATGGGATATTGTAACATTTATTTTATTTGTGGCAATGTTAAGGTCTCCATGCCAACATAAATATAGCCCTCATAAATGGTCAACTTAGTAAAATTTATTGCACTTTACAGATTTTACACATGGATTTTTGTGTCTTTATTAGTTCTGTTTGTTTAAATGTCTACATAATCTGAATATTGCCTAATATTTGATTGTCCAGGTGCATGGTGTGACTAGACAATTGACACAGTTCACAACGGTCACCGTGGGACTGTCGGTGGGCGGTCTTGACGTCAAATACCAGGTAAGTAATATTTTTCAATACGTAGTTTTATGAATGCTAAAAATTCTTCTATATTTTGAAAAAAAAAAAAAGATTTTTTATGCTGCTTAGAATGACAAACAAGCTAACGGCCCACCTGATGGAATGTGGTAACCGTCGCCTATAAATATGAGCAGTACTATGGACATAAAGTATACTGTTGGCGAAATAGCGAAACTTTATTTATGCACATTCCAATGTAATAAGTTATCAGGCCATGATTAGATATATCATCAAAAAATCTTCACTAAATTATTTTTTATAATTATTTGTATTTATAATAAGTTAAAACAAATCAATGAAGTATAACTATCTGCCCATCTATGAATAATAAAAAAATAAAATGCTCTTAACATAAAACTTTTTATTTGTAACATGATTTTTTTTTTATATTAATAAAATTTCATATTAATATTATGTTCCCGTACTATTTTACCATTGGTTCACCAAATATCCCCAAGAGCATGCCTTTACAGATTAAATTCATTAGTCCTGTTAAATGTTACTAAAAGCATAGACAATAAAGGCTGGATTATGATCACGTGATCTAACCTATCAAGTTTGTAAGAGTTTTGTAGGACTCCCCTGCCTTAATAATAATATGTAAAAACAAATTGTAGGAGAGCGTATTGCGTCGGAACCCCGACGTTGTGATAGCGACCCCCGGCCGTCTGATCGATCATATACGGAACACACCATCGTTTAGCCTCCACTCCATTGAAGTGTTGGTGTTGGATGAAGCTGACAGGTGAGTTGGTTATGATTTCGTATTTATTTATTTATTCACAGGAAAACCAGATCTACACTAGAGCAAATATAATTCCGGCATAGAATAGGCTATCCTATCCTTTCGCATGGGTGTCGACTAAAGAGCCGACGAAAGGAATTTAGCGGCTGAGGGATAGGCAGGAGCATCCCTCTTAAAACAACACCAAGATCTAACTGCGGTTGCCAACCCACCTGCCAAGCATGGCAACTACTGGCAAAACCCTCCAATAGGGACCTATGTGGAACAGTGGACAATTAACGGCTAAAGTAGTATGATAATTCCCACAGAATGCTGGACGAGTATTTCGCTGAGCAAATGAAGGAGATTATCAAGCAGTGCTCACCGAAGCGGCAGACCATGCTGTTCTCGGCCACCATGAGCGACGAGGTCAAGGACCTCGCCGCCGTGTCGCTCAACAAGCCGGTCAAGTTGTTCGTCGACTCCAACAAAGACGTCGCTTTCAATTTGAGACAGGAGTTTGTTAGGTATGTTGTGTTAAGATGAGGACCGGATTTGGGGGGAAAGGGATTGTTAGTAATTAGGTCTAACTGACCCATTGCTAGCGATACACCGTATTAGGTCGACCTCCACACGGTTCCCCCCTGGAAACTATCGTGGTTAATTCTATTGGAATTCGGCACGATGGGTTAACTGACCTGCTTTCATCGACACCCCTCACTGGTACCCCGCCAGCGTATACTGATATCGCAAGCGGGGTTATCATTCTATTATCACCCATTTAAAAAAAGGACCGCTTTTCCTATTAGACAATATAGGCACCCTGCCAATTTTGTTTTTAGAAATAGTTTCTTTAAGTAAAAATTACATTTGATTACTTAAGAAGCTCTCAGTAAAAATATTTGCCTTGGGTTTTTTTAATGCATCATCATATTTCAGTATATTTCTTAACTCATTTCAATAATACTTATACAAGTACAATTGAAATAGCTTAAGAGGTTAGTACAATACTTGTATTACGAGTATTTTTATACAACTTAGAATGGAAAACAAGCTGACGGCCCACCTGATGGAAAGTGGTAACCGTCGCCTATACACATGAGCAGTACCATGGACATAACAGAGTATACTGTTTCGCCCATGATACCGGGAGGTATCATGGGCGAAACAGGCGCATGGGAATGCGTTGCCATTCCTGAGGACTCAGGTGTTATTCCTTTGTACCCTGTAAATTCACGTCATATCCCACCCTTCAAACCGAAATACAGCCATGCAAACACAACTGCTTCACGGTAGAAACACGAATGGGACAGAGGTACCCAAGCAATCGATTTTTGTACAAAGTCTCCCTATGTAGAGTTATATTGTTATAGTCGTTTACCGTGTGATCCCGGCATAGAATAGGCCACCCTTTTCCCATGGGTGTCTTAAGAGGCGAGTAAGGTAACTTAATGGTCGAGGGATAGGCAACAACATCCCTCCTAAAACATCTCCAAGGCCTAACTATGGTTGGCAACCCGCTTGCTAAGCATTTTTTTTATACCACGGAGGTGACAAACAAGCATACGGCCCACCTGATGGTAAGCGGTTACCGTAGCCTATGAACGCCTGCAATACCAGAGGTATTACGCGCGCATTGCCGATTCTGAAGAAACCTCTTTACTCTCCTTTTGAAGAACCCCACGCTGTAGTCTCTTGGGAAAACTTCGGCAGGGAGCTCATTCCATAACCTGAGTGTTCGTGGGAGAAAACATCTCTGAAACCGCGTTGTACACGACCATTTAGGCTGTAAGGTATGAGGGTGAACTCCCTGTCGATGGCGAGCCGTACGATGATAGAAGATGGCCGCATGCATCGTATTGAATAATTCGCATGCATAAGCATGACAACTATTAACTAGTAGCAAATACAAAATAGAGGGAAGCCTATGTCAGCAACCAATTACGATCTGATTTTCACAGTTCTTTTTAGTCTCGTTAGTTCTTTTGTGACTTTTTTTATTATGTGCGCCCAATGTTTATACCTGAGTTCGCTGCAGGATACGGAGAGAGCGTGAGAGCGACCGTGAGGCCATACTGGCGGCGCTGGTGTGCCGCACGTTCAGGGATCGCGCCGTCATCTTCGTGCAGACCAAGAAACAGGCGCACAGGCTGCACGTGGCACTGGGACTCCTTGGCGTAAAGGTATTTGTTTGTGAGGTGTCTGTCCATGAGAATGGATATTGGTGCCACAAGATAGGAGATTCCTTTCATATTGACGCCTAGTTATCATAGAGTAAAGCAAAAAAATAGAGAAAATTGTGATTAATACTGGAAAAACCTGGCTTTGTATACTAAATAGATCACACTTGACCGCGCGGTTTATAGGCCAGTTTCAGGAATACTATCGTGATCTATTCTGACTTGTTTCATTTTATTTGATTCTGAAGTAGATACCAGACAAGCCTGGGGAAGACACGCTTCCCCTCCCCAATTTAAATACACCAATGGTACTGTCTTCTGCTTTAGTACACATATGTCTTATAATGATGTGTTTTGAAGCAGTTTTGCTTTTTTCAAATTTTTCTTTCAATGGATCACAATATTCACCTCTACAGTATATCTAGGGGAAGGTAGAATTGCTATTAACGGGGACACTAGTCCCCAATCGCTATCAATATACCTCGTCAGGTCACCACCCCGCGGTCCCTCCTGGAAACCATCATGGTTAATTGTTACTGAATTCGCCACGATGTGCCAACTGACCTGACTATCTTCATCCTACACTGGTGTGGTGGTCCCATACTGTTAGTATATATAGGTGAAGCATTCCATGTTCATCCATTAAAAGTCTACATTCCCATCGACTGACATACCGTGGTGGTGGTAGGTGGCGGAGCTGCACGGCGCGCTGACACAGCCGCAGCGGCTGGACTCGCTGCGCCGCTTCAAGGACGAGCTGGCCGACGTGCTGGTCGCCACCGACGTGGCCGCGCGCGGGCTCGACATACCCGGCGTCAGGACCGTGCTCAACTTCACGCTGCCCGCCACCATCGAACATTACATACATAGAGTAAGTCGTCCACCGTCTGCACTTATATCCATATAGTTATTTACCCACCATCACCTCTATCCCATTCGTGTTTCAACCGTGAAGCAGTTGTGTTTGCATGGCTGTGTTTCGGTGTGAAGGGTGGGATTAGCGTGAATTTACTGGGTACAGAGGAATAACACCTGAATCCTCAGGATTGGCAACGTATAGGGTGTATCATGGGCGAAACAGTATACCCTGTTTTGTCCATGCTACTGCTCATGTCTATAGGCGACGGTTACCACTTTCCATCAGGTGGGCCGTCAGCTTGTTTGCATTTTCTAAGTTGTATTAAAAAAACCGTCAAGTACCAATATATACAAAGTAAGTTGTAGATAGATAGATATATAATTTATTTAATTCACTTACAGCATACAAATAACATTAGCTATTGGTATATATTTAAAAAGAAATAAAACAGCAAAACATATACAAAAAAAAAACAAAAAGAAAGTACATAAAAGAGGTAACACAATTTCTCGTGAGTGTGCCACAGTAACACAAAATGGTCACAACTCAGTTTATTGCTTTGCCCTCAAAAGAGCAAAACCTTGATATCCTGTTATGGCCCAAAGTCAAAAGCCAATCGCGAGAATTCTTGAACAAAATAATAATAATAAATATAAATAAATTAATTTAACTAATAGTGTGTGTCCATTACCAATCACTATTCAATATTAATAATATAGTATTAAAAAAAAAAAAAAACGAAGTATGTGTGCCTATAATTAAGAGCTCTATCCATAGAGTAAGTTACTTACCATAAAGCACAATATGTGTAGAGTAAGTTGTCCACCATAGAGCACTGTATTCACAGAGTAAGTCTTATAATTAAGAGCTATATCCATAGAGTAAGTTTCCCACCATTAAACACTATCCTATCTGCCTTTAACTGTCCACTGCTGAACCTATCTCTTGGGAGGTTTTACTAGTAGTTGCCACCCTTGGCAGACAGATTGGCAATCGCAGATAGGCATTAGAGATGTTTTAAGAAAGACGCTACTGCCCATACCTCGACCTCCTTTAGTCGCCTCTTATGACAAGCACGGAGAAGGAAGTGGTGGTCTATTCTATGTCCGGATCGTGCGGCCATGATTAAATTTTTAGATTACTAACAATCCTTTTCCCCCTATGAAATTTGGTCTAGGTGGGAAGAACCGCTCGGGCGGGTCGCGCTGGCGTGTCGGTGTCGCTGGCGGGCGAGGCGGAGCGAGGTCTGGTGAAGGCCATCGTGAAGCGCGCGCGGCGGCCCGTCAAGTCGCGACAGGTGCCGCCCGACATCGTCGCCAAGTACAGGGACCGGCTGGCTAGGCTCGAGCCCGACATTGGTAAGTTACTTTTTGGGGGGGGGGAGGATTGTTATCAATGGGGACGTTAGCCTCCATTAATATCAATATATCCTATCAGGTCGACCTCCACGCGGTTCCCGCTGGAAACCATCGTGACTAATTTATCGTTGAATTTGGCCTATTCTATGCTGGGACTACACACGGCGAAATCTCACTTATGATACAATAAAAGTTTTGTTTCATTCAAATATATCACTATTATCATATTTCCAGCTGCAATACTTGATGAAGAATATGCGGATAAGCAACTGAAGAAAATGGAGAAGCAAACTGCCAAGTTAGAAGGCACACTAAAGAAGGAGGAAGGTCAGGATGGCCCCAAGTATGAAACGAAGAGGCAGCACGAATGGTTCCAGACTAATAAAGAGAAAAGAGAAGAAAAGGAGAGACTAGCTCTTTCTCAGCATCAGGGGAAAGGTATATTATAATTTCAAATTTTGATATTTTTTTTCATTAAAACTTTCATTGAAATAACAATTAATTCAATAAAATAAAATATATATTTTAGTTTCTTGTTTTGATCCAAACAAATTGTTTACTCGATTCTAATTTGATAACTGACATTTTGATTTTTTTTTTTATTTTTCCGCTTTTTAATGATCCATATACTTTTTGTCTTTATATTTCTTTTTTAATTAATATTACTTTTAGATAAACAACAAAAAGGCAAAGGCAAGAAACGTAAACATGACTCTGACGATGATTCGGACGACGGAGGCAGCGGCAAGAAACGAAAGAAGAATACCAAGCAAAAGCCGAAAGACACGCCCGAGGAACGTGTTAGAAGAGAGATGGAAAAGGTAATTTTGTGTATAAGTTTTCATGTCCGTCATACTCGTGAACGTTCACGAGAGTGACGGATGATACTTATTTGCTAGTAGGGAGATTATTATTTGTATTAGCAAGAGTATATTATATTCCTAATAAACTATTATACATTCTAACCAATAAATTTTCTTGTTAGTATAATTATACACATATTGAAAGCTGCTGTTACCATTTCATATGCCGCCTTTATATTTAGCAGCGTCTTTAGTAGCGTTTCTCTTAAAACATCACCAAAACCTAACTGCGGTTGCCAACCCGCCCACCAAGCGTGGCAACTAATGGAAAGACCCACCTAATTATGAGGGAAGGCCTATTCTCAACAGTGGACAGTTAATGACTGATGTGGACGCTGCTGACACGCTCCTACCGGCTGCGTATCGTTTTTTGTGTTTCTACCGTGAAGCAGTTGTGTTTGCATTGCTGTGTTTCGGTTTAAAGGGTGGGATATGGTGTGAATTTACTGGGTATAGAGGAATAACACCCGAGTCCTCAGGAATAGCAATGCATGGGGGGGGGGGGGGTATCATGGGCGACTACTATAATACCATGGACATAACAGTATACTCTGTTATGTCCATGGTACTGCTCATTTCTATAGGCGACGGTTACCACTTTCCATTAAGTGGGCCGTCAGCTTGTTTGCCATTCTAAGTTGTATAAAAAAAAAACCTTTGTATAAAGATTTAATTAATTTTTATGCAGCTTGAATGCAAACAAGCAAACCCACCTCATGAAAAATTATAACAGTTTTTTATGAATGTTATCAGCACCATGGCTATTACAGAATGCTTATGGTACCCATCATTCAATTCCATTTTTGACGACTAAAATGTTAAGCTCCTATACCCTATAATTTCAGCCATGTCTCATCCTTTAAACCATGCAAAAAATCATTTATATTGCTGCTGAGCAATATGGATGACTTTTTTACAAAATCCATTTACCATAGACTTAGTGTAACATTCTCTTCCTCTTACAATATGGAATCCTCAAGGATAGTTATATTCATAATTTTCCATAATTTTTAATTTTCATAGTTGCATTCAGTTTTTTGAATAGTCTTTATTTATCAGGTGGCCCTTCTCCAATCAAGAATGGCGAAACGGAAGAAGAAACAACGTCGTATCCGCACCGTTGACGACGATGATGACAGACCACAAATTCCACAGAAAAAATCATTTAAGAACAAAAATAAAAAGCAGAATAACTTCGCCAATGACCTAACAGATACATCTCAAAAAGCCGCCAAAAGACTACGTTACGATGCGAATAAGGTTCAGAAAGGAAAGGGATTGCACCAAAAAGGCAAAGGACAATCCTCTAAAGGGAAAGGAACACCCCAAAAAGGTAAAGGATTCGCAAAAGGAAAAAATAAGACATTCGGCAAACCTCAAGCGCCAAAACAGGGACGAAGACAAAACAAATAAAATTTACCTTTGTAGTATTTTGTTTTATTTTTATATAAAAAAAATATTGTTATCTATGGACACTGCCATTGATATACGAAAAAAAATTCTACTGAAGATCAGGCTGTATGGCTTAGTTCTTTTGCCTTTCCCATTGTGGATAAATTGATAGTACTACTACCTTAGATTAGTATGTTATACTAAGTCTATGACTACTACTATACAAAAAAAAAAAACAACGATTTACACTATTAAATTAAACATGTCAGAACAAAAGATTGAAAATGTGACTGTAAAATTTGATTTTTTTAACGTCTTGTTTTTTTTCTGTTAATAAATGATATCGGCAAAAAAATATTCGAATAAATAATTTCATTCTCATGCGCCTGCCCCAACTAAGATATTTTCCACTGGATACAAGATAAAAGTCTCAATATGGCACCTGAAAACTTTCCTTACTAGTTATTAGCTTTTCGATACAGCCTCACCTTGTATTGAAAATTAAATTATTCACATTGATAGTGCTGTTTATCATTTCATTATCATCATGTCATCATCTTCCTACCCTTATCCCAATAACTATTTGGGGTCAGCGTAAAATGGTTTTATCCATATTACTAAAAGATTTGGCATATAGTTTCACGACCGGCCGCCTATCAGTATGCCCTAACGGCGCTTCAGGGAGGGATGATAGGTGAAGGTTAAAGGAGGTCTCTTAGCTCATCATGACGAATTTCTCAAGAATTAATAAAAAATATTTCGACAAGGAACCGTCAGGAGGTCAACCAGATAGAGTATATTGCTAGCAATGTGGTTATTAGCTCTCCATTACTGGATTGTTAGTAACGCGATCTACAAATCCCATTGCTAGCAATATACCCTGTTCGGTCGACCTCCACTTGGTCCCCCCTGGAAACTATCGTGCTAAATTCCAGGTGTATTCATCACGATGAGCTAACTGACCTGCCTTTTCATTTGTTCACCTGTCATCTTCTACTGGTGCCCCGCCAGTGTTTTAAGCGCGGGCGGGGTTATTATTCCATTTATACCCTTTAAAAAAAGCTCTCCATTACTAACAACCCCTTTCCCCCCATGAAAGCAAGTTAGTTACAACGTTGTGACAAATTCATCAACAATTGACAATGGTTTTAGTGGCGACCGTGTGGAGGCCGATCTGTCGGTGCCATCATATTAGCCGTTAACTGTTTACCGCTGAACATGTAGTGGATATTGGGAAATGCCTTTTTCCTTTATTAGTGGTTTAGATCGAGTTACTAATTAATATATTCATTGAAATATAAATTAATGTATTACTAATTTAGTAGTTGAATTATAAAATTAGTAATTACTAATTATTTGAATAACAAAATCATTCATATTTGCGCACTGTAAATCTACGGAGGTATATCTAAACATCTGTCTTACGAGTGGCTTGACTTCAGCAACTCGTTTATTTATTTAATTAGGGTTGGCGACTCATTCATTTTCTTCCAATTTGAATCTGAGAAATTGACTCACAATTAAATCGAAGCTTAAAAAACCAGATCTCAATGATCAATTTTTTTTCGAGTTTGTGCATTTAAAATGAATTTAAATCTAATTATGGAAAACGAAACGATCATCTTAATAATTGATATTTCATCACTTTTTTTTGCAAATCCCTATATCATTTATTTTGTAAATTTACTTTCATGTATTTATACACTTTCAAGAACATAATTGTAAATATATTTTACTTGACAATGCAGAAAAAAAAAATCTATTTTCTAGAATGGAGTATTGATTTGCTAGATTAATTTAAAGCTATATATCAATTATAAATATTGATTTATTTATTAGAAAAAACAGATATATCGATTAATCGATTTTAGAGCACCATTTTATTTAGTTTATCTTATGTAGAAGATCCTTTTTATAATAAACTTACAATATAAATAATTATTAATAAAACTATGGTCCAAAAAGTCTTAGGAGACTTCTTTATACAATGATCCAATATAGGAACATCTTATTTTTTAAAAGCTATTCAAACAACTAAACATTATAAATAACCGTCTATGATGTCATTATAATTGACAGTTTCCGTTATAGACAATAAGAACGTACGAATGACAACCATAGACATATCTGTGGCGTCGTCGCTAAGCGGATCTTGTTTATGATCAACATTTTCCTTTACAAAACATAATTAATGTCTATTTATTGAATTTATCGCATATTTTGATAAATATCAAACAACTTAATTGTACATTTCGTGTAATGTACATCCAGTGTCAAAGTACGCATATAAAACGTGGCTGGAATCGTACAGTTTACATTAAAAAGACCAAAGTTTTTTTCTCCTCCGATAAAGCGGGAAACCTCCGTTGTGACGCGCATTATACCAATTTATTTCGTGGAGAGGTTCGCTAGAATTTCATAACCGTCTTGTTATGTGTTCATTTAGACTTTGACAGTGCAATTGTGACATACTTTGCAAAATTTGACAATGTCGGATGAAATGGCGATTGGTGATAATGCTTCTAATGAAGAAGTGAAGGTAAACGGTGATGAGACAGTACCAGAGGGCAGCGAGGATGCCGAAGCAGTAGCTCCGGACCCACCCACTGAGGCTGTACTACTTAAAACAGAGGAGCCGTCTGTTTCTACAGAAGGTATAACTTTCACATAACCTATATATTTAATGTCAAATTATGCCACATTACTTTAAATCCATTTTAATTGTACAAAAATATAACCTATTTGGTATTATATACCTATTTTATTAGTTTTTATTCATCATTTAATTAGATTTTTTTAGTAAATATTGAAACATTAAACTCGCTCATAAGGAAGTGGATTGTTGGATATAAGGTAAAAAGTTATTCATTTAAAGTTTATATAGGTTCTACTTACATTATTTAGTATTGGAATGTTTGCTCTTGCATAGCGAGTATTCATCTTATTTTTTTATCTTAATATATTCATATTCCGAGGCATGATATTCTTTTATGGTAGTCTCTGAAACCGTTCAACCTATTGTAACAAATTTGCATATGAAGATTATTTGTGTTTTTTATATATAGTGGAATCCGGACAACTTACACTTTACAGCAGTTGGTAAAAGTTTCAACTTAATGCAGTTTAAACTTATTTGTCTTCAGTTAGTTCAGATAGGCAGAATTTCTATGTATACAATTCAAATTGTTAGCAACAGGTTTTTATTTTTTTCTTAACACGAAATGACCTATATATAGGTCATTTCGTGTTGTGCTACCCTTCTAAGAAGAAAGTTGCAAAGTCTGCCGTCTCTTATATCTGTCACCCATAAGACATAGTCTATTGGTCAATCCAGTACTAAGGGTCATAGTGTAATATAATTGCAAGTTACACAGTTAAATAAAATTGCAAGATTAAAAAAAATTATCCCAATAAGTTCCAGGAATACAAAATAATGATTATATGTTATGAATATTCTTTACAGAGTTTTTAAATTTGATTGCGTGAGTACTAGCTTTTACTCTAAACTTTGTCTCCATGACTGGAATATGTTTATTGACCGAGCTAAATAGCTTATATAATTTTTTATTCCATGTTGTATCACATCAGCCTTTGACTGTCCACTGCTCGGAGATCGAGGAGGAGGTTGTGGTTAAGTCTAGTGGAATTTGTTATGATGGGCTAACTGATTTGTTTTCATCATCAACTATCATTCCTCAATGGCATCCTACTAGAGTATACTGATAGTGCAGATATGGTTACCATTCTATTTTCACCCATTAAAAAAAACTGTCCACTGCTGAACATAAGCCTTTCTCCTTAGGAGGATTTTGCTAGTAGTTACAATGCTTGGCATGTGGATCGGCAACCATAGTTAAGCTTTGGAGAAATTTTAAGAGGGACGCTACTGCCAATCCAACATCCTCTCTTAGTCACCTCTTATGACACCCATGGGAAAGGGAGGTTTGGCCTATTCTGTGCCAAGACCATACGGCAATATCATAAATTCTGGGAATACAAATTAATAATGACTAGTTGATGCCTGCGACTTTGTCCCTGTGGTGTTTGTTATTCTTGTTTAGTATGTATCAATGTATGTACCTATCTATTTATTATGTCTAGGAATATTGGACTTAATTTAAAAAATTACTCTTTGTCTTAGGTTAAAATTAATTTACCCAAGTAGGTTGTGTACTAAGCTGTATAAGTTACTATAGTTTTTCAACTATACCAGGGGGCACAATTAAAAGTATCTAAAATGTTGACAGGGGATGTAAGGTACCATGCAAAATTTCATTTAAATTGGTACAACAGATTCAGAGATTAGTCATAAAAACAAAAACAGAAAGAAACAAAAAATTGAATAAATCTGAATGTGTTCTTTTTCACTTGTAACCCCTGACACAGTTTTTAGCGTTTTTTTTCTATGTACAGAAATTCCTTAACTGTTTTATTAGTATTAATCTATACATTTTACATGTTCCTAAAAGTTACAAAAAAAGTTAGTTTTTTTTTTAATTTGAGTCACTGACTTGAGCGACTGATTGATTTTTTCTCTAAATTTTGTCTGTATGACTGGGATATGTTCATTGACCCAGATAAATAGCTTATATGCTTTCTCATTCCATATACTGACGCATATAATAGATTGTCCACAAATGCTTCAATTGTTTAACTTTCGTGTTCCCTCTAGAATACCTCAGAAACAGATAACACCTTTATGTCCTCCGTTAAGAAGAACAGTGTTAGGAGCCAACTCGCCTGTGCCCAGATTATGTAGGATTCTGAATGCTCACAGCGATCAAATTGACATCAATTTTGGACCCACCAACAGCAGATATAGCTTATTGCGGAAAATCTTAGACATAAGTTCTTAATCTACTTATTATTCAGATAATCTTATTGTTATTGTTAATGATTTATTAAATATTATAATAGTGCATGTGGTGTTCGCCTATAAAAGATTTTTACATTAGACAAAATTATTTTTTGTGTTATTAAGTTGCATGTAAAATGTAAAAGTTGTATGTGAACCTTATTATTAAATAAATAAAAATATAGTATGTGTATACCAAAGTTCATAGTGATTGGTTAAATTATTAAAGTGCTACACTGATGATAATGAAGCCTGGTCAGTTTATCTCATATTTATGGAGGGAACCCTCAGCATGTGAGATCAACTCACACTTGACTGGTTTACAAGATTAGATTTTTATTGTTATGAAAGCATTTTTTAAATCAGTGTTTTTCAATCTTTATCATAGCGGTGATCCCCTTAGTATGTAAAAATATCTTGTGACCCCATACCCTCTGCGGTTCAGCACCTGTATGTATTTTATTATAGTATAATTATGGAATCCCTACAGTTTTATTTATATTTATAGTTAGGTATCACTTAAATAAAGTAAATAAATAATACATAATGAAATGGCCCTGTGGTCCCAGCCTAGAATAGGCTACCCCTGCCTTTTCAACTAACTGATTAAGGGAAGGCGAGGGATGAGCAGCAGGATCCCTCTTAAAATATCTCTAAATCCTGACAGCGGTTGCCAATTCGCCTGCCAAGCGTGGTAACTACTAGAAAAACACCCCAAGGGGGAGGCTTATGTTCAGTAGTTGACAGTTAAAGGATGATATTACGATGATGATGATGACATATTGAAGTATCTAAAACAGACATCGATTATTTTATGAAACTGTTATTTTTTCACTGCTTCGTGACCTTCTGTGACCCCCTTGTAGGGACTCGGGAATCTGAAAGAGTCGCGACCCACGCCTTGAATAATACCGCTTTAAACAATTAAGCAGAAACAATGATATATATTGTTTTCCAAAATTGGCAGCCATTTGCGATGTTGCCACACTTCAATGAGCTAAAATAAAAGAATGTTTAGCTCTTAATATTGAAATGACTAAAAAGTTTTAATAATATACTGCTTGACAGATGTAGGAGATTCAAAGGAGAGTGATACAGAAGCATGTGCTGTAAATAAAACGGAGCCAGATGTAGAACAAGAGCAGGAAGAGGCTGTTGCAGGAGATAAACTCGACACGGAGATGAAAGATGATGATGATGACAAACGAGGAATCAAACGTAGAGCATCCGCTGCTTTCAGTGATGCTGACGATGAACAGTTTAAAGGTTTTGATTCTGTCGATGACAAAGATGTGTCTGTAGACTACGGCCGAGTTATTGGTAAGTATCATATAATAATAAATATTGTAGTAACAATAATAAATATTACACAACGCCATCTAGTTTGAAACTAAAAGCTTGTATTTCGTTTACTAGACAACGAATAGAAATACTTATTTTTCTTTTATTTATTTATTTAACATTTAAAATTATACAGTGATCATTTCAGAAACTGTATACTGTTTAGCAATTTATTGAGATATATTAACACTCTTTAAAAAATATAAATTTTTTCAATATATAATATATTTACGTAACTTTTTATCAGGTTTAATACATATTATACATAGATATTTACAAAAAAAAAATTAAAATACATATTTCTTACTTGCTTTTCTGTGGTAATAATTTACTTGTAAAATAATAATTTTCTTCTATTTTCAAATTATCTTTTTAATTTTCCAATCCACTTTTTTAAATTCTCTACAAAAATTGGATCCAAAAGATATATTTTTTTACAACTCTTTGATAAGCAGTAATTACAATGCCATATTCTATTCTTCAAATTGAAATACAGCAATAATAATATAAGTGCACTCCCATTTTTACTATACCTAATAATCATTCCTCTATGTAAGGCATTTATAATAAATTAGCAGAGCTATTATATTTTTAACTCTTTTTAGGACAAAACAATAAACTGAGTTATGGCCATTTTGTGTTACTGTGGTACACACGAAAAGAAAAAAATATGTTACTTCTTAAAAAAAAAATTAAAAACTGAAAGTACATAATTTTTTTTTTTCTCTTTTTTGTCTGTTATTTATGCAAATAAATTATAATATATATTGATCTATTTTAAATATAAATTAAGACTGAAGGCTTAAGGATAATTGTTTTAAACCAGAACGTCTGGAAGCGGAGGTGTCAGCAGCCACAAAGGATTTCACTCCGTTGCGGAGTGTGATGGCTATACCGTCCGTACCAGTCAGAGCCAGCAAACGGGCTAGGCAAGACACTGGTAAGTATAGGAAGGAATACTTCATGATATCTATACTATCACACATTGAATGGTCCAAAAGAGAAGCTTACTGCAGAAGTGAGAGTTCAATTTATATATATTTTATACTAGGCATGGGTAATATGAATACCGATACTATATCTTATATTATATATTATACATTGATGGACGAAAAATTATCATCGCCCATTTAGATATCGCCCGTATCGGTTGGATATCTATTTTCGAATATGTTAAATGCCTGCTATCCAATATTATTATTTGGATAATCGACCGCACATTTACAGGATACAGAGGAATAACACCTGAGTCCTCAGGAACGGAAACGTATGAGGGGTATCATGGGCGAAACAGTATACTCTGTTATGTCCATGGTACTGCTCATGTCTATAGGCCACTTTCCATCAGGTGGGTCGTCAGCTTGTTTGCCATTCTAAGTAGTATAAAAAAAAAAAACTTAACAACCTTAGTATAAATTTTTCAAATTTGGAATAGTCATGATTTAATATATGTATATAATGTATTATCATTAACAGATTATCATCGTATAATGTATTATTCATTTTAGATGGATCGCGGCCTTCGTCAGCCTTATCATCAAGGTCTGATGGAGATGGGATCGTATCCACTGATGTAAGTTTACACAGTTTTATCACACCTATATTATAATTTGCGTTAATTAAATGATCTAATGAATGTTTGGTATGTCTTGTATGAAATCGAACGCAAAAGAATTGGTGTTCAAATTTTTTACATCCTTTTTTTGTTAGGATAAATGAAATTACTAATTATAAATATAATTATATATATATTTAATCTTTAATATTACTTACTTATTTATTACAATTATGATAATAATATTTCAACATAGATGTTATTACATACTTACATTTGAATTACAATAATGTATTAATTAGACAATGAATTAAATTAATAATCAGTCAAAATAATATTTATGATCCGTATAAGATCCAATTACAAATTTATTACAATTATTCTATTTTTTTATGCTTTCTTCTGGAAGTATGCTCACCTGGTTCCGATTGTAAGTCTAAAGTTTTTATATTAATAAGGTCATAAAATCGAGTAATGTTTGCCCGATTTAATTCTTACTTTAGATAAAGAATTAAAAGATAAATGGAATATTAATAGAGTAATAATTTATTCTTCATCTAAAAGCATCAAAGGTTAAAGGTTAAAAAGTTAGGTTCTATTTGATTTGAAATGATAACAATGGAAATTGTTTCAACATTTCCACTTTCATGAAGCTGAAACTGTAATGATATGATCAAATCAGTGTCTGAACTAATTGATCTTTATTTCAAGTTTACAAGTATCCTGTTAATACCCATGTTACATCTCTATTTCTATTCGTGCTAGCTCGTGATAATAAAACACCATCTTGTCTATGTCGACATAGATCGATAGCTGTTACCTGAATAAGCTTGTCTACCAAAACGTGTCTTATGTTATGCACATATTTGTGTGCGTTTAGACCGAAAAATTCGATGGGGTGTATACGGCATTTAATTAGAAACATGTCGGTCGCGTAGTCTTAGTCACTTTCTCGTGTGGAGGAGCAAGTGTGGGCAGCAGTGCGGGGTGTGTTTTTTTTTTTTTTGATGGGTGAAAATGGTATTGTAACCCCGCCTGCGCTAACGGGATACTCAGGAGGAGCACCAGTGAAGGGTGATAGATGAGAATGAAAACAGGCCAGTTAGCCCATCATGGTGAATTCATCAGGAATTAACCATGATAGTTTCCAGGGGGAACCGCGTGGAGGTCGACCTGGTTGGGTATATTGCTAGCAATGGGATTCTCAATCTCCATTACTAATAATCCTTTCCCCCCTGCGGAGTGTGTTGCCCCTCCGTACTCGCGTCATGGCCGTGCATAGACGGATGCTTTGTGGTGAAGTAAGTATGACGAAGATGTGGTGTGCAGGCGCAGGGCGCGCGCGGGCGTCGCACTGGCGCGGAGATGTGGTCGCCGCTGCTGCGCGTGCCGCTGGAGCGCGGCTGGCGGCGCGAGCTGGTCTACCGCGCCGCGCTCGACGCGCACTCGCGCCGCAACGCGGACATCTACTACTACACGCCGCAGGGCAAGAAGCTGCGCTCCACGCGCGAGGTACGTGCACACGTACCGCGCGAGGTCATTCGCCTTGCCTCACCTTACCTTTTTCTTTCCCCGTGGGCTGTTGCAGCTGCGGCTGCGGCTACGGCTACGACTAGGGTTAGAGTTACAGCTTGTTTCTTAAAAAAAAAAAAAAAACAGTAAAATCTACTACAAATTCTCATTGTAATTATTACTGGATATATTAATTACAAGTAATGTAGTGCATAAGATGTTTTTTTAAAATAATACTCTATTGTTATTAAAGGTGGCAGAGAATCTCTCCGGGACTGGGCTGACACTGGAAAACTTCTCGTTTTTCAAAGAACCCTTGGGAGTCGACGATCCCGAAAAAGAGATAATACGGTAAATATATATAATAATAAAACTCATATTTGTTTTATGTGTCTTTAGTCCATGTGGTCCAGGCGTAAAACAGACCACTCTTTCCTTTTTCAATCTGCTTGCCAAGCGTGGCAACTACTGGCAAAACCTCCCAGTCTATGGGGGAGGCTTATGTTCAGTAATGAACAATTAAAGGATGAGATAATAATGATACTTATTTTTTTTTATTTCACTCTACCAGAGGGAGACTACAAAAGTCGATTACTTGGGTACCTCTGTCCCACTCGTGTTTCAACCGTGAAGTAGATGTGTTTGCATGGCTGTGTTTTATTTATTTATTTATTCATTAGTACAAATATGTGTACATGGCGAACTTAATGCTAAAAGCATTCTCTCCCTGTCAACCATAGGGGAGTGTCAGAATACTCGAATGCGGTACTACTAATTATTGATATACATACATACTAAAATTACATATATAAACGAATAAATATATATAAATAACAAATATACTTACATATATATGACATATACTATATTATACACGAAATTGAGAATAATATAAAGTACTTACTGTGTTTCGATTTGAAGGGTGAGATATGGCGTGAATTTACAGGGTACAGAGGAATAACACCTGAGTCCTCAGGAATGGCAACGCATTGGGGTATCATGGGCGAAACAGTATACTCTGTTGTCCATGGAACTGCTCATGTCTATAGGCGACGGTTACCACTTTATATAAGGTGGGCCGTCAGCTTGTTTGCCATTCTATGTTGTTTAAAAAGAAAAAAAAACTGTATTTTTTTTCATGAACGTTATGTTATATATTTATCGAAACTCCCGTGTTACTATTCTATCATCATTTCAGCCATTATCTATCCACTGCTGGACAGATAATGACTGAAAGCCTCCTCCATAGAGTGCTATAAATTTACTTTTCTATAATTTTTTTTTATTTTGTTTTCGATAATGATTGAATTAATTTAGGTCATGTTTTTTGGAATTGTCTACATTATGGCACAGTCAGTATACAGTATATTACACAACGGGCATTATTCTCAAATTTTATTTTAATCGCTACCAATAATTGGGACCGAAATTGTCTTTTTTTTATTTATTTTTTATTAAAAAAACAACAGTTCAAAAATTTTATTAAAAAATTTACAATAAAGACAAAATGTCAATTACAGATTGTAACAAATAAAAACGAGATTTAACTAAATAATAATAATAATAAATAGATTTATTTTCTTTTCACAATTCATCGCAGTGAGATACAAAGAGACATGCTTATATAAAAGTAATCAAATTATAAATATAATTGTGAGAGACTGGTGCCTGAGATAGGTATAAGAATACCTGTATTACAGGCCACCAGGGCCTCACTCCGCAGGGTTACTTACTAAGTACTTGTAATGAGTATGATATCGCTAATATGTACAATTAATTAATTAAATTTTAAGTAATAGGTAAATATAAATATAGTTATAAATCCATCTTATTATATTTATCTTTACAAGATAAATAAATAGATGAATAATATTATAATGAAACGTGATCGTGGAACAGCGACGCGAAGATGATCCGGCGCGTAGAGTCGCCGGTGTCGGCGGCGCCGCCGCAGCCCGTGGAGGGCAAGCGCACGCCGAAGCCCAAGCCGCCTAAGGGCGCCAGCCCCGAGCCCGCCATCAAGTCGCCGCCTGCTAAGCTCAAGGTAAGCCTGCTAAGCACACCCGTGGACTTACTCTTCAAATAAATTCCAATAAATCGATATTGCAATTGAAACGTTTCGCACTCTCAATATACAATACTAACGACATAATGGTTCCATATTGTTCAGATAGACGCATATTAGATAGATAGATAGATAGTCTTTATTACTAGCAATAGTTAAAAAACAACAATAAAACAGTAAAAAAAAGATGTTTTGTGGTTTTTTTTTTTTTTAATGGATGATAATGGAATGGTAACCCCGCCCGCGCTATCGTTATACACCGGCGGGGCACCAGTGAAGGATGATATATGAGGATGAAGCAGGTCAGTTAGCCCATCGTGACGAATTCAATAAGAATTGTTCACGATGGTTTCCAGGGGAACCACGTGGAGGTCGACCTAATAGGGTATATTGCTAACAATAGGGGTGTCAATCTCCATTCCTAACAATCCATTTCCCCCCATTTTGCTGGTATTAGTGTTACTTGCCAATGCAAACTATTGCAAACCTATCCCAATTCTAAGGTGATTCCTTGTCGTTGAATCATGGGTGCAGTACAAAACTGTCATTAGCAAGAGATTGGATTGATATTGATGTTTCAAGAATAGACCTGCTGATCGTAATCTATACTTATAATAAATCTGTACAGAAGTCAATTCTGTACATGAAATATATTTCCAAAATAACTATCAGCGGGTGATTAGTGATCGATACTGAAGCCAAAAATACAATCAGTAAAATTTTCGTCTGTCTGTCTGTATGTTCGTTGTAGAAACAAAAACTACTCGACGGATTGTAAAGAAACTTGGTACAATTATTCTTCATACTCCTGGACAGGTTATAGTATACTTTTCATCACGCTACGATCCATAGGAGCAGAGCAGTGAAGGGAAATGTTGGGAAAACGGGAGAAGTTACTCCATTTTTATAAGCTACCGTCGCGTGTGCAGCCTTAATGGCCACTTTTTAAAATGTAAAAATGTCAACCCGTGCGAAGCCGGGACGGGCCGCTAGTCATACATAAAGTAATATAAAGGTCGTGTAATAATTATGTTCCTTAAAAAAAAAAACAACTACAATTATGACATAACCAGTTGTTTTAATTAAAAAACTATTGAATTAATTTTGATAAAGTTTCTATGGGATACGTAAGCATATCCTTTCAGATGCAAAGATCCTTCCAAATCGATTTACAGCTGATGGAGTAATGAGGTAACAAATATAAAAAAAATATACAGCCGAATTTTGAACTTTCTTTTTGAAATCGATTGAAAAGATTGATCAAATATTGTTAACACTTTGTTAAACCCAAAAACCTTTTTTAATCCCTCTTACTAGTCATGGGACCAACCTTGACTAGTGGGACATACAGTATGAAATAAAAGTCATTAGCACCCTTGTATAAAGGTGTTCTACCAGTAAAACATAAAGTTTATTTTTTCCTAAACAAACATGAGTTGTAAATCATTAAAAAAATATACTTCTTAATTTTGTCGTAATATTTATTAAAAGTTTGTAAGTTTCATACACTGTGTTTTCTTTCTTTCTTTTAACCCTGATCGAGAAATATGTGTGGTGGTAGCACATACACTTGTTTTAAAAAAATGCAACTCATTCATTGAACCTCTTAATGTGACTCTATTCTTTTTTTTATCATTTAATAGAAAAAAAAAATAAACTTTTTTAAAAAAAGTGAATAATTCCGTAGAATGGTATCTTAAATAGTTGTACTGTATAATACAGGTGAAATCGGTGGGGTCACGATTGAGCAGTGCACAGGCCGCCGTAACCCCCACGACAACACCCAAGCAACAGAAGAAGGCCCAGCCAGCGCCCAGCGCCGATAACAACAACACCGCCGCCTGGAAGAAACCCAGGTAATGCCCTTGTATATTGAAGTCTACATTATTTTTAGATACAAATTAATTATTGTATCTGAGAGGTACTGTATTGACCTCTCAGATATAAAATAAAAATTTTGTATCTTGTTCTATTTGTGGACGAACAGGGTACGATGTTGTCGTTTAAGAATAAATAAAAAAATTGCATACATTTTGCTCTGTAATTATATCGTGACGATAAATTCGTGCTATGTTGAGGTATACAAGTATCTGTAGCAGTGACTTTTTTTGTCAATAAAATGCAATTATTTCTCATTCATAAGTCAAAGACATGATATCTTTGTCATGTCTTTGACATTTTCATTCATGATATAAACACGAATGTCAAATACATGACATATTTGTCATGTCTTTGACATTCCCTTTCATAAGTCAAAGAAATGACGTCTTATATTTGAATTATGTCTGCGAAAATACGTTCGAATATACGTTTTAGTAGTGGTATAAAATTTATATGGTTTGATACATTTTCCTATGTGTTTGTTATTAAAATTGTATGTTATTTTATTTTTAAGATATATTTTATAAGTTGTAACAATTGTTTTTGTAGATTTAATTTACGTAAGTGATATAATGTGCAAATAAACATAAAACGAATTATATAAAAATGTGATATAAGTATTTTATGAATTTCCTATGTGTATGTATATATATATATATATATATATATATAATATTTTAACAAAACAACTCGTTCTTTTGTTTTGTAATATAATGTTGGTGAGACTTTGCCTCCCGTTTGTGTGTTCTATCGTTTGCATACCGGATTGTGTTCGGAGGAATTGTTAGAAATGATACCCACAACCACCTTTTATAATGGCACCGCTCGCCATCGACGGAATTCATGTTCACACGCACACATTCACTGCGGTTTCAGTGGAGTTATCTCTTGTGAATGTTCAGGGAATGATCTTCCTATCGAAGTTTTTTCGAGAGGCGTAAAGTAAGGGCAACGTGCACGTAACACCCCTAGTGTTTGCAACACTAGGGGTGTCACGTGCACGTCCATAGTTTACAGGACCGTTTATTATCAGACGGGCTGTATGCTTTTTGTGCATTAGCTTCGTTTGCAAAAAAAGTATAAATATTCTATGTTTATATGGTTATAATCGAATTCTGTAAAATGTAGAATATTGCCGTATGTATCTAACTCTACATGATCGTTTATTAACCATACTAAGAAATGTGTGGATCAAAATGGCGTAGAAAAGAAGAATATTATTATGTTTCCAAGTGTAATTGTGTGGGAGAATGTGGCATGTAAAAATATATTAATATTTTTAGATGCATTAATATGTAAATGTAGATAAAAGAGTGAAGGAGTCACCTCTGACTCCAAGTGAGCCGGGGTGAAATGTGATAGTGTTAATACTGGTGTGATAGTACGCTAGCGGAGGGTTAATTGACAAGTGCAATTAACCCTCCACTGCGGGTACTGAGCCGGCGCGAGTGTAGTTGCGTGTGGCCAGACCGCCGGCGTCGCAGCCGGCCCCCTCCACCTCGCCCCCGCATCAGCCGTTGCTGCAGCAGCCGCCGCTGCAGCAGCCCCCGCCGCCGCCCCCGCCGCCACCGCCGCCACCACTACAGAGCCGCCCCACGCACCATCACACCGCGCCCGATATGCAGGTCGGTCATTTTGATTTTTAAATTCATAAGTTTGTTCAAAAATATTATTATATTTAAAACAAATGTTTATAATGTCATCCGCCATCTTGTGACAGCGGCCATTTTGAAAATATAATATTGAGTCATGCATATTACCTTGTCACCAGAACTAAAGATATATGCAGAATTTGAGTAAAGTCAGTTGGGAAGAATTGGTTATAATTCGAAGCTTACAAAATTTCATCTAAATAAACTACCATATATTGCAATTTGAATATGAGCTCGTAAAAATATTAACCTATGTTTGTAGTTAAAGAAAAACAGATTTTATACTCAATATTGCTACCACATTATATACCATAGTGCTGTCTTTTTTTTATGCGACTGAGAATAGCATACAAGCTGACGGCCTACCTGATGAAAAGTGGTAATCGTCGCCTATAGGCATGAGCAGTACCATGGACATAACAGAGTGTACTGTTTCGCCCATGATACCCCTCATGCGTTGCCATTCCTGAGGCAACACCTGAGTGTGTTATTCCTCTGTACCCTGTAAATTCACAGCCATATCCCACTCTTCAAACTGAAACACATCATCAGTATTTTTCTTTTGTCACGGCAAGTGCATGGTGGTTATACATGCGATAATTTTTATATGCAATTTTAAATAGCGAACGAGTCGACAGCGCATCTAATGGAAATTGGTAACCGTTATGTAATAATTTTATTTCACGTATCACGAACGTCACGAACGTATCGCCCGCCCGCGGTCCTCCCTAAGCCCGGTGCTGTTTCTACTAACGCCAACCGTTTCCCAGGAGTGGGGTGAATGTGAGCGTGAGGGTGAGGGTATGTTGCAGCCGGCGCGGCGGCTGGCGCAGCCGTGCTCGCTGACGTGCGGGCGCGGCGTGCCCACGCTGGCCTGCGCCGCCTGCCTGTGCCTCTACCACCCCGCCTGCGCCGGCTACAGCTCCGTGCCGCCCTCCTCCTCCTCCTCGCCCGTGCTCTGCAAGGTACGTACTGCGCCGGCTACAGCGCCGCGACGCTATTTTCTTCCTTCTCATTGTTCTCCTCCTCCTCCTCCTTTTTCTCCTCCTCCTCCTCCTCCTCCTCCTCCTCCTATTCCTCCTGCTCCTCATCGCCCTTCTTTTCTTCACCCCATTTATCCTCCTCTCCTTCGCCCTTTTCCTTTTCTTTCTGATCTTCTTCCCTTTTCCTCTACCTCTGCCTTCTTTTTCTCCAAAGGGAGGAGCCTGTACTCCTCTTCCTGCTCATCCGTACTTAGTAGAGTGCGTACTGCGGCGCTCGCCTGTGTTTTTACGACTCCATCTCATTAACTACTTTTTTTAGAATTGCCGCAAGTCCACGTCACCACCAATAGATCCGCCGCCGCTGACGCACAAGTCCGGCGTGACGGCGGCCGGCTCGGCGCCGGCACCCGTGCCGCGCCGGGTTCCGGTACCGGTACCGGTCCCGGTTCAGAAAGTTAGACCCGATAAGCGCGTGCTGCTGCGGATGAAGGTAAGCTTTTTCTTATACTACTGAGGTGGCAATCAAGCATACGGCCCATCTGATGGTAAGTGGTTACCGTAGCACTTAACCCCCTTTTTGACGAACCCCATGCTGTAGTGTCTTGAAAGAAACCTCGGCCGGGAGCTCACTTCATAACCTGAGTGTTCGTGGGAGAAAACATGTTTTATTGTTCGAGGGGTACATGCATTCGGAATAATTCAGATCGAGCTTAAAACGGTCCATAATTTTTTAGTAGATGTACTACGTAGGTCTCGGGGTGCTTCGAGGCGAGGAAATTATCGATAAAAACATTTCTAATCTGTAACTAAGAAAATTTTAGTATTTTTTCGTATCAACCGACTTTAAAAAGAATTAAGGTTTTCAATTCGGTTGTGTTTTTATGTTTGTTACCTCATAGTTCCGTCGTTTAAAAATCGATTATATGCTTACTGATTGGTTTCGTAGAAATTTTATCAAAATCGGTACAGTTGTTTAGTTTGGAAATAAAAATAAGTGGATTAGCCACAATTGATTAAAAATTATTTTAAAAAGGGGATGTGAGCTAGTTCTTTTTTTTATACAACTTAGAATGGCAAACAAGCTGACGGCCCACCTGATGGAAAGTGGTAACCGTCGCCTATAGACACGAGCAGTGGTCATGGACAAAACAGAGGTATATGGTACTGTTTCGAACTCAGAACTCAGATGTTATTCCTCTGTACCCAGTAAATTCACGCCATATCCCACCCTTCAAACCGAAACACAGCCATGCAAACACAACTGCTTCACAGTAGAAACACGAATGGAATAGAGATACCCAAGCAAACGACTTTTGTACAAAGTCTCCCTCTGGTTACCAGAGGGAAACTTTGTACAAAAGTCGATGTTGTCGATTAAAAATGTTTTAAGAGGGACACTGCTGCCCATCCCTTTGCTATTAAGTTTCTTTAGTCGCCTGTTACGACACCCACAAGAAAAATGTGACCTATTCTATACGCGGATGATATTATGATCATGTAAATATATAAATACGAAGACATACAAATATATATAAATATACATGAATATACAGAAATATTAATATAAATAAATATACAAATGAACGACATGCTTTCTAACTGTATTGGGTTGACTGGAAGTGATCTCTGTCAGAGATAAGTCCACTCTTGCTCACAATATTTGTAAATGCATTAACAATGTAATTTACAAGTGCAATAAAGAATATATACATACACGATAGTATATTGCTTTACTGATAAAATGACAATAGTTATGTATCACTCTCACAGCTTCCTTATTAAGACATTTGTGGACCCTATTGTCTTGTAGGAATGGCCATGAATTACGCTTTAACAATTTTTTGATCGGTCCATTCGCTATGATGAGTCGTTGAACGACTAGGTCGCGGGCGGCGGCCCAGACGGTGAACGTGTGTGGGCGGTCGCTAAGCCTCCTCCCCAGCCGCAACCGCAACCACAGTTGCAACCGCAACCGCAGCCGCAGCAACCGCGAGCGGTTGCGTGTCCGCGGGCGGTCGCCATGCGAGCGTCGCTACCGCAGTCACTAGCATTACTCAACGGTAGACGGTTCATCGTGGTGCCTAGATCTGTGGTACAATCTTCACACCAGTGAGTCGCTTATTTCCACGCATTTAGATATTTTCACTTATAATAATTTCTTTTTATCAACATCAGAGATTCATGTACGTTATGAGGGACGGGAATTAATGCTAATTTATCAAGCTAGATTTTTCGGTCATGTGTTTTTTACAGGATGTCATTGGAATGGCAACCCCATGCTATTGGTATGTACTGGCGAAGCGTTAGTGAGAGATGATAGATGAGGATGAAAGCAGGTCAGTTGGCAATTCCACAAGACTTAATCGCGATGTTTTCCAGGGGGAGCCACGCTATAAAAATATTGTTAGCAACAAGCCTATTACTAACAATCCCTTTCCCCTTTTGGCCATGTGTTTACCACAGTGTAAACTGATTGAAATGTCAAGATAACTCAGGTAAATTATTATTTTCAACAGATTCAAAAATAAGAAGAGAAGGGGAGAACATTGTCAATTTGGAAAATTCTTTTTTATATGAAAGTATATACTTTCAGATTCTCTCTCTCTCTCTCTCTCTCTCTCTCTCTCTCTCTCTCTCTCTCTCTTCATTTAAGAGTGTCTTCTTTGATCCTATAAAAATTTTATCAAAATCAGTCCAGTAGTTTAGTTTCTAAATCAAAATGGCTTTACCACGATTAAAGTAGGTGTTTTTGTGGAACAAAATCTTACATTATTTACCTAAATGATAGTTTTAATTCCCGTCTCTTGTATAAACTCTACAACTGTTTCAAAATCAGAGTATATATGTATATATATATATATATATATATATATATATATATATATATATATATATATATATATATATATATATATATATATTTGAGAATGGGTGAACCGATTTTTCCAATATTTTCAATGTTAGTACATCTAGCGCACATTAGGCCGATGCCCCTTTTAAGTCTTATTCAGTAAGTTTCTTTACTTTCCGTGACAAAAGATTAGAAAGATAAGATCCGCTGAATTGATCGCTAGCCAATTGTAGTTCCAGTGTGTATTTTAGGAAGAGAAAATTGAAAAAATAATATATTTTTTTAAAAGAATCATATGTGTATTCTATTGGTATTGTGTAATATGCAAACGTAATATTTTTATTTTCAGGTAACATGGCGCAGCAAACTTCTACACTGCACACGTGGATTTAAAGTGTATTTTATAGAATTTTTGTTGTAATTGTTTGTTACACTTATATTGGAAGGTGAAAGTAACGTACTGTCTGTTAGTCTGTCGGGTCGACTCAATCAAACTCTATTATCATTGCGTCAACACAGGTTTTGTAGATTTAGATACTGAAGTTTGTTTCTGAATTTGAATTAAATTTTTTTTTTAATATATATGCGGTATGCCGATATCGCAGTCTGAACGGTGGATCACGGTTTGGCCAAATGCTAAACTCGTTGGTCATATTTTTAAGTATTCAACTGACCCAGTGTTTATTGGTTTTAACAGGTTTCGCTTTAAACTTTTTAGGGAGTCAATGGGAGGAATCGTACAAATCTGCAAAATTTAATATGTAGTGTATTGAGTCGCCTCGTCATGATATGGTATTTTTTTTTTCTTATTGTGGGCGAGTATTGTAGACACTTTATATCAGGGCTGTCCAAATTAGACAGGATCTAGGGCCAATAAAAATTAATAAATTCTTTGGGAAGTCGCAAAATAATTGCAAAAACAAAATACAGTAATAATATCGTTATTTTATTACTTTTTATTGTATTACTTTTTCATTAATTTATTTTTTACAGTTCTGTTAACATCAATATTGGTATTAAAGATTTGGCGGGCCGCATTAATTCAATCCGCTGACCGTTTGTGGCCCGCGGGCCATAGTTTGAACAGTTCTGCTTTACACAGACTACACAAGAATTTGAATTGGCTGAATAAGACACAAAGCCTTATATTTGTAGCAGTGAAAATTTTATGCAATGTTATTTGTTTTACAATTAACTCTGTTGTTAAACAACTTGCTCGTATATTGTTTTTTGGTTTGAACGATGATATATGATAATGAGCAAGTCACTAGGGATTTTCAACTTAAATCTTCATGTTACAAACTTTACTGCTGCTACCAAACTGCGTGTTATTGGTGAATCCGTTCCGACTAATGTTGTGTTATTGTGCTATATGTTGTATAAATTATTTGATATCAGTTGAACGCAGTTACGTATATTATATAATAAAAAGACGTAACAAGATTGTTTACTAATGCCAATTATAAAAAAAAAAAAGTAGTTTAGTATTAGTCTATGATTTTTAAATTGCATCTAAGATTCGATTTCATTTATATATAAATTTGTAAAATATGAATGCGATATAAACTTTCTACTATATATATATATATATATATATATATATATATATATATATATATATATATATATATATATATATCGGATATAAAATAGTTGCAATGCCATCAAAATCTGTAAGCCTTGTGAATGGCAACGCATGAAGGATATTACAGGCGTCACAGTATATTCTGTGACGTCAGTAGTGCTCTTTATGTATATAGGCGACTTTATGTATAATCCCAACTTTTCGTTAGTTAACTTGTTTTTGCTATTCTGTCATAAAATAAAAGTATATATGTAGCAAAAAGACGGATTGTGGAAAATGAAAATATCATAGACAACGGACTGGGTCCATTGTCTATGGTACTTTATTTTAATTCTGAACACGGATCAAATTCTAACAGAATTGTACAAGAATTTATTACATCTATTTTGCACATATAACATGATAAAATATGTATGTAATATGTACTTTATAAATTTTTAATACTTCGCCAATTTGTACTAAGTTATTGTTATTTTATAAAATTCATTAAACTATGAACATGTTATCACGTTTATTTCAATATAGTGTAATATCCTTTTGTAATTCCATTTTGAACTTTGTGTATGATAATATTACGGTTTATTATTTTAAAATATGTTGAACCGTACATAGTTATATAAAGGAAATGTATCAAACCATAAGTGTTCATAATAAATTATAACCTCTATTCGTTTTGGTGTTTTCCACTGCGATTCTTAAAAAGAATCATTGATAAGGTAATTAATTATAATTATATTTAATGTTTTTTTATTTTAGTGATTACTAGATTCTGGGGAGTTTAAAAAATACTGTTATATATATATATATATATATATATATATTAACTCGCGTTTTTTTAACTCTCCAGTACATTAATATGTTACTTACTAATAAATTGTATTAAATATTTTTGTTTGTATATAGTGAGGAAAAACGCCGAGGCCGCGTCGCCAACGGCGCGGCGTCGCCGCCGGCCGCCAGCGCGGCCGCCGCGTCCCCGCGTCGAGGCCGCGGCCGGCCCCGCATCGATGACACCGACTACTTCACAGCCTTCTACCAGAAGGCGCAGGAGAAGAACTACAATGTTGTCGTACAGGTATTGTCTTCAACGGACTTTAGAAACTAAGATAGATAGATAATAATTATGAGAACTGCAACCGGAGGTCTAAAAAAAAAACGAAATTTTATTAAAAAACTGATTTAATTCTATTATTAAGAGTTACAATATAAAATTCCTATATTTAATTATTTATTTATTAGAAACCAACGGCATTACAGTTAAGATTTACATACTAGTATTTAAAATATTAAGGCCAATAATAGATTTCTTATTATTATAAAAGTACAAAATTGGTTTGCGCAAAAAAGGAAAAGTACTATTATTTTAACTAAAATGACTGCTCAGTTCGAAGTCAGTTCAAAGTGTGAACCAAGAGGGCGTTTTCAACCCGTTACGTAGACCAGTCTCGTGCTGCAGCATCAGCAATCACCTAGTTAGACATTTACGATATTGATCCATTTTGGATACGATACGGTGTCAGCGGTCTTGATAGTAGCTTGCTATGTAACATACTCTTTTTTTTTTGATGGGTGAAAATGGTATGGTAGCCTCGCCTGCGCTAACGGGATACGCTGGCGGAGCACCAGTGAAGGGTGATGGATGAGAATGAAAACAGGCCAGTTAGCCTATCATGATGGATTCATCAGGAATTAACCATGATAGTTTCCAGAGAGAACCGCGAGGAGGTCAACCTGGTTGGGTATATTGCTACGAATGGGATTCTCAGTCTCCATTACTAACAATCCCTTTCCCCCCTAACATACTCTATTGTTTCCTCCATAAGGTTACAATAGTAACCTTATAAACGATTACAAGAAATGATCACAGTGAATCTCTAAAAGCCATCTCTTCCAGACAACCCAGGATGTTCACAAATCGGTTATTTTTTTTTTCTATCTTTTTATCTTATAACTCCGTCAGTTGTAAACCAGTTTAGTCAGTAACCCAAATGTATTATGCGTGTAATATTTTCGATTTGTTTGCACCGTTTTCTGTTATTCCTATCGGCGATCGACTGATAAGTAACGCCATATGGTGGCGAATCCGCCATCTACACAGCCTAGGTGTATTAAAGTTTATTAATAAATGAACATTTTGTGTCAGATATTCCAATATTTGGGCATGCGCGACTTGGCACACTGCGCGCGCGTGTGCAAACTGTGGCAGCAACTCGTCTCCACGCCCGCCCTCTGGCGGCACATCAGGATGAAAAATTCACATGTAAGTACAGTCTACATTTTGTTACTTTCGTTTTTAAGTAAGTTTAAGCCAATAAGTTTGTCATTTTAAACTATTATTATTGTCCCACTTTGACAGATTTTTAGTTCGATTATTAATGTTTGTTTTTTTTTAACCAAATTAAAAAAGAAAGAGGTTCTCAATTCGTTTATGTTTTTTTTTTATGTTTGTTACCCCATAACTTCGTCGGTTAAAACCGATTTGTAATTTTTATTATATCTGAAAGGACATCATACATATATAATAGGAATAACATCTGAGTCCTCAGGAATGGCAACGCATGGAGGGTATCATGGGCAAAACAATATACTCTGTTATGTTCATGGTCCTGCTCATGTTTATAGGTGACGGTAACCACTATCCATCAGATGGGCCGTCAGCTTATTTGCCATTCTAAGTTGTATAAAAAAAATATATAGATTGAAAAAGGCCTAAGTTCACCAGAGGACAATTAGCGGCTGATATAATGATGTTAATATGTAAATATAGCAGTAAACAATGCTGTTGTAGCTAATTATGGTATATTGTTCATAAAGATAAATAAAGGCATATAATTATGTAATCTTAACATGCAGTACACACACCAACCCATACAGATATACCATACACACATACTTAAAGCATACAAACACACTACACGCCGTCACCTAATGTTTTATAATATAAGTATTAGTAAAATAGTATTGTTTTTTTTTTTATACAACTTAGAATGGCAAACAAGCTGACGGCCCACCTGTTGGAAAGTGGTAACCGTCGCCTATAGACGTGAGCAGTACCATGGACATAACAGAGTATACTGTTTCGCCCATGATACCCCCCATGCGTTGCCATTCCTGTGGACTCGGGTGTTATTCCTCTGTACCCAGTAAATTCACGCCATATCCCACCCTTCAAACCGAAACACAGCCATGCAAACACAACTGCTTCACGGTTGAAACACGAATGGGACAGAGGTACCCAAGCAATCGACTTTTGTACAAAGTGTCCCTCTGTTGTTACTTCAATTCACAATAAGACAATGTAGTAAGAAGACGTGTCATTTGATTTTCTACAACAGATCAGCAAAAGCATTTTTAAACCTTAAGCGCTACAAAGATTGCTTTGTACTTGATATCAGTATTAGTAATTAAAGAATTATCAACACATTTTAACAATACCACATGCATAATTGGAAATAAATGTTAATTATTTGGCAATACAAAGGCTAAAATATTACTTACACAGTATATGATCCTATAGCTCATGTCTATAGGCGACGGTTACCACTTTCCATCAGGTGGAGCCGTCAGCTTGTTTGTCATTCTCGGTTGCATATACATAAGAAAAGAGTTGGCTAAGCATACTCTCTCTTGCATTGAAACTAGTCAATGATGTTTTGAGCCGGTATCCACAATTGGACTTGTTTGCCTCCAACTTGCTGGAGTTTCGTCGGATGACCACAGAGTGTTTGTGTTTAGAGATTTAGGTCCTAATGTTATTTCTAGTTAAATATTTTTAATATTATTTCTTTTATTTATGTGTATTATATCTTTTTTTAAATATGTTATTGTACTGCTGCTTTCTTGGGTGACAGAAAGTGGTGGAAGACTGTAAAGCTCATCCAGTTGATGAAATAAATAAATAAATATTTCTCCCTCAGGTAAGCGACTGGGGCGGGTTGTGTGATGCACTGAAACGACACGGCACGAAGCGGCTTGATCTACGCAAGATGTTGCTGCCACAGAACGACACTGTATTCTGGGAACAATTCGCTGAACACATATCCAAAGTAGACACACTAGAGAGGTATGTTATATATATATATATATATATATATATATATATATATATATATATATATATATATATGTGTAGATTAAAATGTTCCGTTTGTTACACTATTTACATTTATACTTTTTTTATTTGTAAGTTTGCTCATTTAAAAAGATATTATAAAAATTATAAACCGCTGAAAGTTGTACAGTAAATTTTTTTTTTCATTTTTATTTCAATCTTTAAATCCAGTCCAGTAAGTTTAGTGTTTGCGTCATAATTTTTGTTACATATTATAAAAAAATGTATTACTTTTTATTATGTAAAATAAAAAAAATGTGCATTATTCTTATTTTGAATTTGTCATATTTGTATAAATTTTATTTTTTGTTATATACTTTAAAAATCTAAGAATGAGGAATTACATAGAAGGAATAATAAAATAATTAGTAAAAAGAGGACGAAAGATATGCAACCAGTTGGTTTTTTTTTTCAGTTCATAGCAGGCAAGTGTATAGAAAGTGTTTGATATGTCAATTATTTGTCATTAACAAATTTTACATTACTAGATTATATATTTGACACAGTTTATGTAGAAAGTATGCGAGTAGGTTGTATCTGAATTTGGTAGGGTTATATGACCTTATATCTTCTGTACACTAGCCTGCTACGAATTAACAATTTTATCAGTCCTATGTAATTCCTCGTTCTTAGTTTAAAATATGAAATTGTAATTTGAAATATGTAAATAGTATGTAATGGTTATATGGCGTGCGCGCAGGATCGAGATGTGCCGGTGCCCGGCGGCGGCGGTGGAGGCGCTGTGCCGCGTGGGCGGGCTGCGCGCGCTGTCGGCGCTGGCCATCCGCGACGCGCGCCTGGACCCGGCGCCGCTGGCGCGCCTGCCGCTGCTGCACGAGCTGCGCCTCAAGAGCCTGGCCGGCCTGTCGCTGGCGCGCGACCTGCGCCCGCTGGCCGCGCTGCACCACCTGCGCCACCTCTCGCTCACCTCCATCAAGGTGCCGCCTCGCTACACGCACACGCACACGCACACGATATATCGCATTATCTACATTATTACTTTGCCGACACAATATTATTAAACCCCTCCCTTTTTTTTATCGTAGAGAGATGCATCATGCAGACCCATACGCCCCGGGGGAGGCGTATGGGTACTGCCGGACTCCTACCGGCTAAAACCACCACGGCATCCGTCGCCGCGCCAAAGTATTGGGGACCCGGGTTCCATTCAACCCCTCCCCTGACTCAACTTTATTTTACCTTATGCTATTTTTTTTAGATATTCGATATTATGTTCACTTGTGCCTTTTTTTCAATTTTCGATTTTCTTACTTCCGTTATATAAGACAATATTACGTTCACTTGAAGAAGCTGTCTTCCTTTCCAAATTACTTTTTCACATTTTTCAATATTGCTCACACTTGGAATCTTTCTGTATAATTCTCATTTAATCTGCATTATTCTTTGCTTGTATTTATATTTATTAAGATGACATCGTTATTATTAATCTCCCTAGACTAACTAGAGCATACATAATAACAAACAGACAACTAAAAGATTTTTCTCAAACATGCTTGGAAATGTGAGCATTATTTTGACAATCTTCTTAGAGATAAATCAAAATTCCCGTACTGGCCAGATACATGCGGACAGCGGCCGGCAAAAGTTGTATGAAAATCCATATCTGTTGTGTTTTGTGGCCACATAAATTACTATGTAAACTCATATCTGTCATGTAATTTAAAAATAGAATGACCTTTTACTTCGAAACATGGCTACCAAAGAGGTGACTAATAAAAGGTTTTATTTAAATTTCGAACTGGCTTGCAAAAAGAAAGCTGTTTATTGAAAAAAAAAAAAGAAAGGAACATTATAGCGCGTTAAAAAATATTATTGTTCGTTATTGGTTATTGAACTTAAAAAGTAAAATTGTGTTTTTGATTTCCGCGCATTGTTTGAGAAAAGTACTATACAAGCCTTGGCCATAACTAGGCATTGATGGACTCACGTATGTGTGCCTCGGCTACACCTCGGCCCACATTTGCACGTTCGTCCATCGATGCCTCAGTTGCTGGCCGCTGCAGTAATGTAATAATTAATTTAATGGAATAGATGATGCGTATCATAATAGGATGTGCGGTGTGCGCAGGAGCTGGGCTGGTGCCTGGTGGACGTGGTGGGCGAGCTGGGTGCACTGGAGGTGCTGGAGCTGGGCGAATGCTCGTTCCGCGCCGAGTTCGCGGGCGCGCTGCGGCGCCTGGCGCGGCTGCGGCGCCTGCGCCTCGAGCGCGGCACCGCCGCCTGCGCCGCGCCCGCCATCCTGCGCGCCGCCGCCCGCCTGCCGCGCCTCGCCGCGCTCGAGCTCGTCAACGTCGACGTCAAGGTACCGCCGCCCGCCGCCCGCCGCCCGCCGCACACGCTACACGCTACACGCTACACACTACACGCTACACGCTACACACGGCCGCACGCTGCGGCGCCTGCGCCTCGAGCGCGGCACTATCTACGTCAAGGTACCGCCGCTTGCCACGGCTTCGGCCCGACGTCTCTCCTGCTGCTGACCTCAGGTGACCTTAACAGCTTCACCGGACGCGTGCAGAGTGCACTCGAAGCCCGCGGGAGATGAGCGTCGAAGTGTCTACCCTTACCGATAATTTACGGCGTACACCTAACGGCGCTAGAGCGGCTCGGACCTCAGCTTACTTCGCCACATACTCAACCGACCGCTATCGAGAGATGGAGGGTCGCCTGAGATTGGTAAGGAGAGGGATTCGACATCTTTCCAGACTCCCTTTCAATACTGTATAATATTTTTTTTTTTTTTTACAACACGGGCATACGAGCATGCGGCTCACCTGATGGTAAGTGACTACCGCGCCCATGGTTACGATAGAATCGATTTCATATCCATTAGAAAGAGATAATCAATAATAGTATATTGTCTTTTCTAATTAGTCATGAGAATGCTACTAAAAACGTATCTATGGGTACGTTCTTTTAAATTTTGCTAACAATTTGAAATCGTATAGAATAAATACTTGAATATATTATAAATGTTCTACTTTGTCGGCAGGTCGGTTTCGACGATGCGTTAGCCGAGTGCAAGAACATCCAGCGTCTCCTGATCATACCCACTTACGTGTCGCAATCCGCCACCACCAACAAACAGGTAATATTTTATATGATACTAGCATATATTCGCGACTTCGCCCGCGTGGCTGAAATAAAAAGTAGTCTATATTCTATATAGTATGTGTATACCAAATTTAACTTTTACATATATAGTATTAGTAAGGATTTTTTAGAATACACGACCGGCGTCTTGGCATCCCAAAATCGTATTTCAGCACAAATCTCTGAACTGTCACTTAATATTTTGATTATTTAAAACATAATGTATGTGCGTGGTTGCGTGCGTGCGTGCGTGCGTGCATGTGTATGTATTTATTTATTTATGTGTGTAAGTTTATTTTTATTTATGTATTAATGTTATATTATTATTTATGAACTTTATTATTTACATATGTAGGTGTGTACAACTGTTTTTATTGTATTATATATTCAATTTTTACCCTGGTTTCAATTTTTACCGGTTATTACCCTTGTACATTCTACAGTTTTCTTTTAGCTTTTCAAAGGTTGACTGTAAGAGATCCCTTATGAGTGAATAGTATATGCTTGTGTGTGTGTGTGCAGGTGTTGAGCGGTGTGCTGCGGCTGAAGGACACGCTGACGCACCTGATGTGGGGCGTCACCATCGAGCTGCTGCGCGTCACCGAGCTGTTCATCGACCAGTGCGAGCAGGGCGCCGACCGCCGCAAGGACGTGGGCGAGTGCATCCCCGTGCTCAAGCCCGTGCCCGGCTGCCGCCTGCCCGACCACCGCCACACCGTCGCCGGCCCGCCGCAGGTCGCTAACACCACCTCTCGTACCACTCGCCCCACTCGCTCTTCTACGTATTCATTTGCTCGCCTGTGTTCGAACATTATTTCCATCACTGTTGTACTTATTCATTCATCCCCTCTTTCATTCATTCATTCTATCACTGTTTCACTTGTTAATTCATTCTAAATTTCACTATTTCTTTCGCTCACTCTTTCATTATTCATTCATTCGATCTCTCTTTCGTACTCATTCGTTCAATCTCTCTTTCGATTATTCATTCATTCTCTTACTCACTGTTTCTCTTATTCATTCATTCACTCTTTCGCACTCATTCCTTCTGCTTTTTAACTCTATCATTTACTCTCCCATGTGTTTCTTGTTTCTTTCTATACAGAAAAAATTCAAAATAAACTCTGACAATTTAGACCTGTAACAAGGAAAGGAACCTAAAAATCCGCGAAAAAAAAAAAGAACAGCGAATGACTCATGTGCCAAAGTTACCCCCGGTGCCAAAGTAACTCCGTTTCACGGTATATAACAATCCGTATCCTATAATTTAATTCCTTGCATTCACTATAACGGCAATAGTCGACAAATGTCTATGATTAACTCGCTATTGATTATAATCGTAAGTATATGTATATGTATTTTAATTATGCTTCCAAATACAAGGATTTTAAAATTTTATATATTTTGTTTGTTTAGGTGGAGATTCTTCCGCTGCCAACCCTCCAGCGGCTATTATCGGCGCAACTGCCGACCACCAAACTGAAACTGTTGCGCATACCCTTCCACGCCACCTGGCGGCAGTCGCTTGCAGACTTCCAGTAGCGAATCACGTGTGACGGTACACGCACAGCACACTATGTATATACATCCGAGACATTCTGTCCACTGTATAGTGTGTTTGCATGGAAATTAAACTTTACTAGAATATCGTTGGTGTGCATTTGACGAGAGTATTTCTTAGGACTAAAATTGTTCTTACTCACGTTTTTGAGTTCCAAATTTAAATGTCAAATTTTTTTTTATGAACTGTAAGTGGAGAAATGTTGAAATTATTAAAAGTGTTATACTTTAGTTCAAAGGTCTTCTTAGTACTTTCTAGATTCTTCTGTATAGCGCAGCTTTTAGATAAATTTACAATATAATTGTAAAAATAAAGGTGGCGCAGGAGAAATGATTATTTGATAAGAGGTGATTGGATGCGACTGTTTCTAATTATTAATAATCGTTTAAGAGATTTATACGCGCGACACTAAAATACCTTAAGGTATTAATTTTATAAATTAAAATTTATATTAAGAGATTTTTTACTAAGGAACTTATTCTAAAATTTGGTAACACTAAATTTGTATTGGGGTCTATTCTGAAATGTCATTTTTTAAAGCTATATCTAAAACGTAAATTTTAACTTGGCATTATAGTGAACCTGTATTATTAGACCACTAAATAACTAAATATCAAGTGGTTAATAACCTTTATTTCGCACTCAAAATAATAAAATGGGAAACATTGTTTTTTTACAAAATTGTGCTTTACAAAAGGCGGCCTTATTTGTAATAGCAATCTCTTACAGACGACCTGGTTCTTCATTGTAATCATTTGAATAGTATTATGTGTGGGTAATGTATATTAATATCTATGTATTGTAGTTCCAATATCTATATATTGTAGTTTTAATATTTATGTATTGTAGTTACAATATCTATGTATTATTGTTACAATATCTATGTATTGTAGTTACAATATCTATATATTTTTGTTACAATATTTATATATTGCAGTTACAATATATATGTATTGATTCAATATCGGATGTATTATTAATTCATTATCAAATACATAATATCGAAATGAATATAGATATCCGACTGGTATGGGTGATATCATACGTTACGACATTTTTCCCACCACTAGAGGAACCCAATATATAGATAAACGGTACAGATATTACCCGTATCTAGTTCTGCAAAGTTAAAAAGTTAGTTCTGTCTAGTTACTGACACCATAGATTTATTTTTTACAGGTTCTTAGAATATTGATTCCACTATCATATATCATATGTCGGCAATGCGCGCGTAATACCTCTGGTATTGTAGGCGTTCATAGGCTACCGTAACCGCTTACCATCAGGTAGGCCGTATGCTTGTTTGCCACCTGTGCTATAAAAAAAATATCAATTGAAAATGATGACGGTTACCACTTTCCATCAGGTGGGCCGTCAGCTTGTTTGCCATTCTAAGTTGTATAAAAAAAATATATGTTCTAGCTATAGAGAATGGCGTTTCATTATTGACGCATCTCTATTCCAAATGCGAAGTCATCGACATATAGTAAAACTTTTTTTTTTTTTAATTGAACCTCTTTTCCACGTCATAGAGTTTAATTTTGTACGTACTGTATAGGACTACGTATTTGAAATAGAATTAATGAATGTCTAACTATACTTTTTATTTGCACTATATTGTAATTGTTTGTATCTATAATAAGTTTACTATTGTAAGCTTTTGGAGGAAACAATAAAGTGCATCTATCTATCTATCTATATAACATAGGAAATGATAACACATAAGCAATAATACAGTGAATATATATGTATAAGTAAATATATAACAATTATATGTATATTAACACCATTTCAAACACTATACGAAATTCACACTCAAGAATATTAATTTAATACAAAGTTAAGAGATACGATAGAATACGCGAGGCGGATCATTTTTTATATGACTTCAAAAATGCTTCAATGTTTGCCTAAACTCACAATTTTGTGCATGAAACTAGAACGCAATTTATCCCTTATGGGTTTATGGGTTAAACTATGTATAAAAATACCAACTGTAAGACTTAGATAAAACACAATTCAAGAAAATAAAAATATTCAAAAACAACAAAATGTAGTGGTACTGGATTTTTTTTTGCAATTTTTTTCTTATATCGTAGTAAATATATATTTAAATACAGAGTATTATTGATATGCATATATCAATTTCAGAAGATCTAAAATTAAAATCAATAACAAAAGGCTATTTTAATAATATAAAGAATAATGCTTTATTTAATATTATCCGCATAGTCTAGGGGATTTAAAAGTGCATATTAATGTGGCAAAAAAAAAAAATTATGAATTATGTATAAATCCCCCAAAATTTTATCATATTTTTATCTGCTACCACGTGATCGGAAACTATCTGAAATGTATGATGACGTAATATGGAAGTAAACAACATATTTGTCATTAATATTCCTTTGCAATTATAGTAGTGATGCGCGAATCGAAATGGTTTAGTTATTCGAATAATTAGTAATTACTAAATTTATTAATAAACTGCTAAATCAAAAACTTAGGACAACTATGTGACAATATTGAATTCTAACCTCAATCATAAATAAAAATGTGTTTGTGTACTTCAACAGAAAATAGTTGAATCATTTACATTAGGATTTCTATGAATAAGTTGTAACAATTTTTTTTTATACGACTTAGAATTGCAAACAAGCTGACGGCTCACCTGATGGAAAGTGGTAACCGTCGCCTATAGACATGAGCTGTGCCATGGACATAACAGAGTATACTGTTTCACCCATGATAACCCCCATGTATTTCCATTCCTGAGGATTCAGGTGTTATTCCTCTGTACCCTGTAAATTCACGCCATATCCCACCCTTCAAACCGAAACACAGCCATGCAAACAATTGCTTCACGGTAGAAACACGAATAGGACAGAGGTACCCAAGCAATCGACTTTTGTACAGTCTCCCTTTGGTATTTTGTGTATTTATGTATTTTGTATGGGCTTTGTTTTTGGTACATTAACGAATAATTTTCCAGTGTATTTATAGTAGTATTTGCGCTCATTACACCATTGATACATTTTTTCTGTTGGGAAACGTTAAACATTAACAAAAATAAATATTGACCATACTCGTCTCGTCATACATCACACCGGATGATTATTTACTTCCATGTGACGTCACTGACGCCATATTGCTCGAAGGTTGCGTTTCGGCGGCCCATTTAAATTATACTTTTTATTTGCTACATTATTGGGAAATGTGTAAACACCACTGTATAGATGTTTTCTAGAAACCAATCAAATAGTCTATTATTAATATTAATAGTATTATGGTAATATATATATATATATATATATATATATATATATATATATATATATATATATATATATATATATATATATATATATATAGATAGATAGATAACTATATAAAGTGTGCTTAATACAAACACAAAAGCAATCATGGAACGCGTATGAACACGCGTCAAGAGCTTAAGCTCTATAAAATTTAATTTAATATCGACTTAATGATAAGATTTTCTATAGAAATGTTGGCGATCGCTGAGATGTCACTTTGACAGTGACATTTCTGTTTTTTTTTTTTTTTATTATACTCATGTAACCACCCCATCTAGAGTGAACTCAGGGACAATATGGTCCATGAATGTGATCAAACGAAAAGAGAATGTTCAACTCTCACAGTTGGCTACACTATGGTGGCCAAGTGCTTTTTTACGCTACGTTTGTGATCGAATTTCATTTCAGACGATAGCGAATTTGCTATGTTGCTCCAACTGGCCTAAACTTCGTCCTCCACTGGTGCCCCGCCATTAAAATCATTTGCATAAGCGGGTGCCCCATTCCATCGTCATTTATTAAACAAACTATGTATAAATAATATCGTGCTAAAATAACACCTAATATATTGCAAAGAATTATCTCGCGACCACAGTCGGAGTGGTTTGGTGGAAACTTCGAGATAACCTATGATTGTTTTAACTCCATATAACGAGAAAATTTATTCATAAAAAAACGTTAAACATCTTACAAACCTATTTTAACTATTGAAGTGTTTTGTCCTTTTTTTGTTCTAATTTATTTTAAGTGAAAGGCAGTGACAAAAAATCTTTAGTTAAAACAGGTTTGTAGCTTAGCTTGTTTTAGTTCTTATGAATAAGGAGGTAAATGTTAAATTTTTCAAACTGCTTTTAATTTTCGTCGACTATAACGCTAGTGTGTACGAACGGGAAAGCGGCATAGGCGTATTTAAGAGGGGGTCGGATGGGCTGTGCCTACCCTAGTATTGTTTGGTGCCCACCCAGGATGCGAACGGAGCTTGAAGCGCAGACATGTCTGAGATTATTAATGTACCTTTATTAAGGGGCTGGATCCCACCTGGAGAATAATCTTAAATGCGCCAATGAAAATGGAACTATAGACTTGTAATAAATCTTCTTTCTTTAAAGCACCTATCAATAGAATTATATGCTAATTTAACCTACTTATTAAGAAAATAGCCTTATGCAAATCCAAAAAATAGTTGTTTTCTGCATTACAAGCTTCAATTATTCTTATTTTTTTTTTATTGTACACAGATATGGATAAAAATTCATTTTCATGAACGCATCCATTGTGTGTAATCGTAAAAATAATATGGTCGATTTATATATAAATTTTGACGAGAATGCTAACGCTTGCATCATATTTCATGATTCAGGGCCCGGGATAATCATTCTCGTTAAAAGTATACACTTAAATCTAATCCGGTGACTTACAATTAAAATATATTTTTTAAACGTTTTAAAGTTGACATTGTTTAAATTGGCAGCAGTTGCATTCTAAAGGAGCTGCGGAAGATAAAAGATTAAAATGCAAAAGAATTGATAAGTTTCTTTTTTCTTCTATAAAATATATAATCTGTAGAAGTGTTTTCTCAGTACTTTGTATATAAATATATCTTATGTGGTATATAACAGAGCTCTATTCTTACCAACTATAAGATATGCATGCTACAAATTGTTTTTGTTTTCGAATAATTTAATTTTTACGTGATTCAAGCATGCACCTGAATAAATTTGTTTATTTCGCAAAGGAAACGCAATGTGCGGATGAAATAATTAGCTCTTATTATTTTTTTCTTAACAAATATATATTGTAAATATATTTTTTTTTAAACGTAGACTAGTGTAATCAGTGCCTATATGGGAACATTTGTTTTGTCTATGCCCGCACCGTTTAGTGTGAAGTGAGTTACAATTGCAATATAGGTGCTGATCTATTTGAAAAAATTATGTAGCAATTTATTCAAATACATACATATATTATTTTTAAGACATGTATATGCTAAGTACAATAGATTATCATGGAGAGGCAATGTGGCGTGGGCTATGAAAGCTTTCGTGGATTAAATATTACCTTAAAACGCTGGTTTGTTAATATTTGGCTAATTATTCATTATATTATATTTGTATTGGTCAGAAATGATCAACAAATCTAAATTGAATTTTATTTTAGTAGGCCTATTCAAAAGATCTTTGAAATCGTTATAATGTTTGTTGTAAATTGTACTGTATTAATTTAAATCGATATAATTAGCAACATTTTAAAGCTTCTCTCTTACCAGTGATACGTGTAACAAACGAATCCGTCTATAGATACGTTTACGCTACCATTTAAGGTAGGTAGTGGCGGCATACATTCCGAGTCCAGCGCTTTCTAAATCGCGTCATAACAGCAACTCTGTCGTCCTTATTCATAAAGACTAAAGCGTACAAGAATAACTCCCCTCGGGTTGCAGGTGTTGGGCGACGGTAGTTGCTTTCTATTAGATGGACTGTCAGTTTGTTTGCCTCTCTAACAATAAAAAAATTACTACAAACCTATTTTAGCTATTAAACAGTTTTGTCACTTTCTAATTGGGAATGTAGCATAAAAGAAAGAGACAAAACAGTTCAGTAGCTAAAATAGGTTTGAAATATTTAATGTTTTTATGAACGTTCTCAGCGTTGTATCTATCGACAGATTCGTTTGTTATTTCACGTGCAAATTTCCAAAAAATGTGTCTAAAAATGACAAAACGTTTTAGTCTCTCATACTGACACGACGCGTCCAGATGTCTAGTTTGTATAGAGGCTATATACAGGTTGTAAGGGACAGATTGGCAAAAACTGAAACAGTGAATTCAGACCATTATTCTGAATTAAAAACCAGTGAAAATTCTTTCTGGAAAATTTCTAAACTTTTTCCTGTATTTTTTTTCATTTTAAATCATGTAATCTATGATATTATGTCATAATATAAAGAAATAATAATATGTTATAATGAAACTAGCTGACCCCGTAAACGTTGTTTTACCACTTATTGTGAAATATAAAAATCGCGATTACAATACAGGGGTTGATCGTAAAACGATGAAAATTTAAAGTTTTATGTATTTTTCAATGCTAAATTATAATAAAATAAAAATAAAAAATTTGTCAAAATAATAAAAAAAATATTTTGGGGTGGGTCACCCTTATCATTTAAGGGTATGAAAAATAGATGTTGGCTGATTCTCAGACCTACACAATATGCACACAAAATTTCATAAATATCGGTAAAGCCGTTTCGGAGGAGTTTGGTAACAAACACCGTGACACGAGAATTTTATATATTAGATACTATGAAATACCAAAAAACTACAACATCCTTAAATTTTACCGTGACGTGTGGAATTAGCTGTGTAAGGTTAACGTTACAAGTGCACGAAAACTACCTACGAAGAAGCGCCGTTGATCGCGCGTTGTAGGTATCACGCGTCAAATTTTAAATACATTGCGCGGTGGCAAAACTAAAAATCGTTTATTAATATGACTGGTGCATTTCCAGTGGGAAAGTAATCTGCAATCTGATTCAAACCATTCATCTGAATCAGTTGTTTTCCTTTTGGTCAATTTGACCCTTCCACCCTGTATAATGTACAATGATCTTTGCACCAAAATGATAAAATGACATTAAAACAGTTATTATATCAAAAAGTTACAGATACCCGTGTTTTAAAGCTGTGATGATGTTGGTTTAGCTCAGGGGTCTCCCAACTTTCAAGTCTTAAAGCCACAATGGGTTTTCCAGTATGGTCCAAGGGCCAAAATAATAAACATTGGCTGTCGTGGGCCGGATTGATGGCACTGGCGGGCCAGATTTGGCATGCAGTCTGTAGTTTGGAGACCCCTGGTTTAGATCATTAACAGTGCCTACTTTTATGAGATTTTTTTGTTTTACGTACTAAATACTGTAAGTGTACAACACGAATGTCTAGATTAGTTGGATATGCTGGTATATTGTGAAAAATATGAAATTGTGGATACAGATTACACTGAAAATAATTGCGTTTTCTAAATCATATCATATTGTTGAATTACACTTAATCTCAAAGTGTAACTAACATACTGTTTTTCTATTATTATTATTATAAAATTTTTTCATCACGCTAACTTGTGTAAATTTAATTTTTATTTTATAAATTTATCGAGAAAATATTTATTAACTGAAATTATGATAATATTGCCTATACAAAATTACATACGAGAGTGTCTATTATTTGTTAATGTGGTGAAACATATTTTTATTTCTGGAGCGTGTCGTGTGTGCGGGGAAAGTGTAAAATATTTATTGGATAGGTTTTTGTAAAGTAGGCACTTAGTATTTTTACAGTGAATTTTAATTCTCTCGAAGTGTTAATAGATTTTGCGATAAATAAGTTAGATATATTAATAATATAGCTCATACGGCGGCCGGAATTCGTTTGTCTATTATATATAACTTATTCGAAAATATACAATCCATGACTCGGGAGTTGCGAGCATTATTTTATGTTAGACACAAAGGTCTATTGTGTAAAATCTCCTTCAGATTATATTGTATTTTTATTGTAGTTGATAAATTCGGGACGTCCCTGAAATGGCGTATTTTTATGTAAAAATTGCCTATAAAATGACGTCGTAATGACGTGTGCGCACGTTTCGGTCGCGTCCCGATAGGTTAATTATGTAGATTAAAGACAACTTGCTAGTAAACATAGGCGACTTATAATAAATGGTTGCCTTATAACATTTTTGTTTTATTTAAAACAGACCTACACAGATAAAATTTATTTATCTATAATCTAAAAATGAATCGCTGAATGTGTTGCTAATCGCAAATATCGAGAAGAGCTCAATCGACTTCGCTAAATCTTTTTTTAGAATATTCCTTGAAGTACGAGGATGTTTCTTACGGAGAGAAAAAAAATTGCCTGAAAAACTCTAAAAACAACACTTCTATACTCCCATACAAACGATTCGTAATAATACTTAGAAGTTAATTTGAACTTTAATACCATACCATAAAGTTCAAGTGTTAGTGGAGAGGTTCCGCGAAGACAATTGAGTGTCGTGGCACGGCGTGTTTTATAATTTTTCATTTTAGACAATGTAATTGTTGACTTATTAACTTTTTTTTATCTTACTAGCTTTTTTTAATAGATGATAATGGAATGGTAATCCCGCCTGCGTTATCGGTATACATTGGCGAGACACCAGTGAAAGATAATAGGTGAGTATGAAAAGACAGGTCAGTTAGCCTACTGTGACAAATTTAACAATAAATTAGTCACGATAGTTTCCAGGGGGAACTGCGTGGAGGTTGACCTGATAGTGTATTGCTGGCAATGGGCCAGTTTGACCCCATTACTGACAATCCCTTTTCCCCCTATCTTACTAGCTGACCCGGCGTCCCGAATAGCGGAATATGTAATAAAAAAAAAAAAAAAGGGATCGACTGTTAGACGGTACGAAGTTCGCCGGGTCAGCTAGTTAGTATTAGAAATATCAAAATTTAAATAAAATGTAAATGAAAAGTAGCGATGACACTAATAGGTTTTCATCGGTAAGTAAACAAAATTATTTGTCTATAGTTGCGACAGAACTTGTTAATACTTTTTGGTTTGTCCAAAATTTAAATGCGTTGTGACACCTATTGCGTGTGTTGCTTAGCAATTGTTGACTGTCGTTTATTACGAAAATAGAAAATTAGTAGATGGTTTAAATATTATTTTTATTTTAACATCAAGTGATATTGTGTGTTCGTTTATATATATTTTGTGTTATTTGTTTGGACCTTATAAACTGTACAAGTGAAATCTACTGACAATTCTGCTAATTCTTACTACCAATCTTTGAAGAGTTCCCTTACTGTTCAAGGAACAAGGTTCAAGGTACGAATATCTTTAAGTCAACTGGGCTAGCGTTAGATAATCCAAAACATATATTCCTGTTAATTAAACAGCTATATTTAGAATTTGCTTGTACGGGGTTGCCACTCGACATTTCTTTTCTATCCGGTTCGTGCTACGTGTTGTGGCAGAGATACTTTAATTTTTCTATTGATACTGAGCATAGCCTAATAATTAATAGTAATCGAAGGGTATTTTAGTTCGCCGTGTGACCTATGACTATTTGCATTATGGCCAGCATGGTCTCTATTGCCAGACCGTGTCATGGTTTTATAGCTTATAATTTTATATTTGCTTGTATTAATATAAAATTGTAAATTTGTAATATAATATTATACTTTTTTAGCTGAAACAGTAACTGTTTTTTTGACATGGTTAATAAAATAAAAATAATCAATTTTCTTACTGGCAACACCCGATATATTGCCAGTTAAAAGTTTTCATAAGGCTGTAAAGAGCTAATATTCTTCTGTAAAAACTATTAATATGTAGGTTTTATATAAAAAAAAGTAACATACATAATGCACATTTATAAAAAAAACGAAACTTCAATTAGAAATATAATTTTATATTTGTAAAAGAAACCTTTACAAAAACAGCAATAATACGCTTAGCAACTAACATATTTGGGAACATTACATTATACACAGACGCCGATTCGAAAATGTTCTTATTCTAAAATGCTACATAAACTATAAAAAAATTACATTGAAAATAAATAAAACCCTTGGTAAATTAACAATTAAAAATGTGTAACTAGAATACTTTCACGCAGACAACTAACTGATTAAGCAGAGCATACAAAATCTTTTATCTACGAATCTGGAAGAACAGCCATGATTTTTGTTATCTTTCATTAATTACAATCTAAAAGGGTATAATTGGAGTTTTATATTATACACACAGTTCAACTGCGATAATAAGCAGATCCTTATATAAAATAATAAATTTAGAGATACTATTTAGATTTAAATGATTTTTAAGAGCACGATTTGGTCAAATTACGGAACCTTATAATTTGGTTACCTTTAAATTATTCAATGGGATGGGCCATTTAAAATATTTTTGTACTAGTATTGTCATACTCAGTATGTAATGAAAAAGAGAATTTAATAATTTACATGTAATGATACAACAAATAAATAATAACAATAAAAATTATGAGACAATGAGGTTTGTCTATGGCCAAATAAAATGACGATAATAAAAAAAATATAATTTGCTTTCTGTAATTTATCGTTGATGGCGCGAACGCGCGATTCAACATTAAATTTGAATATAGAACAGATCAATGAACGTTTTAAATGAGGAATTTGTCATTTATGTAATCGAGCTGTGAGAGAAAGCTAAGGCGCTTCGCAAAAGTGGACATATTTATCGTTATCCATCTTGGGAATTCACAATTTCTGTGTCCAGTGTTACATGGGCACAATCGTGATATGGCTAGTCGCCTATGCGCAGCGCCATAATGTGATTGTATATATTAGATATATATACATTTAGTTGGGTGTCGCGTCCGGGTGCCTCTCGAGCAGCATGGCGACGCCCTGTCCGCCGGCAGCGCAGGCCGAGATCACGCCGATCTGTCCGTCTTCGCGGACCAGCCGGTTAGCGGTGTGCATGGCCAGGCGGACCTATAGTAATATAAAAAGAAAACATTTAAATGTTTGTTTATATGTTAGTAATAAATACACTCAAAAACTACTTGGCCTGATTTTAAAAATTGTTTCACCTATAGAAAGCTACATTATCAGCTACATTAACAGCTTTGGTGATGTTTTAAGTGGGATGGTGCTGCCCATTCCTCGACTAATAGGTTCCCTTAGCTTCTTACAACACCCACGGGAAAGGAAGCGGTGGCATATTCTATACCGGGACTACACGGTAAGCGATCGATTACAATGAATTAAATTGCGTTAATCTTCATATTATATTATAATTTTTATCAATATATTATTATTGTTCTAATTTGAACTTTTGGGAGAGGCTTATGTTCAGCAGTGGACAGTAGACGGCTGATATAATGATGGAAATGTTTTTTTGATGGGTGAAAATGATATAGTAACCCCGCCTGTGCTAACGGGATACACTGGCGGGGCACCATTGAAGGGTGATCGATGAGAATAAAAACAGGCCAGTTAGCCCATCATGATGAATTCATCAGGAATTAACCATGATAGTTTCCAGGGAGAACCGCGAGGAGGTCGACCTGGTTGGGTATATTGCTAGCAATGGGATTCTCAGTCTCCATTACTAACAATCCCTTTCTCGCCTGATGAAAATGTTATACCTTTGTACTCAGTAATTTCATTACCATACCTCCATATTAAACCGAAACACAACCATGCCTGCTTCACGGTAGAAACACGAGTGGGTTACCCGGACAGACGATAACTGACTTACCCCGGTGGCGGCGAACGGGTGTCCGATGGAGAGTGATCCACCCCACATGTTCCACTTGTTGAGGTCTGGGGTGCCCACCTGAAAAAGATGCATTAGTTTCAATTCAATTTATGCTCATCAGAAACGTGACAAAGTCACAGGAAGGTTTCTTCAGGGTCGGCAACGCGCACGTGATACCCCTAGAATCGCAGGCGTCATAGGTTACAGTGATCGTTTAGCATCAGACGGGCTGTATGCTTGTTTGCCATCCTTGTAGTATAAAAAACTTCATGTTATATATTTTTATTTAAATAACTATTTACAAAATAAATAAATCACTTAATTAGAAAGATTTTTGAGTACAGACTGTCTACGATAACATGGCACGGTTCTCCAAAATCTAATGTGTGAGTAAAAATATATACAAGGTTTCAATCTTCAAATGCACACATTTGCATATATGATTAACGCAGGCGAGGTTACCATACCATTATCATCCATTAATACAAAAAATCCACATATTTTATGACCATTATTTGATAATAAAGGTAAAAAAGTAAAGATATATATATATATATATATTACCTTAGTTTGGCGACCGAGGTACGTCTGCGCGAACCAGTCAGAGTCCATCGCTTTCAAGTTGGCCAGGATTTGACCCTGAAATAGATAAACGGAATTATCGTGACGGCGAAGTCGTACGATATCGTGACGTGTTGCGGTAAATTATAAAAAAGCAACCAAATGGGGAGAATTTTAATTTTATAAGATGATATTGTGGACATACTAAATCAATTAAGTATCCGCTGAAGTTCGTATGAGAAATTCAACAAGTATATTGAGATGTTGACTGTACTTCTTGGGACAAATTGTAAAATTTTATGAATACTATATCACAACGACCCCCACTAGATGGAGTGACGACTTCAAATGCATTGCAGGGAGTCAGTGGATACAGGTTGGCTCAGGACCGTTCCTTATGGGCAGTCCATGGGAGAGGATGATCCTATGATCAGCAGTGGACAGATAATGGCTGAGATGATGGTGAGGGCAACACCATCACTACGACTAACTTGTGATAAATAGACAAAAAATTCTATGCCTGGATAAGACTTATTTGTTTCTAGGTAGAAATACCTTTATTATAAGTATAGACAATTTACTTATATATCCTTTGAATCAATACAAATCAGGAAGTCTCAGATCAATTTATGGAAAAATCTACATTCAAAAGATTAAAGGAAATTAATCGGTTTTTTTTTTCATGTCTATATTAACATTTAAAAAATGAAAACTATATAAAAACTATACTAAAAATAGAGAATTATCTAAAAAGGAATTTACTCAGGGGATAATTAAGGGCATAATCTTAAAAAAAAAAACAGACTATATATAACTTAAATATAAAATGGAAACCTAGATAGATTTCCATCTGTTAATTTAAAAATCTTATATTTCATCGATCCCAAAAAAAATTATTGGTCTTTGTTTAAATCGAATCGAAATCGTAAAACCTGATACTGACCGCGAATGCCTCGTGTATCTCCCAGGTGTCGATGTCGTTGATCTTCAGACCGGCTTTGTCCAGGATCTTGGGGATGCCGTAGGTGGGGCCGAGCAACAGCTGGTCGACGGGGTCCTGTTGATATATATAAAAAAAATCACTTATCAACTGACTTAAAAAAAGTATAAATTTATTAAAAATTTAGAAAAGCCCTGACACAAACAAAGTTATAAAAAGAGAGCTGATAACCTTGAAATGCCTGAATAGAGAGAGACAAATATTTCAATCAATCAATCAATCATTTATTTGCATAAACATAGGTATAGTTATAAGTTTGATGTTGTAGTAACATAGTGCGCTATGTTTCTCCATCATAAGGTATATAAATTATTATTTATATAAAACATTAATTAAAGATAATAAAAATATTTTATTTTTTATGCAACTAAGAATGGCAAACAAGCTGACGGCCCACCTGACAGAAAGTGGTAACCGTCGCCTATAAACATGAGCAGTACCATGGACATAACAGTGTATACTGTTTCGCCTATAATACCCCCATGCGTTGCCATTCCTGAGGACTCAGGTGTTATTCCTCTGTACCCTATAAATTCACGAATGGGACAGAGGTGCCAAAGCAAAGGATTAACTTTTATACTCTTAGGTATTTTGTTAAAAATCCTAGGAGCCATTTATGTATGTGTTACATAATATAGTGTGAATTGTTACCTGTGCGACGTACGTGAAGTCCCTAAGGTAGGCCTTGGGTTTAAGACCGAGCTCCTTCGCCTTGGCTTCAGTCATCACGAGGCAAGCTGACGCGCCGTCAGTCTGTATACAATTTAATTAATACCTATGAATATGCACACAGAAAGTTTTGTTTAAAAAAAAACAGATCAGAAAAAAATGTTTTCTATATCGACCCGGGAATCGAACCCAGTGTCTCATTTACCCTAATTTTTTTTATGCAACTTAGAATGGCCATCAAGCTGATGGCTCACCTGATATATAACTATAGACATGAGCAGTACCATGGACATAACAGTGTATATTGTTTTGCCCATGATACCCTTCATGCGTTGCCATTCCTGAGGACTCAGGTGTTATTCCTCTGTACCTCTCATCCTTCAAACTGTAACACAGCCATGTAAACACAACTGCTCCACGATAGAAACACGAATGTGTTAGAGGTACCCAAGCAAATGACTTTATACAAAGTTTCCCTCTGGTAATTTAGACGTATTGGGGGAAAGGGATTGTTAGTAATGATGTCTAACGGTCTCATTGCTAGCTATTGCTTGCTTTATATCCTATTAGGTTGACATCCACATAGTTCCCCTGGAAACCACCATGGTTAATTCTTGTGGAATTCGTCTCGAAGGGCTAACTGACCTGCTTCATCCTTACCTATCATCCCTCACTAGTACCCTGCCGGTGTATACCGATAGCGCAGACGGAGTTACAATCCATTTTTGACATAGCAAAAGTAAATGAAAAAAGTAATGTTTATGTATCAAATGTGCATTTCTTATGTATTGTGTATTGTTTTAACGTGTTACTATAATTATGTTACATATTTTTCACCACATCTGCCCTTCATACGCTTTCTGTTTTTACCCAATGGTTAGCTGGTAGAGAATGCCATATGGCATTTAGCTCGCCACTTGTACAAAGTTTTGATTGTGCAATAAAGAATAAATAAATATGAACTAGTTTCATTATGGAGCAGTGTATCCTCACCAAGAAGGACGCGTTGGCGGCGGTAATGGTGCCGTGCGGCTTCACGAAGGCGGGCTTCAGCTTGGCGAGCTGCTCGGGCGTCGACACGCGGATACCGTTGTCCTTCTCCACCAGCCCGTCCTTGCCGTCCACTGTCAACGACACGGTAATATTATACAAAATTGGGAAGATTGTTAACATATTATAAGCGGGGCGGGTACTAGTACTCGTTGGACTGCTGTTTATGAGTGGATCGGGTACTCACTGGTGTTTCGCAAGCGCATACCGATAGCGCGGGCGGTGGTAATCAATTTCATTATCACCCAATAAAAAAATGATGTATTTTATTACGAGCAATAAGTATCACAACTGAAAATTGTATATCTTTTTATAAAAAGAATTCCCCCAAATTGGTTTATTATTGACAAAATTTGAGAAATAACACTTGAGTCTTCAGGAATGGCAACACATGAGGAGTATCATGGGCGAAGCAAATTTCTCTGTTATGTATATGTATATATATATATATATATATATATATATATATATATAAATGATATTAATATCCACCCAAGGTTGTCTGTAATAGATTGCCCTAGCGATAAGACCGCCTTTTGTACCTTTATATGTATATTTTGATCTGTACTCCATTTTTTTTTATTGATGGGTGAAAATGGTATGGTAACCCCGCCTGCGCTAACGGGATACGCTGGCGTATAGGGAGGTCAAGGATATGGCCTGGGATAGAGCTGGCTGGAGGAAGATGCATGAATTAGATGCACCGGCAAGAGGAAACTCTTAAATGAAAAGAGACTCCATTCTGTTTTATTTCAATTGAATTGTATTTTATACTCTTTATTGCACATAATTCAAATTGAGCACTGATAAATGATTTAATATACAATGGCGGACTTATCCCATAAAGGGATCTCTTACAGTTGCTGGTGTTACTTGTTTTATGTTTTTGGTGCAATAAAGAGTTAAATAAATAAATATCTCCCCTGTACAGACATCGTCAACATAAAATTTTACTATTTTAGTAAGATAAGGTTATCTTTTAACATAAAAACAAATTCCTACGCAATAAATATATTCATGACCTATAATGATCTATCGACTGATCGATGTGTTATGCTAAATTTATATATACAGTAACCAATTCCGGTAATATATCTTATCTAACTCTGGGGTCAAATAGTGTCTCTTGTACTTCGGCCCATCGGCATGTTCTTACCTTTTCGGTAGACTTTCATCTTAAAACAACAAAGTACTAAATACGAATTTACCAGAGGGAGACTTTGTACAAAAGTCGATTGCTTGGCTACCTCTGTCCTATTCGTGTTTCAACCGTGAAGTAGTTGTGTTTGCATGGCTGTGTTACAGTTTGAAGGGTGAGATATGGCGTGAATTTACAGGGTACAGAGGAATAACATCTGAGTCCTCAGGAATGGCAACGCATGGGGGGTATCATGGGCGAAACAGTATGTGTGTGTACTGTTATGTCCATGGTACTGCTCATATCTATAGGCGACGGTTACCACTTTCCATCAGGTGGGCCGTCAGCTTGTTTGCCATTCTAAGTTGTATAAAAAAAAAAAACTTTATGTTTGAATATCTGTTTTAAATAATATTAACAATATTTTATTTATACTGATAACTACATTTGCAGAGGGGGAAAGGGATTGTCAGTAATGCGAACTACCAGCCCCATATTTGGCAATATACTCTATCAAGTCTACCTCCAGGTGGTTCCCCCTGAAAACCATAGTGTTGAATCCCAGGTAGCAAAATCACAATGGGCTAACTGACCTTTTCATTCTCACCTGTCATCCCTCACAGGTGCCACGCACGTGTACACCGTAAGGGTGAGTGAGGTGCTCACTCCATTAAAGCTACACCTGTGACATTTAAAAACGATACTAGCACCATCTAGAGGACTTTTATCATAAACATTATTATAACTTTTAGTTTAGTATATTTTGAATTGTATGTAATGAGGTAATGTATTTATATTATATATATTATAGTTCTAAAATATATGTATTATACATATATTTTAGAACTATATTTCTGTTTAAATTTATTTGTTACTAGCTTATTGCTAGTAACAAATAAATTCCTTCGTTCGGGTGGATTTTAAAAGTAAGAAAACTAATTAAGTATACTACTTCTAGATGGTGTATTAAAATAAAACATACACCATATTTCACCATGGTCCCGGCATAGAATAGGCCACCCCTTCCTAACCCATGGGTGTCGTAAGAGTCGACTAAGGGAGGTCGAGGGACGGGTAGCAGCGCCCCTCTTAAAACATCTTTAAAAGCCTAACCACGGTTACCAACCCGCCTGCCAAGCGTGGCAACTACTGGTAAAAATGTGCTTATGGGAAGGATTTATGTTTAGCAGTGGACAGTTATCGTTTGAAATAATAATGATAAAAAATACACCAGATTTTAAGTTAGAAATACAACTATGAAAATCGCATCAAATTTGGTGCAGTAGTTTTTGGGTGATGCCGGAACAAACATCATCTAGTTCCAATTTTATTATATCAGAAAGAACTAGTAAGATGTCTTATAAGGAACAGATTACATGCTACTTAATAAAGTGGACAAGCTCACCCTTAACTGGTATCAAGTCGGTGAAGTAGCCCTTCTCCTGGGCGGCGGCTGCCAGGCGGTGCGACCGCAGCGCGTAGTCGTCCTGTTCCTGGCGCGAGGCGCCGAACGCGGCCGCCAGCCGGTCCGCGCTGTGGCCCATCGTTTCCCCCGACGAGAACTCCGCCACAGCCGGTAGCTGATGAGCAAATGCATTTGTATATGCAACTTGGAGTGTCAAACAAGCTGCTAATCCACATAATAGGGGGGGGGGGGTGGAGGGATTGTTAGTAATGGAGACTGAGAATCCCATTGCTAGCAATATACCCAACCAGGTCGATTTTCTCGCTACCCTTACCCTGGAAACTATCATGGTTTATTCCTGATGAATTCATCATGATGGCCTGTTTTCATTCTCATCAATCACACTTCACTGGTGCTCTGCCAACGTATCCCGTTAGCGCAGGCGGGGTTAACATTCCATTTTCATCCATAAAAAAAAAAATCTATCAATCTGAAACTTAGCTAAAAGCTCTTTAATGCGTTTAACTTCTCATAAACGTATTTTAGGTGTTGAACTGTTTTCTCTCTTTCTTTTGAGTTAAATTACCAATTTGAAAGAAAGTTCCCACTCAGTCACCTCCCTGCATCATAGGAATAAAGTTCATGCTGTATTTGTATCGACTCTATATGGCCGATGCCTACCTCAGGCGCGAAGAAGTCAGGCCTGATGGTGGCGAGCAGCGACAGGCGCTGCGCGGGCGTCTTGGCGCGGTTGACGCGCAGCAGCAGCGACCTCATCTTGCGCGAGTGCCGGATCGGAACGTCCGACATGAACTCCACGCCGCCGGCCACTATCACGTCGTACACGCCCGCCGCGATCATGCCTATGCCTGTTCAGAAAAATATTCATATTGTTTAATATATCCATCAGTACAACAGACAGAATAGCCCCTCTAGGCAAAGTACAAAGAAATCCATTGACGGAATTGTCATCGCTAGCAAGTCCATGGAATAGAATGAGACAGCGATGTGTGCTTTTTCTTTTTCATGTGAGAACTGACCTGTATCCTGAGTACCCTGTCTAGGAGATGGTGGAAGGGGGGGGGGAAGGAGATTTAGGATGTGTCAACCTGTTCAGTTTACGGTAAAACTACGTTTTACAATAATAATAATACAATATGAAAACATAATATACATATATGAATTTTTACAATCATGTTCTCTGTTTAAAATGGTTTCAGAGCAAATTATTCAAATGGCTGACTAATAAATGTTTTTATACCATTAAGGATTACCTTAAATGTAAAAGAGACGACATAATTTAATGACATTGTTGAATTATTAATTTATTAATGCACCTATTACAATGAATAAAATATTTATTTCATAATGTACTATTAATTTACAAATAAATAGCAAATAATAGATAAATAGCATATTATGAATTATGTATAAAAATGTTGCATACCAAACTCATTGCATTTTATTAGTATTTTGACGAATCACATATTGCGTGATAGACTCCGAAACGAGGATATCTACAAAAGAACCAAAATAACCGACATAGCCCGAAGGATAAGCAAGCTGAAGTGGCAATGGGCTGGCATAGCTCGAAGAACCAACAACCGATGGGGAAGGTTCTTGAGTGGCGACCACGTACGGCTAAACGCAGTACCACACCCCACTAGATGGAGTGACGACATGAAATGCATTGCGAGAAGTCAGTGGACGCAGGTGACTCAGGACCGTTCCTTATGGCAGTCTATGGGGGAGGCCTATGTCCAGCAGTGGACGGATAATGGCTGAAATGATGATGTTGAAACTTACCCCAGTAATGTTGACAATGCTAATAGGTAAAAATTACTATAAAAATAATTACCAGTAGTTATAGCCTGGTTGGAGGAGATGCAGGCCATGGTGACGGTGTGAGCCGGGGTCTTGTCACTGAAGCCCGCCGCTAGGGCTGCCTCCCGCCCGATATTCGACGTCTTCACCTCTTGGATGACAGTGCCATATACTATGTAGTCAATTATATCCTTTGATATACCCGTCTTTTGTAGGAGACCACTGTATAAAATATAAAATTGTACATTTGATAACAATCAATACCTGGAATGCATGTGACACCCCTAATAAGGTCAGCATTTATTTATCTAACTAGCGGTCCGTCTCGGCGTCGCACGGGTGGACATTTTTACATTTTAAAAAGTGGCCATTAAGGCTGCACACACGATGGAAGCTCAAAAATTAACTTCTCCCGTTTTCCCAAAATTTCCCTTCACTGCTCTGCTCTTTTTGATCTTAGCGTGATGAAAAGTATACTATAACCTGCCCAGGAGTATGAAGAATAATTGTATCAAGTTTCTTCAAAATCCGTCGAGTAGTTTTTGTTTCTATAACGAACATACAGACAGACAGACAAAAATTTTACTGATTGCATTTTTGGCACCAGTATCGATCATTAATCACCCCCTGATAGTTATTTTGGAAATATATTTCATGTACAGAATTGACCTCTCTACAGATTTATTATAAGTATAGATTATAAACTCTGATTACTTATCATTGACTTCATTTCTTTTTTTTATTGGTGTTAATGGCATTGCATTAGTAAATGCAGTTACCACTGTAACTGCACCTACATTATTAACATCAGTGAGGGATGATAGATTCTTCATATATCATCATCATTCATGATAATTACCAGGAGAATACTCTTGGAGGTGGACCTGATAAGGTATATTGTAAGCAATGGGGTTGCTAAAAATCACTTTCTCCCATTGAATGCAATTAGAGATCTAAGATTAAAAGTACTCAAATTCTGTAGTTTATGGACATTTGTCACATGCACATTACTGTCTCTGAAGAAACCTTAATACATCATATTGAAAATCAAACTGTAGTCTCTAAGAAAATCCTTGACAGAGATCATTGTGTAAACAAAGTCCAATATATGTCAACGTATGATTATTTTAGTATGTTACTATAATTATGTCACATATTTTTCATCACATCTGCCTTTCATACGCTTTCTGTGTTTACATAATGGTTAGCTGGTAGAGAATGCCACATGGCATTAAGCTCGCCACTTGTACAAAGTTTTATTGTACAATAAAGAATAAATAAATAAATATAGAATTTTAAGACACTGGAGGGTGCTAGTTTAAGACAAGCAGCAACAGTATAGTTGAAACTTACAGCAGAGCATGTCTCGCTAGTTCATGAGGCATCATCCTGGCATAATCGGTGAAAGATACAAGGAAAGGTGTCCTGACTCCATCTACGAGCACTATATTTTTTCCAGTACGGTCTGGCAACGTCTTCCTCTGTTGAAGAGCAGCGCCAACGCTAAGAGCTCGTCTTGCTGTGTCTAAAAAAACATAATAATCATACCTATTACTATTAAGTAAATAATAATATATAATAATAATAAGTCTCTCTTAAAACATCTCTAAAACCAATCCACATGCCAAACATAGTAACTACTAGCAAAAGTCCCCTTATAGGAAAAGCTTACATTCAGTAGTGGAAAGTTTAACTGATGAAATGAAAAATAATAATAGGTGATATGGAAATTGTCCGAGCTCAAGTTCCATATGTTATGAAAAAATAGAATATCTGGGGCACAAACCAGAACAGCCAAAGCAAAACTCATTTAGAATTCTACTAATACTATAAATGTGAGTTTATAGGGCTATTTGAATGTTTGTGATTCATCCTTAAATGGCTAATTGGATTCAAATAAATTTGGGTAGATCTATTGCAGGCTATCCTAACACAAAGGCAGCATACTTCAAGTACATATTCATGTGAGTAAAACGAAGGAATATAACTATTTTATAAATGATATCTTATAGAAAGCTGTTGTTTATCACTGAGCCTAGCTAATACTATATACACACATACATATCTGTCACGCCTGTCTCCCATTAGGGTAGGCAGAAACAATGGAACGCCAAATGCTTCGATTCAAACAAACCTCTTTAGCTTCTTCCACATTCATCAATCTTTTCATACACGCTCACCGGTTACGGGCACTTTTAATTTGACCCTTCTTCAGTGCATATATTAGTTGCTTTTATTTAATATCTTAATGCTGGGGATAGATCTCTAGATAATTACATATAAATAAACAGACACTCTTATTCAAAGCACACTTACATAACAACATAAGTACCAACAGATAGATAGAATATATTTTTTATTGCAAAAAAAATATCAGTTTATAAGTACTAGAGTTATGAAGTAACAAACATAAAAAAATACACAACTAAATTAAGAATCTACTTCTTTTTGAATTTAATTATAAAAACCTCTAATTATTAAAATAATAAACTATTACTTTAACAAAGCTAATGCATAATTCCTTTTTTAATGTGATGACGAATTGGTAAATATTTAATTTGACAAGATTTTATGCTATGGCATAATTAAGTATCCAAAATTCTAAAAATTGTAACAGAAATTAATGAAATTTAAATTAGGATTTATAAAGATATTTTCTTACATAATAATATAAAATAAAGACATTATTATATGAATAATGATTAAAGTAATCAATAACAAGTACGTACTATCTATAATGCATATTATTATTATTTAATATTACAGTATTACTGGCTTATTTATAAAAAAATTAAACTATTTTATAACCTGCAAAATTTATGTCAGAAATCTGATTAAAAATGTTTTAAAATAACTTGCAATGGTCCTATGTCTATAATATCCCTGTTGATAACAATTTTCTTAATTCAAAATCTGGAAGAACTCTATTAAAAACAACTATTTGTATCAATGCCAACGCAACAAAAGTCCAAAGTTTACTGTATACGAACGTAATTTTCATATTTGGAATTTTATTATTTCAAAGACAAAATCGATGATTTTTTCTCTCAATATACATACCTTCCTAAATTTGTTAATTTTAGTTCTAATTATCTAAAATTAATGCGTAAAAAATACGAAAAAAATAGTATTACCAAACTTAGCAGTTGTTGAGTGCGCTTTTAGAAAAGATTTCGCTACTTGAGATGCCATAGCTGCTTCTTTCCTTTTGACGATTAAAACGAAACACAAAAAGGTTAAATAAAACAAAATATTCTATTATAACAAATAGAATATTTTGTAATTTGTAAGTTTAAACTTGTAAAACTAAATCAAAGTTGGACTTTAACCTCTCTTCAATTGACATCTACTCTGTGTCTGGGTTGCTAACTTCTAAAAATATTTACCCTGCCCCATGATATCTAAACACCTAATTGTAATTATGTTTTATTTCATAATTTTTTTTTATATATAACTTAGGTCCTTAAAATTTACGCAGTATTTAGGTAAATATTTGGGGTTCATCTCAATTCCATACACAAAAATCATCATACAAGTCCATCTACAAAAGTACACCAATTAAAATTTGTAATGGAATAAGGCATAAGCAGAAAAAATAGGTACCAAAAATATAAAACTACGTGTTTAAACGTTTTTTTTATAACAAAATATTTCGAAATATTTCAAATAGAATATATGGTGTACCATTTATTGGAATGTCATTTTTTTCAGTCTTTTTTTAGTACCTGATAGTGCATTTTAATACTGAGTTTTTTACTATATACATTTTCATAAAATTAATGCTAAGCTATTTATAAACACAAAAAAAATTAAAACAATGGTTTAGGAAAAGGTAAATTATTCATAAATAGTCCCATAAAAACTGTTGCGAATCAATACACAACTTTATATCCATGCCAGTATTATTAACTTCATATACAATATTTTGACATTTAATAGATAATTTATTTTGTTCTCTGTTATCTTTGTCGAATACGATATGAAGTCCCTAATAATTTATTGTTAGTTTTTCGTAATTGTACAGTAAATATTATATTTATTATTAGCATTGATTAAATAGCGAGTTGTAAAAACAACATTACGGTTGGATCAATCAAATATTCTATTTCATAATTTTCCCCTAAATTAAGCGAAAAATTTATAAATAGGAAACTCTTTCTCGTATTGTCATATCATTGCCATATTAAAAAATTAATATAGATATTTAATAATTGTTTTAGTTTTTCGGTAATAAGTGTTTTGTTATTTTGTTTTTTTCAATAAAATATAAATATTAGCTATATTTATGGAAGGATGAGACTTATAATACAACGATTTTTTTACTTAGTACCTTTTTTTAAATTATGTAACACGTAGGTATCACATCAAATAATTATAATATTGGCGGGTAGTCAGAAATATTTTGTCATAACTTTTCAACAGCGTTTAGATATTATATTCGTTCACCTCACGTCTACCATTTTCAAGTTAGCCACGTGATTTTAACAATTTTTGCTACTAAATAAAATTAATTAGATTCTGGTATCCAATTTTGTAAATGATTTTAATAAAGTGAATATCAAGTAAGTAAATTAAAAAAAAAAAATTAAATTAACAATTAATATCACTGGCCACGTCAATAGTTTGTTTCGACAAACTATAGACGTGACTAATGATATCAAGATAAGTACAATACATATACCTGGGTTATAAAGAAAAACAGCTATATTTTGCTAGTAATTGTATTTTGCATACATATTCTATTTTAATAATTAAATTGCATTTCGTTCCAAAATTAAATGTAACGAAATTATTGGAGACATTTGATTCAAAATTCATGTAGTAAGAGGCGGCAATTTGCGTGGTATCTCCGATATCATATTTAGCATGCGGTGACTATTTACTATCAGGCTGGCATCATTTTATTACAGTATCAAAAATTCATAACGGGTATATTAGTGTATTGAAGATGCGCGATTGGAGATGATTATCTATTTAAGTATCGTAGTTTATTAGGTGTTAATCGGGTCTTTCAAGTATACTAAGTGTCAAGTTAGGATATAATTTACTTTTGTGTCGTTTACCCGTTTAAGCATTATTAACAAGCAAATATTCCCATGTGGTCGCAGCATAGAATAGGCCACTCCTTTTTTTTTCGTGGGTGTCGTAAGAGGTGACTAAGGTAGAGCTAAGGATGTACAACAGCGTCTCTCTTAAAACATCTCCAAAGTATAACTCCGATTGTCAATCCGCCAATGATGTGCCAAATGTGGCAATTATTGGTAACTCCCCCGGGGGGAGGGGGGCTAGGGAGAGGCTTACGTTCAGCAGTGGACAGTTAAAAGCTGATATGATGATAATCAACCAGCAAATATACAATATTTACAAACTTTAGCGTTTATAATTTTAGAAGAATGCCAAATTTCGTTTCTGCAAACTATTTGTAGGGAGGTGGGTACTTAGGAGCGTTCTCTAGTATTTAGAATTTTTATTTAAATTTTGAGGTACATTGATATTATTGGTAAATTTTTTTTTCAGATATAATTATACCTTTAATTACTGTCCTAAGACTTATTTATTTATAAACAATAATTTGTATTTAAATGTAGAAGAATAGAATAAAATTCATAAACAGTAGGTACATGAAAAAAATAAATGAAATTAAGTACAAAAAGAAAACTCACAAGCAATACATGGTAATTTTAGAGTCATCACTTAAGAAGAGCATATTGTACCACCTAGTTAATAAAACTGTTTATTTTTTTTTTAATAGGAGGGTTTTTTTCGTAGCGATGTTGTGAAATCTTTTAGGTTGGTCTATCGATAAAACCCATTTTACCAATTTAAAGTTGATGTTTCGTTATTTCGTTGAAACTTATTATGCAAATTTGGAGTTAGATTTATACTTCAGCAATGATGTATTTTTTGTAAATTTTAATTGGAAGCCATAGCGATTATTTATTGTATTGTGATACATAATTTTTATTTAAGTGTTACATTAATATAATAAATTCAATGTTCGCTGCGAGCCATCATAAGGTGTACAATAATACATATCGTCATAGTCGTAGAATACTGACGGATCTATATATGTAATATTCGTCAGATCCGTCAGTATTCTACGACTATGACGATATATGCTTGTTGATTTTAAATAACTAATAATATAATTGATAGGTACATTATTTTTAACCAGAGGGAGAATTTATACAAAAGTTGTTTGCTTGGGTACCTCTGTCCTATTCGTGTTTCTACCCTGAAGCAGTTGTTTTTGCATGACTATGTTTCTGTTTGAAGGGTGGGATATGGCAGTGAAATAACAGGGTACAGAGGAATGACTCCTGAGACCTCAGGAATGGCAACGCATGAGAGATGTCATGGGCGAAACAGTATACTCTGTTATGTCCATGGTCACCTATAGACCGGTTACCACTTTCCATCAGGTGGGCCGTCAGTTTGTTTGCCATTCTAAGTTGCATAAAGATAAAATGTTAATAATTTCATCAATTTGTTACTGTCACATCTCTTGTTCTAGAAACTTCGAGGATGACAGCGATATACGTAATAATGATAGCGTGTATGCTGACATGCGGCGTTCGTGCACAGTTCATAGACAAGATGCAATTATATGAGAAGGAGTGTCTCGGGGAGGACAAGTTCGCCTGCCTGATGGGTGGTTGTGTGCTCCAGAGCCAGTACTGCGACGGGAACATAGACTGTCCGGACGCCACAGATGAGGACTTCTGTCGTGAGTTATGTTTTAATCTATGCTAGTTGGAGTAAATCTATCTAGGAAAAGTATTTTTAAGTGACTCGACGGAACAAGTTTCTTGATTTCTGTATTTTTTTTAGTCGACTTCAAAAAGAAGCCTTCTTTTTTCAGGTTCTTAATTTAGTTGTATTTTTTTATGTTTGCTACCACATAAGCTAGTATATACAATATTTACAAAAAAATAGGAGTTGGTAAGTAGCACAATGTCTACTTAGTAGGGATGTGTAAATATATAGCAATATCTATATGTTTTAGTTACAATATCTATGTATATATTGGTCCAACAACGAGTATGTTAAATATCTAATCCAATATTTAACGTCGAAATAAAGAACCATTGAAATTAATAAAGATATCCGACCGGTATGGGCGATAACAGAATGGGTAATGACTTTTTTCTCGTCATTAATGTCTAAAAGTCAATGTAATCAATGCCCTTTATTCCTCTCATTTACTAATTTCCTTTACGTATTTCCAACATTCCCTTCCTTTTTTCCTCAATCTTTTCCTTCAAATCGTATGTGACGGAAATCACCAACAAATGCATTCCCAAAGAGGGTTGACGTCAGGCAGGCAATCGGTCGTAAAACTATAAGCTAAATCCTTTAGTAATATGGATAAAATCATATTACGCTGACCACAAATAATATTATAATTGGGATAAGAAGGAAGAATGATAATGATAAATGTCTAAAAGAATCCGATATATAGATATTGAGATATTAGAACGGTACCAATATTACCCTACTGCTTAATTTATATAGCTTAGTAACAGATTTTTTTATATAACTTAGGATGGCAAACAAGCTGACGCCCCACCTGATGGAAAGTAGTAACTGGCGCCTATAGACATGAGCAGTACCATGGACATAACAGAGTATACTGTTACATCCATTACGAGTATATCCCTCATGCATTGCCATTCCTGAGGACTCAGGTGTTATTCCTCTGTACCCAATAAATTCACGCCATATCCCACCCTTCACACCGAAACACAGCCATGCAAACACAACTGCTTTACGGTTGAAACACGAATGTGTTGTTGCATTTATTATTATATCATCTACTTTTGTTTGTACAATAGCGAGCCACTCACCAGATCCCGAGACTTGCCACAAGAGCCACCAGTTCCTATGCGCCGACGGTAAGAAATGCATCCCCCACACTTGGATATGCAACAACTACACCGACTGCGACGATGGAAGTGATGAAGTCAACTGCACAGACCAGCTGGACGTTAAGGATAACGTAAGTTTTTTTTTTATGTAGCTTGGAATGGCAACCAAGCTGACGGCCCGTCTGATGAAAAGTAGTAACTGTTGTCTATGGCCGTAGCTGGGGAAAGGAGGGAGGGAGGGGATCATTGAGGGCCAATGTCCTACTTTAAAATGCCCAAGAACAATAGACAGATGCGCTTTTTTAATGTCACCTAATTATGGCTTCTGCCTTTCAAAGAAAGTTCTTTTGCCCTATCTTAAACATGGGGTCTAGCTATGGCCATTGAACATTTTTTTTGATGGGTGAAAATGGTATGGTAACCCCGACTGCGCTAACGGAATACGCTGGCGGAGCACCAGTGAAAGGTGATAGATGAGAATGAAAACAGGCCAGTTAGCCCATCATGATGAATTCATCAGGAGTTAACCGTGATAGTTTCCAGGGAGAACCGCGAGGAAGTTGACCTGGTTGAGTATATTGCTGGCAATAGGATTCTCAGTTTCCATTACTAACAATCCCTTTCCCCCCGGCCATTGAACATTACAGAATGATATTTTTTTTAATGGATGATAATGGAATGGTAATCCTGCCTGTGCTATCGGTATACCAGTGAGGCATGGTAGGCGAAGATGAATGCAGGTCAGTTAGAATTCCACAAGAATTAACCACGATGGTTCCTAGTAGGAACCGCATGGAGGTCGACCTGGTAGGTACCATATATTATTAGTAATACAGACTCACCTCCGCATTACTAACAATCTCTTCCTCTTCCCCTCTCCTCCCTTTCGCTGCATGGAGGTCAACCTGACGGAACGGATAGTAAATGCTAGTGTTTGGGCTGGTTCTTATCGCACTGGCACATCAGGTGCGGTTGTACCCTCAATGTATCTTATTTATGGACTTTGGGATAAGGATTTATAATTTACTTGTGTATTGTTTTTTTCCAGTCCACTTGCAAAGGTTTTACATGTGATGGTAACAAGTGCATATCAAAACTATGGGTCTGCGATGGCATATATGATTGCCTCGACAAGACTGACGAGTATACGGAGAATAATTGCAGTAAGTTACATGTTTTCTGTATTGATTTTTAATTTATATTAATATTATAAAAAGGATAAATTTGTTTGTTTATAATGGATTAACTTAAAAACTACTCAATTTATTTATTTATTTATTGGAAAACCAACAGCTTACAATTTATAGCTTAAAACAATAACAACTTATCCACATAAAAAGCCAATCGATTATAAAAAGTTTTTCACCTATAGAAAGTTACACAGGCTACATATTATTTTCAAAAATCTACTCGTGCGAACCAGAGGGAGACTATGTACAAAAGTCGTTTGCTTGGGCACCTCAGTCCCATTCGTGTTTCTACCGTGAAGCACGAATTCATCCATCAAGTGGGCCGTCAGGCTAGAGGTGCCCAAACAAACGACTTTTTTACTGTCTCCCTCTGAAATTAAAAAAAAATTTACGAGCATAAAATACAAGTCTAGTATGATTTGTCTTAATTATTTACTTGACTAATAATAAAAGTTATCAGTAATAATGTTTGACACATAGACCATTAATCGGTGGAGCAGTCCTAGATATAATGTTACTTTTATTTTAAAAAACGTGGGTCACAACTATGTAATGTTTCCATCTTCCAGGGCAATCTCTTATCTCGCATTTAAGATACGACGGCACGTGTTCTCAGTTGAACATCCTCAAAGATAATTACAGATGCATTGATTCCTCTTACTGTCTGCCCGCTAAATTGATGTGTGACGGTATGGTGGATTGTAGAGACGGAAGTGACGAGGGCGCGTTTTGTGATAAATGTGAGTCTGTGCAGTTTGTAACACACACACGCACGCACGCATGCACGCACGCACGCACGCACGCACACACACACACGTACACATACACACACACATATATATATATATATATATATATATATATATATATATATATATATATATATATATATATATATATATATATATATATATAAGAAAGCAGTAACCGTTTCCTCTCATCATATTATTATACCAGCCACTCCCATAAGGGACGTTTTGCCAGTTGCTGCCACATTTTCCAGGCAAGTTGGCAACCGCAGGCCTTGGAAATGTTTAAGGAGGGCTCATCATTCGACCACTAAGTTCCCTTAGTCTTATAACACCCACGGGATAGGAAGGGATGGTATTATTTTTTATTTCTTTTTACTCACATATTATTTTGAAGTCGAAGAACAAAAATCCTTATTGTTATTCCAGGGAACACGAGCTGCGCCGACAATCCGTGTAAAGGCAATAACACACGCTGCATCCCTGAGCGTTATGGTCCCTCTTGCATATGCAATGGGTCGCCGTATCATTTAAAGTACAACTACACCACAAATACGTGCGAAGACGTTGACGAATGTGCAGCAGCTATTCCCCTGTGCTCGCACACTTGTCACAATTTATACGGCAGATTTAAGTGTAGCTGTGATGAAGGCTATACTGAAGATAGGCTCGGATATCTCTGTTTTGCTTCAGGTTAGTTCACTATATGATTTTAATATTTAACTACATGGCTTTTTGCCCGCTGCTTTGTATGCGCGGATTTCGAAAGTAGAAAAACCAATCTATTAAACCTCACCCAGATGACGTATCAAGTTAGTATATATTTTATACTAGATTTTAATACAAGTATTGTTAGCAATCGAAACACCGTACGCCGATGGCAGTGCAAGAAGCAACAGCGACCCTATTGTCGGATCCCTAAATTGGGCCCCAATAAGAAGGCCCCGGGGGGAGGGATTGTTAGTAAAGGATAGCTTAGTCCCTATTGCTATCAATATACCCCATCAGGTCGACCTCCACGCGGTTCCCCCTGGAAACCATTGTGACTAATTTATCGTTGAATTCGTCAAGATGGGCCAACTGACCTGACTTTTCATCCTCACCTATCATCCCTCACTGGAAGGATAATCACAATGAAGCGTTTAATAACTTAAAAGAAATGTTTAAAATAAATATACTTTTTCCAGTGGTGTAAGATCCAATTAATATTTTTTGAAAGGCGCTTACATGAAGAATAAATCTTCAAAACATTTCTTCTTAATACTAATTTATATCAAAGATATCGATTTTTTAAGGAAATCTTAGAAATTACGGTTTTTGTAGAGATTATAAATATCTATTTCACCAGGGGGTAAAGTATTCAAGTCAAAAATTATGGAAACAGAAAAAAGAAATCTAGAACATATTCCCTGAATTTTTTGTGGAATTTTTCCCTACCTAAGTAGGTCAAATTACCGTCTGGGACGATATCGTTCATGATGGTTGACGGTGTGCAAAAAAAAACCACACGGTTGGCGGAGGGTTAAAGCATCATCAGGAAATTTTGTCCATAAAACAACCAACTGGAACTTCTCAAGCACTAGCTAATGGATTTACTAAAGAAAGAATGGACGAATTTTACGATAATCTTAAAAAAGTTCAAGCTGATAAGTCTTTCCCTGCTGCGCGCATATTTAACGTTAATGAGAGTGGTCTCGTCATAGTCTAGACTAAAATACCAAAAATTATAAGCACGAAAAGTGAAGAAACAAATCTGAGCAATGCGTCAGCCGAAAGAGGGTCCTTAATAACTATTGTAATTTGTATGAGCCCTGCAGGAATATTTGTTTCTTCTATGATAATTTTCCCGCGTAAAAATATGTCCGATACCTTAATGAGAGAAGCTCCAGTTGGTTCTATCGGAAAAGCACATACGTCAGAATGGATCCAAATTCATTTATTTACGCAATGGTTTCAACACTTCATAGAATACGTGAAACTTACAGAGGCATCCCCAGTGCTCTTGATACTCGATGGCCATTACAGACACACCAAAAAAATAGAGTTGATAGATGGAGCTAAACAACATTATGTGATCCTATCACTACCATCTCATTGTACGCATAAAGTTCAACCGCTAGACCGCATTTTCATGGTACCTTTAAAATCCTATTATAGTGAAGAAGTTCATGTGTTTCTCAGAAAAACTAATAGACCATTAACACCATATGATGTTGTTGAGCTGTTCGGAAAAGCTTACATCAAGTGTCAAACGGGAGAAATTGCTGCTAATGGTTTTAGAGTCGGTGGCATATATCCGTTTAATCGAAATATATTTATTCAAGCTGATTGTATGGCCGCTGCTGCAGATTTTGAAAAGCATGAAAATTGAAAAACTATTTCAACGACGCTCGCTTCTCCCACAGTTGCTTCTTTGCGATCGATGAATTTCAATGACCATGAGCCAGGGCCGTCAACTAGTAGAACAGAAATTCACTCCCTTGTTTACTTCCTTTCATAGTTCTCCCGTGCCCAACAAAATAAAAAAGAAAACTAGCAAAAGAGGCTGTAAGCCAGCAATATCGGCAATAATTTCAAGTTTTTCTTATAAAAAATATCTTCAAAATGCACAAATTAAAAAGTGTGATAAAGAAAACAGACCACAAAGAGAAAATATTAAGGAAAAAGGCAAGAAAAAAAAATAGCAAAAAGACAAGGAAAAGAAATATGACCTACAGTGATTTATCAGATTCGAATCCTAAAGGCTATATCTGGAAATAACACAGACTCTTCCTACAATGTAGCAACGAGAAATGAGACTGCAGTCCCTACTGATGAGTGCTTTTTCTGTAACGGAAAATATAGCGAGGATTAAAGGGGTGAGGAATGGGTATAGTGCTTAATGTGCGAATTGTGGGTTCACGGTGCTTGTGGTGGTTATGAATCTGGTGTTTATATTTGTGATTACTGCAAGAGTAACTAAGAATAGTAAATTATAAGTTCAAACTAAACACTGTGATGTATGTATGATCTGTGACTGATTACTTAATATTAGATGTTATTTTAGGTTGTTTAAAAAAAAATTATTACCTAGAGAACTAAAGACTAATAAAACTGTTACAAAGACAAGACATCTATTAGTTTCTAAGAAAAAGTGTAAGCAATTGACAAAGAAATAATGTGAATGTAATTTGGAATACTATATTCCAAATTATCTGCATCCTAAGGCCAATATAGTTTTTGGAATTTTCTAGTTAGGCATTTTCATAAAGATTCTGGTTTTTATTATATTTGATTGTTCTCATTAATAAAGTTTATTATTTTGACCCTAATTAAATGTATTTTGTACAACCCCCCCGTTCCTCTTTCAATTTATTCTCAAAAATCAAACTGGTATTCTAAATATGCCGCAGTTGCAGCTGCTCTACGTATTTACATTGAACCCAAAACTAAAAATGACACTAAAGACAGCATTACAGAATTTTCCACCAGAGTTGTTTATAAAAATTAATAAACTTTGTGAACATCATTGGAAGCTACTTCAATGGTTGGCACAGACAATGGAATTCAAAGAGACTAAGCGAAACAATGACTTGCTACTACAGCTGTATGGTCTTTGTAGTGCTACATCTTTCAATAAATGTGATAATTGAAAAAGCATTTTTTTTAATTTGTTTATGACAACTTTTTTTTATTAAATAAATTTATATAAAACACATACAGTTGATCGTAATAATAATACTTCGTTCAAATCAATCTAGAACTAGTCAATCAAGAGCAATCTTATCAATTATCAAATCAAAATAGTTTTGCTTATTGTTCGCAGGTCCCGAAGCATTATTATTTTACAGTACTAAAAATGAAATAGGATTCATAAAAGTCAGATCTAAGGAACGAGTTACTTTGGTTACTGGAATAAAAGAGGTAGGTCTATTAATTGAGAATGTAAAAAATTATTGTCCATTAAAAATATCTATGAAATGTTGATTCCCCGATCAATATGTTCATATATTTTAAAAATAGTTTTTTATTTTACTCGTTTTTAGTCCTTTTATTTGAGTAAAATTACAAGTAACTTAAAATATAAGCTCATGATAATAGAATATAAATATAAATGCATGGAAGTAAATTATTTTTACTGATATAAAATTTTTAATTATTTGTGCATGATATTCAACACAAAGTATTTTTGTTATGAATAAATAAATGAATGAATGATATCCCTCATTAGATAATATGATCATATGATATAAATATAACACTCACATCTGATAATTGTGGATTTTTTCTTAACCTGGCATATCTTTCATTATTTTCTTTAACGGAATATTTTTTTCTATTTAAAAATTATACTTTCACACCAATGTTTACAAGATTCATAATCATTTGTAGGCACATGGAGTAGCATACAATGGCAGGTATTTGTTCTGGGTGGAAACCGCACAAGGACATCAGGCTATCATGAGAGCTGATCTGGAAAACGTACAGGAAACTAAAGAGGTAAGTATATAACTGCATTGTTGCCGAAGGCAATCTTTTTTAATTCTACTCTATATCTGATGTGACACCATTATTTTTGAACTATATGTCCGTTTTAGTTTACGTGACCAGCTATACGGTTATACCTCATTTATATTTTTCTTTAGTGCCTAATTTATATATAATTATATTTTTTATACACATCACAATTATATGGCTTTTCATCAGCATAAATATGCACGTTTAACGAATTGGAAATATTCTATGAAACAGTTTTTTATACACATCACAACTATATGGCTTTTCACCAGCATGAATATGCATGTTTTCAAATTGCAATATTCTATAAAATATTTTTACACACATCACAACTATATGGCTTTTTATCAGCATAAATATGCAAGTTTTCGAATTGAAAATATTTTATGAAACAGTTTTTACACACATCACAACTATATGGCTTTTCACCAGTATGAATATGCATGTTTTCAAATTGCAATATTTTATGAAATATGTTTTACACACATCACAACTATATGTCTTTTCACCAGCATGAAAATGCACGTTTTCAAATTGCAATATTCTATGAAATATTTTTTACACACATCACAACTATATGGCTTATCACCAGCATGAATATGCATGTTTTCGAATTGAAAATATTTTATGAAACAGTTTTTACACACATCACAACTATATGGCTTTTCACCAGTATGAATATGCATGTTTTCAAATTGCAATATTTTATGAAATATGTTTTACACACATCGCAACTATATGGCTTTTCACCAGTATGAATATACATGTTTTCAAATTGCAATATTCTATGAAATATTTTTTACACACATCGCAACTATATGGCTTTTCACCAGTATGAATATGCACGTTTTCAAATTACAATATTCTATGAAATATTTTTTACACACATCGCAACTATATGGCTTTTCACCAGTATGAATATGCATGTTTTCAAATTGCAATATTCTATGAAATATTTTTTACACACATCGCAACTATATGGCTTTTCACCAGTATGAATATGCACGTTTTCAAATTACAATATTCTATGAAATATTTTTTACACACATCGCAACTATATGGCTTTTAAAAATATAATGTCTTATTAGATTAACCGTCAGAAAAACTCACAATAACCCTGTACTATCCTACAAAAATGGTTTTGTTTGCATCGAAAGTTAAAGAAGTCATTAAGATATGACCACTCCACCAGGTGATAGTGGGAATTGGTATAGAGGAGCCAGGAGATATCGCAGTGGATTGGCTGGGCGGGCACATCTACTTCAGTGACTCAGAGCGTGGTATGATCGCCGTTTGTCGCACTGATGGCTCAATATGTACTATATTGAAGACACATACGAACAACCCGAGATTCGTCACTTTGGCTGTTAAATATGGGTAAGTACATTTAACATAAGAAACATACTTGTAATACGATCACATCAATGGAGCACACACTCAGATTACCGACTTTTAGAAAAAAAAAATTGCATTAATCAAGTCTTGAAACAATGAAAATATCTTTTAAAGCTGATTTAAAAGATGACTGAACATATTATCTTTCGAAATATAGAAGTAAATACGAGTATTTTCAAAATTGTAAAAGAAACTTTGAAGAAAATAAATATCCACAGCTAGTTTAATCTAATATTTACTTATTACAGAAATATTTTAATTTGCCGTGTGGTCCCGGTATAGAATGGGCCTCTCCCGTGCATGTCGTAAGCGAACTCAATGGTCTTGGGATGGACACCAGCGTCACTCTTAAAACACCATAAATGCCTAACTGCGATTGCTAATTCGCATGTTAAGCGTGGCGACTACTAACAAAACTCCTCTTATAGGGAAGGCCTATGTTCAGCAGTGGATAACGGCTGACAGAATAGAATTAAAAAGGAATGTTTCAAACTAATAACTCTCGCTGAAAAGATTCGTAGGTCCCAATAATAGATTTTGGTAATCATACAAAAATATAATATACAAATCTCTCCTTTTTACTTATTTTAGACAAATGTATTGGGCGGACTGGCATCACCGTCCTGTGATTATGGCAGCGCGAATGGATGGTTCAGATACTGAATTACTTGTTGATAATCTAAAAGGATACGCAACTGGCCTCGCTGTGGACGTACCGAATGGACGTCTCTACTATGTGGACAATACTATCAAGGCTGTCAAGTTAGATGATAAGCAGACATATGTGAGTAAACTTTATTATTTAATCAGTGTAAGCGACGCACCTCGCACCTCGTAAAATGTTATAATTGTAACCACTAGCGCCATCTGTTAGTACTTTGCTTGAATTAATGCCGGCGCGCATGCGCCGAACGAATGCCACGTGACACGTGAGTGCACGAGTTTTAGTTGTGTTTTGTAAATTGAATAAAAAAGAGTGTCTTGCCAGTGTCCGTTTTCATTTTGATAAATATCGACACATTTTCCAACAACGGTCTGTTACAATCAGCATATTAAGCAATAAGTGCCGTGTTACAAGTTGTGATAGTAGATGAAAGGACCAAAATTTTTATACATATTCTAAATCATTACCAAGTGCCTTATAAAAATAAGTAAATTAAGGGCACGTTCTCCTAAACTGGTGACCGTAAAAAATCAAGACGCCGACCATCTATACAAATAAAAAGAAGAACCGTCACGAAGCATTTAAAAATGTCAAAAGAATCACAAGAAGCCACAGAAATAATTATTAATTTCAAAATTATAATGTAAATATTGACTTGCCATTATGTGACGAAAACTGTTACATTGGTTAATAAAGAAATATGAATATAAATAAAGATAATCAGCAACGTGGCCATCATTTTTCTATTCCTGCCTATCTATCACTATTCTGGCGACAAAACCCTCATTTATATGTAGTTTGCTCAATTTATTTTGCCATTGTCACTAACAAGAACGATCAAGAACAAAAAAATAACGATTTTGATCAAATCCTCATCATTATACTCAATTCATCGGGTACCGGGAAATATCAAACTTTAAAGACAGACTTATATTTAAATATCAGGAAACCCAACTACTACCAACTTCAAGAGGTACTCAGTAGTTTGGGGTTTAGGGAGCAGAAATCTAGTAAACGATTGAGAAAAATGCGTGGCATAAGCAGAATCTACTCACAGATTAAACACTTAAAGTTATATGGCTCAGTTAGCTGCTCACTTAAGTTCGTGTCGTCCTTTCCAATAACACAGAATTATCACTTGAAATTGCAACCACTCTGTCCGACAACATGACGGAGCATTTTAAACCATCATCAGTTGCTGTAGCCGCTATCACTTGGTCTATACTTCAAGCAAGCTTCTGCTTACACAATAATAATGTCGCGACTATTCAAAATTCACATGCTAGCTAAACAAATAGTAAAATTATCTCTGGAGAATACCGAACTACGCTTATGTCACAGGTATCCTGTTATCTTGCGTACCAATACAACTGTTCGCGTGCGTGCTCTTAGACTCAATTGCTATCACCTAATAATCCCAAACAGGTATGTTGGTATCATTACGAAAATGTAACAACGAAAAAGCCTATCACCGAGCACTCGCAAAAATATAGTAGCAAACCAGAAAAAAAGAACATTGGCTGTGGCGGGCCTCGATGTTAACAACAAAGAAAATTTTGTCGACATTAAAACAGACATATTAGTATTAGCGACAAGAAACAAGAAGTATCACAAACCACACCTCATACAAATTATTTGCCGCTAAAGTCTGGATTATCACACAAGTAATAATAAGCCGATGCTTTTAGTGTTTTGATCTTTAGCTACCCTCAATTTTGTTTAGGATATTTAAGTGACTAAAAGATGAAGATATCGATAATTTACTCGCACAATTATAAAATAGAGAAATTTCTGAAGACAAAAAGGATATGGGTGATCTAAACGAAATTGGTCGTCACCCACACCTACAATGTCTAATATAAGAATTGAAAGACAATAATGATAATAATAATATTGAAAATTGTTTCTTAGCTACGAAAGAAGTTTTAAAACTAAAATAAGGTAACACTGCTATTAAAAAATTAAAAAGAAATTAATTAAACCTACATGAAAATAAAAGCCGTTTCGATTTGAAATATTTAGTCGCTGATATTTGTGAATAGTTCAGTAACTGTGAACAACTTTAATGAAAATATTATTAACGGGAAAAGCAATGACTGAATGTTTTAATGTTAATAAACACTTTATTTTAAATCTTTAAAGTTGCAGTTTCAATGTCAAATACTTTTGAGGAGGATCACGAAATAAAAAAAAAAGTTTATAAAAATAGAAGTGAAATCTCGAATAGGAAATTTACTAGATTTAATGGACAAAATATTATACTCAACTACTCGTATTGTCATCAACTTTAAGAAGTTTTATAAATTTATTTTCTTTATAAGAATTTAGAATTCATATTACCATGAGTGTTGTTTGTTTTGAAGCATTAATTAACTTTTATTTTTATTTTATATTAGTTATTAAAATTTATCTATTTTTTAAATTAACAGTCGTTATTGGAAGGATCTTACCACCACCCGTACGCAATCGCTGTATTTGAAAGGACTGTGTTCTGGAGCGAATGGACTTCTCAATCCATACAGACGACGGATAAGTTAAACGGTATCGCTGCGAAACGAGAAAATTTGGCCACTTTCGATACACCTGTTCATGGTAAGTGTTATCGTTGTTTCTTTTACATTATATTCTTTTTTTATATTGACATTATAAATAATTTAATTAATATATAAGATTATCATTAATTATAATTACTAATGGTGACCATGGCTAAATTTGTTACTATTGATTGACGTGCTTTATTCTATTTTCAATTTTAATGGCGACTTTATTGTATAACTTTAAATTAATTAATGTTATGTAGCTAATTGTATAATTGTATGGCCGATGTATGGGTAGGCTGTGTCAATTCCCTTTAAGACGTTAATAACATCTTACATATAATTATAATATACAGCTCACAATAAATATTTCAAATACATTAATATATCAAATACATTCACAATAATATATCAAATATATCAACATACAGTCCATAATCGCCCACACTAGGTTATAATATTTCGGAAGCCGGGATCTTATCAAATGAACAAAAAATTTAAGGCAATTGAAATTTTCCCTATATCTAAGATCATTCACCAATTACTTAAATCTTTAGGATTAATAAATTACTTTCGAAATTTTATCAAAAAATGCGCACTTTTATGTAGCCCATTAACGTGTTTGTTAAAGAAAAATGCAATCTGGCAATGGGGCCTCGATAAGAACAAGCAGTACATGAAATTAAAAAAGGTTGATTAATAAAATTACTTTGCTTGCTTCTTTGTTACAACTCTTAGATTACGCTCAGGACATTATCCAAATGCAAAATTCGCTTTCTTATGAAAAAAGTTAATAAACCGAATTGTGATCTTTGTAACACATTGGATGATGTTCACCATATGATATCCGAATGTACGAAATACAAAACACAAAAGGGAGTATTGATACAGAAATATAGTCTGAATAGACAGGAGATTGGTTTATTTTCAAATATACTCGCAGAACCACATTCCGGAATGGCAAAATCTTTAATTACTATATTTTTTATCAATAATTCCCTTTATCAAAATAGACTACTAAGATATTATGTATTATTTATTTATGTATTAATGTTTTAAGTATGGGAGGTATTTTTTAAAAATTAGGGTATGATGAGGCTGACACATCCTTAAAGGATAAAAGCCTCTAAATGAAAAAGATAAAAAAACACGTTGCTTTGAAAAATTTCAATCCTAATGTACTAATTCATTTATATATGGATGCAAGCCATGAGGGTATAGGTTGCATAATTGAAAGTTCGGACTCAACCGAAGAAAGTTCTAATAGCACAGAAGAGAAGGACTCAGGTATCGTTGGTAAAAAGGGTATGCGGAAGAAACGACCACTACCGAAAAAACTGAAAGAAAGAACTGAGAGGTGGTCTGGAAAAGGAAAATATGTCAAGCCTAATACCTGCTTAGGTAAAAAATGCGGGACGACTGCACTAATAAGTTTACTGAAATCGAAAGAAACTGCGTTCATGAACTCTATTGGAGTCTTGGATACTTACAAAAACAAAGAGATTTTAGTTTATCTTTGATTAAGGCATGTGAAATTTATCGAAAAAGAGCAGAAAGTGATCGTCGAAAAATAAGTTGCAATTATTATTTACCAAAGGGCATTGAATTTGTTAAAATTTGTCAACAGTTTCTTTTGAAAACTCTTGATATTTCGCAATTGACATTGCGTTACACTGAATCGCATAAAATTGCAAGTTTTATGTCAAAATCTAACTAACACGGCAAAAGCACGCCTTCAAATAAATACAGTCAATCTCAAACTCAAAACGCAAATAATTTTATAAAAAAGTTACCTGCCGTTCGAACACATTATTGTAGAAACAAAAGTAACAAATTGTACTTACCAACTAAATTTAGGGATGTGACCTATTTATATAGAAACTTTTACTTTAAAGATGATGATATGAAAGAGTTAGGTGCAGTAAATTATCAAAAGTTTAGAAAAATATTTAAGATGGAATTCAACTTAGGGTTTCACTTACCAAAGATAAATGTGATCAAAGATCAATGTGTGAGAAAATAAAAAATTTGAATGATAAAGAAAGAAAATAAACGATAGAATCAATTCACGAAGAAAGACCATTAAACCTATTTCTAGCGGATAAAAAAAAGCAAATACAACAGAAACTTTTTGTGTGCGAGTTTTGATATCGAAAAGTCTTAACAATACCTCACGGTCAAAGCGTAAATGTCTACTATAGTCGAAAGTGTTGATATGCATCAAAATATTCTTGTTCACTATCTATGGTAATTTTTAATAAAGGTGTAAAGCTGGTTTGGTACATCTGAAAGTGACACGTATTTTTATTCGCTCCACAATATATTAAAATAAAATTACAGAAAGCTTGCCTATTATAATGAAAGTATTTATGAAAGCGGCACCAGATTTGCATTTTGTTATCTTTGGAACGAAACGGAAGCGAAAACAGGATGCAATGCAATCTGTAATATTATCTTTAAAAACCTTAAAATGAGAGGACACAAAATGAAATTGTATTTTACTGTGATAGTATAATAAAAATATAGCCATGATTGTAATGCTGTATTATTTCATGCAATATCATGTGAGTTTTGTTAAAAGGCTGATTATAAACTTCCTTATTCCTGGACATACTATGATGCCAGTAGACTCTGTGTATGAGACAATAGAAGGATTTGTAAAGAAAAGAACCATTAACGCACTATCTGAACGGCAAACTTTGATTGGAAATGCTCGGACTAATCCCAAAAAATATTATAAATTAATATATAAACAAGCAAGCTGCGTAATGCTAAATTTGAAAGAGGTGACAAGTTCTATCTTAAATACGACTATGATAGACTCGAACAAACTGTTGATGTTTTTTTTTACATTTAGATCTCGGCAGAATTAACAAGCCTTTCGTGAATCGAGAACTGCTTACATTGAATAAAATCCCATTTTGAAGAGAAAATACGAAGATTTAAATAAAATTTGCGATAGAAACACAAGAGATGTTTTACTTGAGACTGATGAAGACCACGACTCTTCTTGTATTTCATTTTATTAATAAATCTAATTCACTTAGAAGTGCTTAATGTTTATATTTTTTTACTTTTTTGAATTTCTGACTCTTTATCTATTTCTGTCTGTCATGATATCTCGTAAACACAGTTAAAAAACTTCACAAAAATGATTTCTACTTCATGATATTTAAGAAGTATCGTAATCGAAATACTCATATCAGCTCTACTTAACACATTAAAGGCGGGGGATCTTGACGAAAGTATGCTAGGTAACGCGGAGATTTTGCCATTTCTCCATGACGAGTATACTCGTCAATCATAGTTAACTAGTTAAGCTACAGTCAAGATAAATCGTATTACTACGACTCCCGCCTTTAAGATATAGTCGAAATAAATCGTAGTACTACGACTCCCGCCTTTAATGTGCTAACAACGGGCATCAGTTTTAACGTAAGCGACAAATGTATGTGGTTTTAGAGTACTGAGACAAATCTTAACATTTGAATTAATAGGGAGGTGCCCACATAACACTTAGTAAAAATTTCAAACTGATGCTATAAATATTTAGAGAAATAATAAAACAATACCTCTTGTAAAATATGCAAAATGGCGGTTACGATCTTCTTCCTGAAAAGTGTTAATATTTTCTTTAAAACTTGTTTTATTATAGCTAAGTCATTCATACTAACCACAATTAGATATGTAGCAGATTATATTTTAGATAACACTGAAGTAATGTATCATCGTTTCAGATATGCACATTTATCACCCAGTTCTGATGAAACAGAAGACAAATCCATGCAGGAAGCACAACTGTTCACATATGTGTCTACTGACATCCAATGTTACGTACACTTGCGCATGCCCTGAAGGAATGAGGCTGAAACAAAATACCTGCTACAGTATGTATTAATAATTGTACACTTATATTCAGATTACTAGTGATCCCTAGTTATTTGTGTAGTATTAACGCACCGAATATTGCGGCGTCGCTTAGTAAGAATATTCTGTTTCATCTACGAGTAACACTGCTCCACTACATATTTGTATCGCAGCGTAGGTAAAACAACTGAGCAATTATTGTTAATATAGTGTTAATACACCGGATGTCTGTTTTCGACTGACTAACGTAGCCGAGTCCAAGTCTTTTTACTCAAATGACACTGCCCTATTATGGGCGTTCTTGGCTATTTTGCCAAGAACGCGAATGCCCATCTAAGAAAGATGATGTCACTCATTTAACCATTCAATACAAGTTTGATATTTTATTCCATTTATTACAACATTAATAACAACTCTAAAAAAATCTTTTAATTTGTAAAATACCGAAAACTAAATCATTTGTATTAGCTTAAATTCCTAAAAACCTAATATAATGGTATACTGTATGAAAAGATATAAATGATAAAACATTAATTATTATTATTAAAGCAACAGGAAAAAGCACTGCAGTTTATAAATGTTGGTAGCGCTACCGTCATACCCCATCAATACGTAAAATTATTGAGAGAGGACATTTTGTTCAATGCAGCCGAGCTGTTAATACATTTATCATAGTTTAATTATAAGTTAAAAAAATATATAAAGTGGCAAGAGTTGCGATCGGTATATGTGTAAGTAAATATATAAGTAAGTTACTATTTCTTTTTATGATACAGTTGATGGTTTTTAGCACATATTTTTTTACTGTACATCATGTACATGCAATCTTGCTTTAATATTACTTAATTTGTTAATAAAAAAACCGACTCTTTTATTTAAATAAGATATAATTATTATAAATGTTTATTGAAGATGTTATGTTGTTTTGTTTGTTAATTAAGATACAAAATTTGTTTAATAAATGTCATAGATATGTTTTCTTTGCAAGCAAATAATTTCAGAAACATTTCATTTAATTTCAAAATGTGTAAGACTGATTATGAAATAATAATAATAAATAATTAAGGTTTTTATAGTCGGCGCGGAATAGTCGCCGACTACGATAGTGGCTGGATAGTCGGCTTTTCCGACTAGTCGGCACGTCTCTACTGAAAATCGATTGTTAATATAAACCTCTCTTTACAGGTACTCCTCAACTTTTGTTGAAGGGGATACCTGAATACTACCCATTCCTTCGAAATCAGGTTTCTGTTTTGAACAAAATGGAGAAATCCCAATCTCTTAAAACGGAAATTATTCACTCAATACTGCCGAGCCTAATTACGACCAGTTCCTTCATAAAAGTCAGTTTAAACAAAAAAGATTTCAGACTAAGTGAATTAAACTTCTATACCACAGGTAACTTAAACAACAAACGTACTAAATGTGATTTTTGGATGACCTGGGCTCAATACTACAATGGCTTATCGGAACATCTGACGCCAAGAATGCAAAACACTACAACGAATGTATCGAACAGTTAGAAAAACAACAGATTTCAAATAACGTAATCCTTAGACAACAACTACGGATAATTTCTTCGACAATCAGAAACTTTATGAAACCCTATTAAAAATCTCTTAAATCGTAAGAACATTAGATTAACGAAAACATCGCTAAAATTAACTCTTATTTTAATACTATGAATAAATTAATTTTCAGCTTTAACATATCCGAAGAAATATCCACGTTAGCAATACAAATATTAGAATCAGTAACATCGTTACAAAAAGATACTGACGACATAATAACGAGCATTTTGTTCATTAAATTAGGCGCTATTCATCCCTCAATTATATCCATAAATCGTTTGTATAAAGAATTACTATCTTCGAGTCCCACCACAATGAATAAAAATGTAGTAACCTCTATAACGCTATCAAACACATATTCTATTTCTATCTTACATCCAGAGCAAACATTTCTTGCCATGAACAGCAACAGATAACAATACGTCATAATAAACAACTTGGGAAAATGCAAGAACTTTGCCACGGAAATTAGTCTGCAACGACTTCCCGATATATTATATAACGTGAACAACAGGCCTACCTGTGAAACTGCCATACTCACAACAACAAGGCGAGGTGTGCCGGAAATCGGCGAAGTTTAGTAAGAAATGAAGGTAAAACCATATATAAAGCTTCCAAAGAAGCAGACGTCCCATGGAGCGCCTTAAAGCGATACCTAGAGAATCAAGAGGATTCTGTAAGAAAAATGGGGAGGCCTTATGCACTTCCCTCTGACATGGAGCTAAGGTTATTATATTATACTCGTAGAAATGCAAGAATTGGGGTTTTGACTTACCGTTTATCAAATTAGAAAATACGCCTACGACCTTGCTGAAGTGGCTGGTCGGGAGAACTTCTTGTCATCAGCTAATCGCATTGCAAGCTAATGGTGGTGGAACAGCTTTAAATATAGGCACAATTTTCTTATGTGTGCCAGAAAATCTTTCAGTCTATAGGGCTTCTATGGCTGATACTAGCTAGCTAGACGATGTTCTTACTAATCTCGCTATCAAGAATAAACTACATCTAATTTGGAACTGTGACGAGACTGGCATGTCCTATGTAGTGAAACCATCTAAAGTTGATGCTGGTATTGGTAAAAAGTATATTTATAAAAGATCCTACGCTGAACGAGATCAAAATCAAACAATGTTGGCATGCATTTACGCAGATGGAACATGGATTTCTCCTATGACAATATTTAAAGGTGTTAGGTGGAATGATACACTTAAAAATGACACTCTTTCCAACGCATTAATCAAACTATCACCCAAAGGATGGATCAATTCGGAATTATTTTTAGAATGGTTAAATTTTTTTATAACTTCCATACCACCCGAACGTTCTGTGGTCCTTCTAATGTACTCACATTCAGCACATATTGGACCAGAAGATCTTAAATTTACTAAAAATAACCAAGTTTATCTATTTACTTTCCCAGCTCATTGCACGCATCTATTGCAGCCTCTTGACGTGGGTCTATTTAAGCCACTTAAAAGTTACTGGCGTAACAACATGAATAGGTACATGAGCAATAATCCTACAGATGCTCCAAATCGCAGTAACTTCTATTCCATTATGAATCCAGCAAAATTACTTCAAATAATAGATAATGTAGTAAAACAAAAGTGACTTTTTGCTTAGTTGCAAAATTCTTATAAAATTAGTTTTTTTCATTTTTATCATCAATATATCTTTTCTTATTCTATTATTAGAAAATGTCTGTAAAGTATACACTGTTTCCATTACATTACTAGCTGAAGAGAATCTATCCACAAATATTAGTCACCCTATCGTCACCGTAGACCTGGAACATATCTGCACTCCTGAAAACTTAAATATCATACAACCAGAACTTCTTGCAATGAAATAAAACAACAGCGTTGGACTCTCTCAACAAAGGAACAATATAAATTACTAAAAGACAACCAAGCTACGTTTATTGAGAAATATTTCACAAAACTCTCAACAACTCTCTCAAAAACTTTACTTATGCTTAGTCACAAGTAAGTGCCGAGTACGTAGCCAGTTTGGGCGATTTTACAGATGCAGCGGGTATTAAAGACAAGCTGCGGGCAACAGAGCCCAACCAACAAGGACACTTCGGGCGTGCGAACGCACAGACCCATGGTCTCTATGAGACCTTATCTGCACCAGCTAACCTACTCCAACGGGTTGCAGAGGATATTGCCGCATCCCAACGCAGAGCGGTTGAGTCGAATAAGTGGGTGCTATCTGGCCTCATCCCACAGGGGCCGAGAGCACCGGAGCCGGACCAAGAGACCAAGGACCATTTATTAAATTCAATATACGGAACTGCATTTGTATCAGTGGTATTATCAAAAATAGAAAGAAATATCAGGTCAACATTATTAAATCGAACATTTAATTCATGGGATGCTCTGAGAGAACATTTATTAGAAAATTATTTTGAAAAACAAATATTTGCACAATGGCAATTGGAATTAAATTCATGTAACAAGGACTGAAATAAACTATTCCACTACGAAGAAGAAATTTCTCGCGATAATATGGTCAGTAAAGCATTTTCGCCCATATTTATATGGTCGAAAGTTTAAAGTTATAACCAATCATAAACACCTGGTATAGCTCTTTAATGTAAAAGATTTAGGATCAAGATAAGTAAGATGGCGGCTACTTCTCTATGAGTACGAGTATGAAATTGTTTATAAACAAAGAAAATTAAATCATAATGCAAATTCTTTAAGTAGAATACATCCAGAGGAAGATGTAAGGTTACAAATTACCAATAGAAATCGTGAAACTTATTCATAATTTTTAAAAGAAATAGAAAGAAGACTCATATTGTCAAATAATATAATGATCCTATGTCAAATAAAAGTAATAAGATAATATTTTCATCGTGTATTTAGATATTTTAAATGAAAAATACCTCGCAAAATATAAAACAGAATTTGAAAAAATCAGAATAAACAACCCTACACAGTATGACGTCATAGATTCACAAGACTCAGGAAAAAATTCTTTGTACTTTGTTTTCCCTAAAAATATTAATTGGGATAAAGTAACATATGAAGATTTGTTTGAATGCCTGAAGAACCTGAAAAATAAATTATGTGAAAAGAATGCTAATGAAATAAAATTTTGTTCATAATTTTATTTGCAAATTTGGAATACCTGATGTCCTATTAACAGATAGAGGTACTGATTTTACTTCGAAACTAGTGAAGGAGATATCAAAATTATAATATTTAAAATAAAGAAAATAAACACGACAGCGTATCACCCACAATCCAACGGTGTGCTAGAAACGAGTCATGCCGCGCTAGTTGATTACTTAAAACATTATGTAAATGATGACCAATTAAATTGGGGTAATAGATAGATTTTGCCATGTTTCCTTATAATACTAATATTCACACCTCAACACAGTTTACATCTTTTGAACTTATTTTTGGAAATAAAGAGAAACTACCAACTTCAATAGTAAAAACCCCAGAATTTAAATATTGTTACAATGATTATTTAGATGAATTAATATTGAAACTTAGAAAATCCAGACAGTTAGCACGAGAAAAATTAATAAAGTCCAAGTTAAATAACAAATAAATATACAATGCAAACAGTAAAAGAGTATAATATAAAGTATGAGTTTAGTGCATTTAAGTAATGAATAAGTTAAGCTCGAAAAGTCAAAGAAGTTATCGCCATACTATTTAGGACCATATGAAATAATTGAAAAATTCTCTAGTAAATGTTACTATTAAAATGAAGAAAAATAAAAAGAGAGTTCATACCAATAGATTGAAACATGCGTTTATTTCAGAATGAACACTATGATTGAAGTTTTGAAAACGCTCATTATCATCTACGGATGTAACGCAAGTAGGTTAAGTTCGTATAATATGACTAGTATAGATAAAGGCGGAATATAATTTAAACATCTAGGTAAAATCAACCACTACGATAGTGAATGGAATATGATAAGTTATATCGATATTTCTGAAATACATCATAAGATTGATTTAATAGATAACAATTATAGTAGAAATAGGGAAATATGTAATCAATATGAAATCAAAAGTTCAGTAATTTTTCTCTTTGTGAGACATAAATCCTGGTATTAGATCAAATTATCCCTCAACTTTATAGTCAGGAAAGCATCTTAAAGAAATTAACTGGCAGAACAAAACAATATTACATTGATGATGTTGGAAAAATATTTAAAGTTCTTTTTGGTACTTTAGATTCTAAAGATGCAGAACGATATGACGAAGCTATTAAGAATTTAGATTCTCATGAACATGATATATTACGTTTGTTAAAGACTCAGACTGATATTATTAAAAGTACTTTTTCAAATTTTATATTATTAAAATTTGATTACTGATTAATGATCAAAATTTTTACAGTAGATCTGTATATTTTCAATGACCAATAGTTGTAAATTATATACTGTAAACGTAATTTTGCAAATGAAATAAAAGGTCTAATTAGTGAATAAAATTTTATATTACCTTCTATTGACATTTTTAATGATGACTATTGTAGAAAAATAAAAGATAAAAATATATCAAAAATTTAATTTATACCTTTAAGATCTCACGATAAATTAGATTTAGAAAGTCTTAAAATAGCAAGCCATAAAATAAATAAAGTGAAAGAAATGATATCTAATTTGGGAAATGAATTAATTTATACTAAGATAACAAATAACGGGTCCTTTTTCTATATTTTTCATGTCAATTATAAAAATAATGTTTTGTTATATAATATACCGTATTGGAAAATATATTTAAAACGTAAATTCTTCTGTACTAATTAAGCTAGACTATTAGCTCTCAAAGAATCTCGAAATTGTTGTACTAGAATTACTAATTGTATCACTTTAAGAGTTAATAATAATAATAATACTGATACTGAGAGACGTTGAGTTAGAAGACATATCCTCTACAGAAGAATCGGTTTTAATGGTACAAGAGGCGATCAACATCCTTATGTTAGGAAGTAAATAGAAATTATTACGACGCGTTTAATTGCGTTGGAAAGACAACCGACTTCGTCTATGTAGTGTTTGTATCTATACAATAAGTATAATACATTGTCTCATGTACACCAGTAGAGGGGGTAGCCGTCAACCAGTAGTCTGGCGTTAGCCGGCAATGATGGATGCGTGCGTTTGCCTGCGTTTGGAACTGGATGTAGTAGTGAGCCAGTGCAATAAAATACATATTGTTAAATCCCCATTCTGTGTGATAGTGATCACTACAGTTTACATCTGCCATAGGCTATCATCAGTCCGATCCTGAAAATGTGGGTAATACGTCACCGCACCCCGCTGCTATCATTGTCTCCTAAATTATCTGATATGGCAAAAGGATTTCACCGGATTCCAATGAAAAAAAATCTATTTCATTAACAGCTTGTTGTCACTCCAGAAACTATTATGAATACTTAAAAATACTCTTAAAGTTTTTGTTGATTCTGCAAAAATCTTTGTTTACATTGCTGACGTGCTCATTTTAAATATTTAATTGAATAAGGCTTTGGAATTTTATGCCCGGTAATTAAAAAATTAACTTCTGCTAGTTTTTCCATGAATTTAAATAAACGTTCATTTCGATCCACCTAAATTGAGTATTTGGGTCGTTCTATTAGTGAAGTTCAAGTACAACTGAGCTCATTTAAAATAAAAGCTCCTGTTGAAGGCCTCAGTAACAAAAAAATATCTATTCCTTAGTTCAACTGGGTACCATTACGAGCAGACCTCGTACTTGTGAGCAGACCTCACTCTGAAATATACTCTATAACTCTGAAAGACAGAAGCCTACCAATGGGCGAAGTTGCCTAAAGAAGTAATACTGACGTATAGTGACGATGCTTTTAAACACTACGAAGTACCGGCTGGTAGGCAGACAACATACAAAACTTTGAAAATGATTTTGATGACTACAAAGTCTAATGGTTCAGCAAATGGAAGAGTACAATATTGATTGGATGCATGGGAAATGCAACTGCCCTGCGTTTTACAAAAAATATATGTGCAAACATATTATCGGATTAGCCATACGCTTAAAGCTGGCCAAACCCCCACCAGGAGCAAAAAAAGTGCTTAGGGGAGAGTCGGGTAGCCCCGGCCGGCGGGTACCCTCGGTCAGTGCTAGTTACAGGAAAGTTCGCACACATACATGCACAAGTGTCACATCCACACGACCGCAGCACCATTTAGCCGTATATTCATATCAAACGCGCTGCGACTGATGTGCGAACAACACGTGACATTCGTTTGTTTAACAGTACCTATACTTTTGTGTGCGCCGTTTACTTTTTGAGTGCGGTTATTGGTTATACAATGTAAGTACTTCACCATAGTATATTACTAATTCTGTAAGTTAGTCATTATAGTTAACAAATTAGGTAAATACTTGACGTTGTTTTTATTGATATTTCCTATATGAATAAAAACATAGGATCGAGGCGGTCGGGTACAATCGGACACTTTTTTGTCGGGTACCCCCAGACATTTCTTTTATGACGAAATGTTTAGTTTCTTGGATTGCATAGTGAAATTAAGAAACGTGGTAGTTTCACCATGTCTGTTTGTCTATGCATCTCTATGTTACAGTCTTTTTTTATTACAATGTTGAGACAAGTGTATAAAATCTTGTGTCTTTTGCAGATAATGCCAAAATTCAAAGGAAGGATTACGCCTAGAGGAAATTGGGACGAAAATAAAATGAAACAGGCTATAAGATGTGTACTGGAAAAAAAGATATCGGTGAGAGAAGCAGCTGAGAGATATGATGTGCCGAGAAGCACCCTTCAGGATCGGATAAAAGCTGTCGGTAGTGGACAAGAAGCACAGTTCAAGCCAACACTAGGGAGATATGAACATACCTTCTCAGAAAATCAATCACTGCAATTATATAACCATGTCAAAGACCTCGATAATCGCCTGATGCCGCTGACCAAAGTAGAGTTTTTGAAATTGGCATTTCAATTTGCAGAACGTTTAAAAATACCTCATAGGTTCAATAAAGAAAAGAAAATGGCCGGCAAAGATTTTTATTATAGCTTCATAAAGAAATACCCAGATATTGCTCTCAGAAGTCCAGAGTCAACCAGCATTGCAAGAGCCGTTGGGTTTAATAAACCACAAGTCTATCGGTTTTATGATCAGCTCCACCAACTACAAGATAAATACAAATTCCCTGCCTCCAGAATATACAATGCTGATGAAACGGGGGTCTCCACTGTACACAAGAATGAGAAAGTTATTTCTACTAAGGGAAAAAAGCAAGTTGGCAAGTTGACTTCTGGTGAAAGAGGACGAAACATTACATTGATGTTTGCTATGAGCGTGTGCGGCCATTTTATACCTCCACTTTTTATTTTCCCGAGGAAAAGGATGGATAAAAATGGTCGTTTGATGATTGGAGCTCCACCAGATAGCATTGCTATTCCACACGAAAGTGGTTGGATGAATGGTGAGATATTTTTAATGTGGCTCCAGCATTTCAAACAGCACGTACAGCCTTCGAAGGAGAACCCTGTCCTTCTGATTCTCGATGGACATGGAAGCCATAAAGAGTTGGCAGTGATAGAATTTGCTCGAGCTAATCACATCCATATGATTAGCACTCCACCACACACAACACACAAGGTGCAACCTCTGGACAGGGTATTTTTCAAGCCGTTTAAGTCTGCATTTGGTTCAGCAAGCGCAATGTGGATGAGACAAAATCCAGGGGCTAGGATCACTGATTATGACATCGCTGCTTTAGTCAATTCAGCTTTCGTTAAGGCAGCGAGACTAGAAATAGCACAGAATGGGTTCAAATGCACAGGGATTTATCCATTCAATAGGGAAATTTTCAGTGATTTGGATTTTTTGCCATCATTGATGACCAATATTGAACAGGAACCAGCTTTTTCTGAAGAGACAGTCGTGGGATCACAGTTATCAACTAGTTGCAATCAGCAGAAATCCAGATGCTGCAATCAACAGTCATCCTCTAGTGGTACCCAGCAGCCATCCACAAGCTGCACCCAGCAGCCATCCACTAGTTGCACCCAGCAGCCATCCACTAGTTGCACCCAGCAGCCATCCACTAGTAGTAACCAGCAACCATCTACCAGTCTTATATCACACCCATCAGCCAGTGGCAATACGCAGCCATCATTTATGCCCGCATCAACGTCAGAAATTACAGAATCAACTGCACCTGCTACTGTAAATGAATTGCTTAAGCAGTTGTCCCCTCTTCCCGATGCATCCAAGAGGCGTCTTGCAGCGCGTTCACGAAAAACACAAAAAAGTGAGATTCTGACATCTTCGCCCTTCAAAAATGCGTTGGTAGAGAAAAAGGCTGCGACCAACACAACCAAGGCTGCAACCAATAAAACTACAACGAATAAAAGAAAGGCGGTGTTCAGGGAGAATAAGAGCGGAATGTTGTTGTAAAATACAAGTTTAGCCCGACAATTTATTGTGCGAATATATGCGTGTGCGGTTGCCACTATGCTGTGTATGTCTGCCGTCCGCGAGCCGCGAGTCCGCTCGCCGCTGCTCCGCGTCCCGCGCCCCGCCGCCTCCTCCGCAGACCATTACATGGCTTGACCATATACTCCCCGCGTTGAAGTGTCAAGTTCAAAACTCTTCACTGGCAAGGGGCATATGGTGTTGTATGCTCGCCGAATGACACCCTTCTTGGTCTGAATGTCGGCAACCCTTGCGATGCCATCCCTTCCAGGTATTATGCGGATAACGCGGCCCATGAGCCACATTAATGGAGGTGACGTCTTCTCCTTGATGACGACGAGGGTGCCCTCCTTAAGCTCGCCATAAGACCGATGCCATTTGGTTTTCTGTTGGAGCCATACAACGTATTCGTTAGAAAATCGATTCCAAAAATGTTGCTTGAGCAGCTCGATGCGTTGAAATCGCTGAAGAGAGCTGAAGCGGCGGTCGACAATTTCTGGATGTGGCAAAAAGATAATAGACCGTCCAATAAGGAAGTGGGCAGGAGTAAGAGGATAAATATCAGAAGGATTGTCGGAAATAGGTGTGATAGGACGAGAATTTAAGATGGCTTCAATTTGAATAAGAAGAGTAGCCATTTCTTCATAGTTTAAATGAGTCTTATCTAAAATACGCCTAAGAAGATGCTTCGTTGATCGAACAAGCGATTCCCATAGGCCTCCAAAGTGAGGAGTATAGGCAGGAATAAATGAAAAGTTTATACCTTGTTCGGCCAAATCCGTAGACAACTCAGATTGTTTGAGGAGCTTGGAGAGCTCATGAAAAGTCCCAACAAAGGTAGTGCCGTTATCCGAAAATATCGTTTGCGGCTTGCCTCGTCGTGCTATGAATCTGTTTAGTGCTGCAATGAAAGCTTCTTTAGTCAAATCCGAGACAAGCTCTAGATGCGCCGCCTTTGTGGCAAAACACACAAACACACAAATGTAAGATTTTATAATTTTGCAGCCCCTACCCTTGCGATCAGCTATCAGCACTGGACCGGCATAATCGACGCCTGTTTCTAGGAAAGGAAATTCTAGATGGACCCGTTTCTCTGGTAGGTTACCCATCATGGGCTGAATGGTTTTTCCCTTGAACCTAGTGCACCTAACACAAGAGCGAACTATACGTTTTGCTAAGTTGAGTCCTCCTATAGGCCAATAATTATGTCTAGCAGTGGCTAGTAATAACTGAGGCCCTGAGTGCATGAATTTTTTATGAAGCATATTGAATATTAATTCACATAAGCGATGTTTGCCTGACAAAAGAATGGGATGTTTGACATTGTAGTCATAATGAGAATCATTAAGCCTGCCACCCACGCGGATGAGGTTATCAAAATCTATAAACGGTGATAATGACACTAACCTATTCTTGAAAGGTAATTGCTTGTTTGACAAGAGTAACTCACGTTCCTCAGGGAATGAATCTTGCTGAGCTGTACGTAAAAGAAGTTTGGCAGCATTATTTAATTCTAATAATGATATTTGATCACTTAGTTTATTTGTATTCTTTTGGCAGTTATTGACGAATCTTAAGACAAATGCAACTACACGTTGCAGTCGTGTGAAATTTGAAAACTTGTCAATTAAAGATGAAATTAAATTACCTTTATGATTAATTAAATTACTGTCATCTGTGTGAAATGATTGTATCGTTTCAGGTAAATTGGAATTATGTTTATTTGGATTAAGTGGCCATTGAGATGAATCTAGTTTTAAAAATGAAGGCCCTGACCACCACAAGGAAGAATTGTTTAATAAATCTGCTCTTAGACCTCGGGATACTAAGTCAGCTGGATTTGATTTTGAGGGTACATAACGCCATTCGTGAGAACCTTCCTGTATCTCCACAACTCGGTGCCGAACAAATGGTTTAAGCTGACTTGGTGAAGAAGCAATCCAGCCTAAGACGATGGTGGAATCTGTCCAAAATACACAACGACTGAATTCAAGAGTAACCGATGTAATCACCTTCTTGTACAGTCGTGCTCCTAAAAGCGCGCCACAAAGTTCAAGTCGTGGGATTGTAGTAATTTTAATAGGAGCTACCTTATTTTTGGAAACCAAAAGACGGACATCAATTGAACCTTCGCTAGATATACTTCTTATATATACACATGTACCATATACTTTCTCCGATGCGTCTGTAAATATATGTATTTCTGTGTTGACTGTACTGTTATTTTTAATACACCTAGGAATCTTAAGATTATTCAGTAATGGTAAGAATTGTACAAATTCTGACCATATTTTTTCTATGAGAGGGGGAACCTTGTCATCCCAAGAGCATTTATTTATCCACAATTGTTGCATTAATATTTTTGCTTCCACTATACATGGCGATACAAGGCCTAATGGATCAAATACTTGTGAAATTGTGGACAAAATAAATCTCTTGGTTAATTTATCTTGAGATGAAATATTAATAGAAAATGATAAGTGGTCTGTTAGACATTTCCAATGAATACCTAATGTTTTTGCACACTCTTTTGCACTAAGATCTACACTACCAGATGTCTTATTGTTCTGACATATACTATTTAATATGGTACTATTATTTGAATGCCATTTTCTCAAATTAAATTTGGCTGACTGAAGGGTGTTGATTACACCTTGACACAATGAAATTGTGTCTTCAATAGTCTCATGTCCACTTAAAAAATCGTCTACGTAGAAGTCATGACATATAGCGCGTTTTACTTCAGAATTGTTAGAGTCATGACCTAACTGTGTAAGACATCTGGTGGCTAGAAATGGCGCTGATGCCGTGCCGTATGTGAGAGTGTTTAGGGTATATGACTTAAGAGGGTGGGAGGGATCAAACCTCCATAATATTTTTTGTAAAGGACGTTGTGCGTCGTCTAAAAGTATCTGCCGATACATCTTTTCTATATCTGCTGATACCACGAACTTGTGCTGTCGAAAACGTAATAAAATAGATAATAAGTCGTCCTGCATAGTAGGACCTACGCGTTGTATGTCGTTAAGCGACTTACCTGAAGACGTAGAGGCAGAACCATCGAACACAACACGTAGTTGTGTGGTTATGTTAGATGTTTTAAGAATGCCGTGATGTGGCAAATAACATTGAATTGTTTGATTATGATTTTTAAATGTGTTTTCACTCATATGACCCAGATCAATATATTCTTTTATGAATTCTACATAAAGACGCTTCAAATGTGACTCTCGTTGCAAACGACGCTCAAGAGAAAGAAATCTGTTTTTAGCAAGTGAATAAGAATTGCCTAAAACCTCAGGAGGTTCTCTGAGTGGCATAGAAACTACAAAACGTCCTTCTTTGTTGCGCTGTGTAGAATTCATAAAATCTTGTTCGCATGCATGTTCATCCGGAGTGAGCTCATATTTAGATGAAATTGTATCTAGTTCCCAAAAACGATTTAAGTCTGTAGAATTATTCTGTAAATTATTAGAAAACATACATACATACTGTTTAGGATCTGATTGACTGATAGTGCCAGAAACCAACCAACCAAATTTGGTTTCAAAAAGAGTAGGTTTATGTGTACCTAACTGGATGCGATTTGTACCGATCACACTCCAAAAGACGTCCGCACCTACTAGAATGTCAATGGTTGACGGAACGTTGAAATTTGGATCGGCTAAGCAAACCCCAGGCGGTATTTTTAAATTATGTATATCTATATATGTGTTTGGAAGCAAAGTTGTAATAGTGGGTAAAACAAAGCAATTGATGTCTGTCCTGTAGCCACCAACATAAGACTCCAATGTAAGAGAGCAAGACAATGAACTAGTGGATACTTGATGATTAATACCTGTTACCCTTGAATTCGTAGCATGTGTACGAAGATTGAGCTTGCCACAAAAGTCCTTTGTGACAAAGTTTCCGGTACTTCCATTGTCTAACAAGACTCTAGCTGCATGTGGTTTCCCGTGGACGTCAAGCACCTTGACCAAGGCTGTGGATAATAAAATATAACCCGTATTAGTTGAGGACTGAGATGGCTCAGCAGATAGGACAACACTATCATGCGTGACAGGTTCGTGATGAATATCAAGATGAAGAAGAGTATTGTGCTTGGATTTGCAATATTTGCAATGTGACAATTTACACCGTGTCTCATGATGACCAGGTCGAAGGCAGTTTAAGCATATTTTAAAACTTTTAGCTTTTTCAATGCGTGCATCTACTGACAGTTTCCTAAATGTATCACAGTTAAATAAATGATGATCATGTTGACATAATGGACAGGAAAGCGTTTTATTTTTACTTGAAGAAACTATAAAGCTGTTGGATTTTTGAACGTGAGTAGATTCAGAATTACCTTTATTGTTTTTTGCCTCCTCTAAAGTCTCTAGAAGATCAGCCCTGTTAGACAAGAAGGTTATAAAAATATCTAGAGTAGGTGGATCACTGCAATTGTTTCTATACTCCTCCCACTCTCGGTTTGTAACACTGTCTAATTTAGTTGACATCATATAAATTATTAATGTATCCCAGCTGTCTGTTGGCTGGTCAAGAGTAGCCAAAGCTTTAAGATTTTTGTTTGTGACATCGACTATATAACGCAAAGCTTTACTAGATTCTTTTTTGATAGAATTAACATTAAAAAGAGCTTGTACATGGTTATTTACAAGTAAGCGTTTATTGTCGTATCGCTTGCATAGCAATTCCCATGCAGAAGCATAATTTTCTGCCTTGAAGTCTAAGCTTTTAATAACTAAAGCTGCACTACCTTGTAAGCAAGCGCGAAGATAATGAAATTTGTTTATGTCATCAATAACAGTACTAGAATGGACTATAGAAACGTACGTGTCCCTGAATTCGAGCCAATGCTGATAGCTGCCATTGTACACGGGAAGCTGGATCCTGGGAAGCCTTACAAAATTGCTTTGTTTGTGCGCACAAGCATCATGAGAGCTTACCTCGTGATTTGTCGATGTAAATGACGGTATACACAGACTCCTAGCCGTCGCGACAGCCGCATAATACTGGTTCTCGAAAGCGTCCCTTTCCTGATACCTCTGGTCAGGATCGTCAGCAATTTCTTCGATCTCACCCTGAAGAGTATCAAAGTCCGAATATAAGGATTCCATTTTATCAATGCGTGATTGAAGCTCGAACTGAATGACAGCATTACTAACAGCTGAGCTATTTTTTAATATATTAATGTAATTGCAAAAATTTGTAAGTTTGCTTTTAAAAGTACCACGCTTTTTAATTAATTGATTTAATTGTGTTGCTTTATTTTCTGTCATTGCAAAAGTTAATCAAGATATAGTTATTAAATAAAATTAAAAATTGTAAATAAAGTAATAAAAATAAATATATTTTAATTATCTACAATAAAAAAAAATACTTAATTAAAAGATAGCAAATTAAAAATATACTAATCTGTGATAATGTGTCTGACACTGCACAGATGCTACAGTACAAAGTCCGTTGATCGGTTGGTAGTAATTTAGCAGACTACTGGCTAACCTAAGAAAAAAAAACAAAAAAAAAAAAAAAAATTATTGTACGGTATTAAAATATTACACTGTTAATTAGGTACGTGAGATATGATTAAAGCAACTAAAAGCAGATTGATGTAATTAATCGCATTTACTTAATAAAATAAAGAATTAACTAAGTATATAATACAATAGCGTTGAAAACTACGTGATAATTATGATTGTATGATTCGTGATTCGATTATGATATTTACTGCCTATGGTAGGTAGCGTAAAAAAAATGTTACTTAAAAAAAGCGTCTACGATTTACTTATTACGGAGATATTAATAATCAATGTATAAATAGATATTACGATTTTAGCTTTTTAATCTACAAGACTACAAAAAAACTAATGAAGTAAATGGCAATAACCGTTTATGGTTTGAAATGAAAGTAATAACTACTTAGATTAAAAATAAGTGATTAAGTATTATGGAATTATGGAATGAATTCACTAATGGAAAGGTTAAATGATGATAATATGATGATGGAAAGCAAAAAGATAGATAATGGAGCGATCTCACGGTCTTTATGCACTATCCATATAATCCTTTTTGTTTTCTTGTCTTGAAAAGCGTTGTAGGGCCCGTAGAATTCTGGTCGGAAGACTAAACAGCAACAAATTCCCAGCTCCAAAACGTTGAAGAGCGGCGTTGAAAGAAGCCCGTCAAACCGTTGAAAGAGGCCTGTCGCACCGTTGATCGAAGACGACCGCGTCGTTGTTGGAAGCCGGTGGAATTTATCACGATGTAATTTAAACAGTCCAGTAATTGAATAGAGCTCGAAGGACCATATGTTCAGGGAGAATAAGAGCGGAATGTTGTTGTAAAATACAAGTTTAGCCCGACAATTTATTGTGCGAATATACGAGGTCTGTCCGGAAAGTTCGTATAAAAGTGTTCTGGAATGCGAGAAAGAGGAGTGGGGAGGCCAGGTAAGCGCAGGACCCCTTCCTTATGTCCCTAACAATGCTTCAGTTCTGGTCTGACCGCCGTGCGGTGCGAACTGGCTTGTCACGCCATCTGTGAAGTTACCTCTTAACGAAACCCCGTCGGCATGGAGCCCGCTTCCGTTGAAGAGCAGCGCGTCGTAATCAAGTTTCTCTCGAAACTCGGCAAGAATGGCCGTGAAATTTTTGCCGATCTCAGAACAGTTTATGGGGATGATGCTGTGAAGGAACCAACCGTCCACAAGTGGCTAAAAAGATTCAGAGAGGGCCGAGAAAGAGTTCGATGTTCGGGGGATTGTCCATCAAGAATTCGTTCCTCCAGGCCAGACAGTTGATGGAAAATTCTACGTCGATGTGCTCAGACGCCTCAAAGCTCGTGTGGCACGAGTTCGTCCAGAATTGGCGCGAGAGGGGCGTTGGATTCTTCACCACGACAATGCCCCTGCCCACACCTCTCTTGTTGTCCGTGAGTTTTTGAGTAAAAATTCCATTACGGTGACCGAACACCCCCCCTATTCGCCGGATTTGGCCCCGTGTGACTTCTTCTTGTTCCCAAAAACCAAATTGGTACTTCGGGGGCGGCATTTGGGGGACATAAATGAGATAAAAAAAGCTACGACGGGGCAGCTGAGAAACCTACAACCAGAGGACTTTCAAGGAGCCTTCTCACAGTGGAAACGGCGTTAGCACAAGTGCATTATGTCACAGGGGGAGTACTTTGAAGGGGATAAAATTGATTTACCTGAATAATTGTAAAATAAAATTTTTAAAAAACTTTTATACGTACTTTCCGGACAAACCTCGTATGCGTGTGCGGTTGCCACTATGCTGTGTATGTCTGCCGTCCGCGAGCCGCGAGTCCGCTCGCCGCTGCTCCGCGTCCCGCGCCCCGCCGCCTCCTCCGCAGACCATTACATGGCTTGACCAGGCGGCAACTAATAAAATGAAAACAAAGAAGAATATTCAAAGTTTGACTCAGCTAGAAAGAGACCACGATACAGAATGCATCATTTGTGGAGAAACGTTCGAGGAAGATTGGATCCAGTGTCATAGATGCAAAGACTGGGCGCACGAAGCGTGTGTGGATATTGATCCATCGCTGGCTTACTACTATTGTGACGTATGCAAGGCTAAAGAACGATTTGGTCATCAGTAATTCTATGTCCGGGGCTACCCTCCAAAAATTATTTTAACAAATATTGAAGACTGCTTTTGAGACTTGATTTAAGCTAATATAATAAAACTATCAGTTTCTAACTTAATTAATATTATAAGATATATGTTTAGTTTAAGTTTAAAAATAAATGTTTATTTCGGTTGATTTTCAAGATATCATGAGTTTTATTTATGTGGCCGAGGCTACCCGACTCTCCCCTATCGGCCAGAAAAGAAAAAAGGGGCGCCCTTCAAAATCCAAACCAGCGCTGATTATTCAGTAATTATTATTTTTAACAATAAAGGTTAATTATTTACTTTGTTTTATTTACTATTCTGCTAGAAATTTTATTCAAATATATTTATACTACCTGTAGAAATTAAGATCCTTGGGAGGCATATCTTTAGTAAGTTGTAGGAACTATGAAATTTTCTAGTAACATCATATGATTTATTGCTGATCTCTTTAAATTAGTTTGCTTAAATACTTATTAGGGCAAACCTATTATAATACATACAAAAACATTTATTTGCTACTAGACCCTATATCTCCATGATTTTAGATGATTTATTGTGGAATTGATTTTATATTGTTTGGTGATTACATTTTGGTGACAAATCTACTCTTTTTGCGGGCAAACGCTATTATTTAAAAAACATAAAACTAATTAAATTGGCGATAGCTTAAATAAAACCCAATACATTTTAATGTTGTGTATGGATGCTTTTCAGATATAGAAGATTATAAGCCTTTATACTTGATAGTAGGAAGTGGAGCGATATTCACTCAAGTACACTACGACAGTTTGGGAAGTGCGGAGACACACGCGTCACATTTTAATATTGGTTGGGTGCAAGCGATGGCATACGACAACTCAAGAGGTATAAATAATGTCTGCTAGACAACAATAATTGTAGGAACATAAAAATACAGGTTGGCCAAAACGGAAACAGCTGATATAAATGAATGGTCTAAATCAGGCGGCAAATTATTTCCCCACCGGAAATGCACTACAACCATATAATTAATGATTCTTAATTTTGACGTCACGCAATGTATTTGAAATGTTACAATCCACACGACGCGTGATAACTAAACCGTGCGGTTAATGGCGTTTCTTCGTAGGTAGTTTTCGTACGCTTGTGGCGTTGACTTTACACAGCTGAATCCGCGCATCGCGGTAGGATTTTAATACGTATATTACATTAGGTACTGTTTTTTGGTATTTCATAGTATTTCACTATAAAATAATATTATTTCTTTATATAAACCCAACCCTCTATTATTTTTAATACATATTTATGGGATGGCTGTAAAATTTCGAAACGAGCGGGGCTTGAAAACATATGTTCTACGATATTCCGTGGCCAGTGTTCAGTTGTAAACATATATTTCCGTTGTAATTTCGAACGATATTTGTTTGACTGATAATTTGTTGGAATAAGCTTAATTTGAACATATATTCTACGGAATAAAAACAAACTACAAAGAAATGGACAAACTACATTGATCGGACTTATCTCTTCGAGGGATTAATATTTCAATCAGTCAATATTCCAACTAAAAATAAGTATTTTTCTAATTTCTGACAGCTTGTCTCTTGTCAACATGCTCGTTTACACCTATATTTAAATTTATTTGAATTAGTCAACTATCTGTCTACTACTTGTATTTCTTTTACAGATGTCCTGTACGTATACGACGGCCAGCGTAAACTTTTAAGCTACATAAATATGAGCGACTTCTCTTTAGGATTAACACGACCTTTCTATTATAATGGCCTGATGAATATTATCGACATGGATTATGGTCAGTAATATTTTCATATATTTATTTAAAAAAATATTGTTTTTGACATGGTAATAGCTTTTTTTTATGGGTCTCTTTCAGTAGTCTGGAACAATCTAGGTTAGCTAGAATAACCGTACTCTCACGCATATGCCCAATTAAGAGGCTATGTGCGGAAAAGCTTGGACAAACTAAGTAGCTAAACTTCTTTCTCTATAACGTCTGATGGTAAGCGATCATTGCTAGCTATGCTATGGATGCTCGCAACATCAGAAGCATCATTCACGCGTTACCGACCCTCATGATATGAAGATTAGGCTACAGTATTGATTACAAACCGAAACACGGCTGTTTAGACTGTGTTTATCAAATGGGTTGCCCAAGACATGAAATACAAATGAAAACAAAAATAAAATGGAGTTCAATGTTCTCTAATAAACTTCCTATTTCAGATTATGTATCTGATTCTCTGTATATGCTGGATGCCGGAAGAAATATAATAGAAGTGATGTCACTGAAGAAGCAAGACCGAGTAATAATGTATATATTGCCCCAACAAGAGACCCCACTCAGCTTTTGTGTTATGCCTGATTATGGGTAGGTGTTTATTATTATATCTTATGATCACAAAATCTGTAGCTAACCCGCATGCCAAGCGTAGTCACTATTGGCAAAACATCCTTCATGGGGAAGGCCTATATATAGCAATGGGCAGCTAACGACTGATATGATTTATTTTTATTTTTTTTAGAAGGTATACTGGAGATGTAAATAAAGTTGATTAGGAAGGAAAAGCACATTACGCCAATTTAAAATGATTACAGAATTATAATTTCAGCCCTTAATTGTGCACTGTTGAACATAAGCCTTCCCCATAAGGGAGTTTTGCCAGTAGTTGCTACGTTTGGCAGGCGGTTTGGCAATCGCAGTTAGGCTTTTATGAATGTTTTAAGAGAGACGTTGCTGCCCATCCCTCCTCCTTAAGCTCATTACTGTCAAGCAGGAAAATCTAGAATCCTTGATATTCTACGAATATAAATGTTTTGAATCTAATGCATTATTTTAAGAATGGAATAGAAATAATCCTTATTTAAATAGACTTGCCTATAAAGCTCTTTTAAATCGTCACTAGTTTTTATGATTCTACCACTGGTTTCGTGATGCTGTTATCTTATTTTACTGAACTAGGTCTAGGTTATCTTGCGGAAGTCTATATCATCATTGGTTACTTGATTATAATTATTTTGTTTAATTCTAATATTTTTATTTTGTGTATGACTGCTAATATTTGAAGATTGACTAAAACTATTACTACCAGAGATTCCACAACGTTCCATATTAGCCATCAATTTCTGACTGCCATTTTTTTCGCGCACGTTTTGAGACACGTGTTTCACTAACTCGCTTGGAACGTGTATGCTCCGAGACAAAATGATTTTATTGTGTCAAGAACAACAAAAGTTTCTTTGATATAACTCTAACAGCATCTTGGATAAAACTTTGAAGTTACATCAAAGGTGATGTTAAAAGAAACTGTTACTGTTGCTGTTTTAGAAAACTCCTGTTAGCAGTACGTGACAATGGTGACAACGTAGTACATATCGACAGTATGGGATTGGACGGCAGTGGAAGGAAACGTGTCGTCACGACTGATCTTAGAGGTACAGTTGGAAAATTACATTCCGATGCAGATACATACTCGTATATTAAGCTGGATTTCCACTGTAGTATCAATCAGCAATGTGAAACTATTCGGTACAATAATTTGGCGTATTTTTTATCATTACCTACTTACAACAGTTTTAATCAACCATTTATTTTATTGCCACACTTACATATAGAAGAAGTATTACACTTCGTTAATTATTAAGTATTGTAATTCGTCTAAACGTCAATTAATAAGAAAATATTCACGAAGAGACTATACATAACTGAATGTCAAATATCTATTTTGTAAAGTAATTATGTCGGGTTTTTCTCAAGTTTTAAATTCTGAGATGTAATCCGACTAGTTTCGAATTCGATAGGAGCTCTTATTCATGAGCGCGGTCCACGGCTGTGTCGCGAGCAGTACTATCAAATAGCATGATGAATGCGTATATGTAGTTGTAATGCAGTATGACTCACAATAGTTATTATTCAACAATTTTTGTAATGTTCATCTTATAAAAGCTTTTATTTTAAATTAGATTATTGTTTTAGAAATTGCATGCCAAATTATAACCACTTTCTTAATATCGATTGAGTTGAAATTTTGTATAAAACTTTGATTCTGGTTACAATACAAAATGCAATACTCAACATAAGTATATAAACTATAACACTGTAGTAATTTCAATTGTAGGAGTAATAATGGCTGCCGTTACAAGATGGCGGATCTTGTCTTTTTTGATCGCCGCAATATGGGTATCAATTGAAAGGATTTGAAATGTATATAATAAAATCAATATTACTATACTAAATTCTACAAGATGTATTACATTAGTTTACTTTTAAGTACTTTAAAATAAGACTTGTTAATTATTACAGGTCCCCGAATAACATTACGTTACGCACATTATATGGACTTGGTGTATATTGCAGACGACGGCAACAGCGTCATTGATTTGATGCACCCTAAAGGTATTTTGTCTTTTGCATCCATGTAACTTGATGCAATTACAATAACAAAATTGTCGAAAGATCCCGGTATAGAATAGGCCACCCCATTCTTTCCCGTGGATGTCGTAAGAGAGACTACTTCGTAATTTTTCCATAGTTATTTACATATATAGTGAATTATCGAAAACATAACAACATTTATTATATCAATTTAAATTTTTAATTATGTATGAAGGGTAACAGGGACATTACAGTGTACTGTGATAACCTTGGTGCTCTTCAAGACTATAGCAAAAAAGCAGTTAATTGCGCAAAAAAGATATCGAATATCCTCATTTTAAGAAAATCTTGACAAACCTAAAACCTTGTTCTTGCTTCAGGAATAGGTAGAGAGAGATTTCGCGAACTATCAACCTCCATATCATCCTTAGCACTGACGGATGGGTACGTATTCTGGGCCGATCGTCGCACACCGCGTCTGTTCTGGGCCCCAATACACGACGTCACAACTAGAACCCGCAGGATTCAGCTCTGTTAGTATATCTTTTGGTATATTTGGTAGTGTGTTGCAATGAAAGTCAATCACAAATTTAAATGTATCATCTTGCTTTGCTCAACACCTGGAGGAAGTGTTAGTACTTAGTGCAATCTGGAACTAACACGTAAACGAAGCGTGTTCCCCTAAAAGAGATAAATAGCAAAACAATGTAATTGGTCACAGTCTTAGTATTACTTTATATAAATTTAAGTGTGAATAAAATTTCTTATAATCTAGATTATAATAGGAAAATGGAAAATTATCCTCAACATTATCAGGCTAATACACACTTACTACTAAATTCCTGAAATAATATGTTTGATAGTGTGTAGGTATCTGTAACAGGTCTATAATGAATAAAAATATATAGTATTATTTTTATAACAACAACGCTTGTTAATACAAATTGTAGGTGTACTACATTAAATAAAAACAAGTTCTATAATTTTAATTGCAGCAATATTCCCAAACAACACTAAACTTCACATCCTGGCAACTACACCACCACTAAGAAACGACAGCCTTCTCAGTAATCATCCTTGTATCGTCCAGAAACCTTGTTCGAATGTATGTGTTCAAATACCCCACCCACACCCGCACACAGCGCCTAACGACTTTCACATGGGGTACAAATGCCTGTGCCCACTCTCGCTCTTTAACAGGAATGGAACATGCATCAAGCAGGCCACTTGCAAAGCATATGAGATCTATTGTCATAAGAGTAACGTATGTGTTTCTGATGCAAAATATTGTGATGGAGAAAAGGATTGCGCAGAAGGCGAGGACGAAGAAGGCTGCAATGGTGAGTTGGTATAATATTTTATTAGTATTGTGACGAATCACTAATTGCGTAATAGAATCCTAAACGAGGATATCTACAAAAGAACCAAAATAACCGACATAGCCCGAAGGATAAGCAAGCTGAAGTGGCAATGGGCTGGTCACATAGCTTGAAGAACCGACAACCGATGGAGAAGAAAGGTTCTTGAGTGGCGACCACGTACGGGTAAACGCAGTTTAGGACTATTCCCCACTAGATGGAGTGACGACCTGAAATGCATTGCAAGAAGTCAGTGGACGCAGGTGGCTCAGGACTGTTCTTTATGGCAGTCTATAGGGGAAGCTTATGTACAGCAGTGGACGGATAATGGCTGAAATGATAATTGTGACGATAATAAAGATGAGGTATCTTCACCAGTGAACCAAAGACGGATTGTATGATATAAAGGACGATAAAAACTTTCAAGTCGATAGATATTTTTAAGCTACTGTCAAAACAAGGATGTTTTCACTTTAAGCGATTACGTCACCAATTCTATCTCAATTTTGTTAATCGATACAATTTACTCCTGTAGAGTCCTGTGTTAATTCTCTAACGATTAAAGCCTTTTTATTTAGCCAAGCAAAAGCTTGGTTAAATAAAAAGGTTCGTTGTGAAACAAAATCTATGTATATGGTATATAATATATATGGTAGACTGGGTACGTTTGAAAGAAAGGACAGTGGAAACAAAGTACGTTTGAACGTTCGTTTTGTTGAAGAAAAATGCTGTTGTTTTATTTTGTTTTTAAAAATACCTAAATTTTATATAATTGTTAAATAGTCTTATCGTCAAGGACGACTGATTTTATATACTTTAAGATTTGCACTACGTTTGTATTTATTTGTACCTTACTCTTTGGTTTGCACCCTAAAAACAATGTGCCATAATTACTCTTAAAATTAAAATAAATAATAAATAATGCAAGTTGTAACATTATGTTTTGTATTATTAACATTACACCAGTCACTGTTTCAACCGCCCCTGGCATGAGGACGGATGAAACGAATCAGATTTGTTTCTTAATTTTATACAAAAATTAAAATACCTGGAACGCAAATAGTAGATAGATACTCATTCTTATATTTAACACATCTCCATAATCGTATCGCTCGTTTTATTAATGGCCTTGCTATGGATGGTATAAGCAAAACTGTTTCAACCGTACCCACTCTACTCTAAACTGCGCAATATTTACAATGTAGGGTAACTAAACATATTTTATCGGGAAGTTGTATTAACGTATTCTGATCACGTTTAACAAGTAGAATTAATATAGTCAACCTTTTACCCACTTTATTCATATAATACAGATAATTCTTTTTTTTAGAAATACCATTTCAAAATCCAGAAATTTCGTGTCCGCTTGGTCAAATAATGTGTGACAGAAAATGCATAAATCAAGATCAAAAATGTCCATCCGCAGTGGCAAACACAACTTCGGAACGTTAGTATACGATTGATATCTTATAATAACAAACAAATATAATAAAATATTAAAAGGCTATTTAAGGTAAGATAGGATTATAATAAGATAATACAGGATGGGGAGACAGCTAGTAATAGTAATGGAATTCAGCGACACCAGTGTCTTTCTCACGATCATTACTGGAAACCATGATGGTTAAACAAGCAACGAAAATTGACATTCTGCCATTTTATCAGTCTAGACAAATACAGCTAAATGTAAATCACTTATTAAAATTTTAAATCGTTACTAATATTATAAATTGGAAATGTATGTTTGTGGTAACAAACCACTTCTTATCGCTTTAACGGTTTAATCAATAATCAAGAAATTTTATATATGCATAATATTTGGGATAGAGAAGGACACATAATTACACCACATCAATCGTTTGCTCCTAAAGTTAAGATACCCTGTGTTATAAGGAAGCAGACAACGAACACCTACGGGGGATAATCCAGAACACTCTGGCTTGGGCAAATTCAGAATTTGTTTTCCAAAATTAGTCCGACTAACAAACGAACGAACCCGGGACCTCATTTACACGAAGAATTATGCCCAAGTCACAGAAGTCATTAATAGAAATTGGTATTTTCTAGCGTCTGTTTGTGGCCCGACTCGGTTCCAATGTTTCTACACTACTACTACTACAATTTACAATACAATTTGCGTGGAGAGGTCCCAACTATGCGATGGCAAAGTGGACTGCCCGAACGGCAGTGATGAAGAAACTAGCATCTGTGATACACTTACTTGCAGGGAAAATGAGTTCATGTGAGTAATGATTCTCATTTATTATTGGAGTGTACTTTTGAAATCACTTCTTTAAAGGTAATTGTTTTTAGTTTCATTTTTTGTCTTTATGTTGTTATAATTTTGCTTTCACTGTTTTTAAGGACTTTCTGTAGTTTTCCTCTTGTAAATTTGATGTACCCTCTGTACTCGTCCCTGCACGTATTTGACAAAGTAGTTCGAAAAAAGCGTATACAAAAAAAATACTTATTACCATTTTACATTCGTACATATACCACAAGTGTACAAATCTCACTCACATCACTTCATTCATAAAACAACGCTTTCAACGCACCCCTAAAATATTAACGTGCATAGAAAGTAATGGCTGATATGATGATGAGGAGACCGAATCCGAAATATAATCCGATATATATCTATGAATAAACTGTAATTGAAAAATATCTACTTGAATTCATATATTCGCTTAATTAGCTGAAAACTGACCATCCTACAAAGACCCGATGGATTAATATTAAATATGATAAAATTCTTGCATCTTTACCACGCATTTTATAGCAGAATGTCGATCGAGAGCAACTGGTATGTTGTTATTGATTTTTTGTGGTTTATTTATTTTATAATTGTTTAAATTCTTATAAGTACTTTTTATTTTATTTTACTCATAAACGATCCACTTCTCTTTCAATTTTAATCAATCAAATTTAACAATACTACAAATTTATCTATATGTGTTTCAAGAAGTACCAACATGCCCCAGTGCCCCTCCAAAATACAAAGAATTAAAAATGTATAAGTAAAAGTATTCACAAGGTTTATAAGCAAGGAATATAAATTACTCCTCTGGCTGGACCAATACTGAAGATGTTTCTTCACAAACACAAATAGAATACTAGACTACATCTGAATATAGTCATATACTGAAGCAAAAATTTGGAGGGGCATGCCATAGTAACGTGGACAAATTATATTCTAGACTTCTCTTTTTAAATTAGAAGTAATTTTAAGAATTCATTATTGTTATAATAGGTGCACTTCGGGTTCGTGTATTTTGAGCTCTTTCAAGTGTGATGGCGAACAAGACTGCGCAGATGGCTCCGATGAAGCTGATTGTAGTAAGTATTTATAAAAAAAAAAAAAAAAAAAAGTATTAAAATTTACAGTAACATCATCCTAAAGTGAGCTAGAGACCAGACAACACAATCAAACAGTTTTCAAATCCGCATCTCTGAGTATTACTGAGCAAATTTCTTTAAAATTTAAGAAGCAATAACTTATAATATCATGCTATTTGGATTAAATTGAATAAATAAATAAATTCTATAATACATAAATCTTATAAGAGTGTATTTATTCCGTAGTATGTGTCTACTTCAAATGTATATTTTTCAAAAGTAGTTTTGTACTTCCACTACTTATACTATAATACTTTTATACTACTTTATAATACTTCCACTGTTCTTTAGTGAACAACAAAAATATTTTCATTATTTTTATTAAAGGTTTTATTTCGATTTGACTATAGATAAGACCTGCGCTTTCGGATATTACCAATGCCGTAACAAAAACTGCATCGAGATGCGGAAGAGGTGTGACGGTCAGAACGACTGTAGCGATCACTCTGACGAGGAACTGTGCGAAGAACCAGTCACGATGTTTGGTGAGGTCAGTAATAACATATTCTTTTCGACATTTATACTCAGAATGAAATTTGAAAATTTCTGTCAAATTTGTCTATTTTACACCCAATGTATTTAAAGAGACAATTTATTACGAAATGTACTTATTTATAAAAAAAAAAAAAAAACTAACACTCCGGCATTTCAACAAAGATAATATGTATAAAAGATCGAAATAGAAAAAGCATAACAATTATCACCTTATCTTGAAATTTCAATAGATAAGTAATTGATAATATTTCATATTTATGAATTAAAAATATAAAAATAATTATTAGTCTATAAAAATGTTTCTTTCTTGTAAAAGAACGTCAAGAAACTAATAAAACCTAGAAAATAATAAGCAACACAATGCAGGCCTGTGATATCCAATCGTGCTATTCAGATCTGTAGGCCATAGTTACACTTTCCAACATTTATTCATCACTTTGAAACCATGTTAATGCTTTATAATTACGCTAGTCATAATATTATACAGATCATATGTGATACTACTGTTTTTTTGAGCAGAAAAGATGCTCTTTCTATATTTTAATGTATCACTAAAATATTTATATGTCACATATATTCTGCAGACGTTGGTGCCTCGTTGTGAAGAGAGGGAGTACTCTTGTGAGCTAAACAGAAGCATTTGTTTACCATTCACGGCACGGTTAGAAATAATTGGAAATACCGAGTCTTGATTCCATGTTTGTGCCGTCAAATGTCTATTCGATTGGGTCTAAATGGTCGACCAATAAGGTTTTGGGATTTGTGGTGCATGTGTTGCTAAAATGCAGCGATATTAATTCTAATTCTGTAATTTATGAGTAGTTTTAAAGAAAGTTTCTAGTGCTGTTTTTTTTTGTATCTATTTCAATTCATCATAAAATCACTTAATACCGTTTCTTACATAATTATACACTCCTCGCAAAAATTAAGGGAACATAAAAATTTTTGAAATTTTTGGGTGATTTTCAACAGGCTGTATTTCAGTGAAAAATAATCGTACAGGAAATTTAAAAAAAGGGTTTTGAAGCTTGAAAACTCTAGTTTTCAGATTTTTTGGTGAAAAATTTTTTTGAGCTCCGGTTTCCATGCAATTCTTAAACAAAGCTGAAAATAATTTTTTTCTAAATTTTCTAGGTTTCGTTTTTCACTCTATGGGCATGGAAAAATTTTTTCGAGCTACTCCATTGTATAGGTTTCTTAGCGTGTTTATTCAGCTTCAAAAATCGCTTTGGATGGCTCAATTACGACCATTTGTCTCCGAGATATCGAACTTTGAATGCAAAAGCATCCTTTTCCATTCAACTGCTAATATCTCTGGAACTACTGGTCGCACAGCAAGCGGGCGCCGAGTTTCTTTATCTGCATAAAATTTCCAATTAAGCACAGTCAAGAGTTAGTGAAGAAAAAATTTTTTTCTACCTCTAACATTGAATTGAAAAAAGTGGAAAAAAGTTACTTTTTCTCCTTTTTTGGTTACTTGGCTGTATCTTCGCTAATATGGGCGGGAAAGCTAAGGTTTGAGGAAAATTTTACAGTCTATTGTTCCTTAAAGAACCCCCTAAATCCCTGGAGCGATAGGTTCACCGTTTTTTCCCGGACCAATTGATTGCAATTTTGGAAAAAATAAGGGAACAAGGTTTTTGTCCCTTAAACTCACCCTAATCCATTCAAAAATCAATAATTTCATTTGTTTTTCAATTTTTACTCAATTTTTTGTTTTTTAAAAATTCATTATCAAAAAAAAAATCAAGAAAAAAAATTTTTTTTTCATTGTAATAAAATTTATAATCAGTTACTTACTTATTTCCGAAGCCATAGACACTTTAAAACCTTAATTTCCCTTTAAAAACATTACGACAGCTGCTTACGGTGGAGGATCGGTGATGGTTTGGGCTACAGTTTCGAGAAATTCTCGAACTCCTTTAGTGATTGTTCGGAACACTCTCAATGCTAGACGTTATATTGACCGAATCTTGCGACCTCAGGTGTTGCCTTTAGCAGCAAACAGGAGAGGATTTATTTTTATGCAGGATAATGCTACGGCATATACGGCATAATCATACGGCAAATATCACCCGTCGATTTTTTCAGAGAAACAACATTAGATTGTTGAGGCATCCTGCAATGAGTCCTGATCTGAATCCAATAGAACACGTTTGGGACATATTGGGCCGTCGATTGCGTCAAAATTATCCCAATTTGAATAATTTTGCAGCATTAGAAAATGCTTTGATAAGAGTTTGGCGTCAGATCCCTCAACGGATGATCCGAAATTGCATTTCGAATATGCGACAAAGATTGCAAGCTGTCATCAGGAGTAGAGGCGGGAACACTCGATACTAAACACGATACACACACACACACACTTTAGAAAATGAGTTTGGAGTCATTAAATACTGCGGAGCTGACGAACCATGGGGTCTCATTTCTTCTAAAAATTACTTACACAACACTAACACACACACTCTTCAGAAAATGAGTTTGGAGTCACGAAATACTGCGGAGCTGACGAACCACAGGGTCTCATTTTTTCTGAAGAATCCCATATCATAAACACGTGCGTAAGCACAAAAGAAGCGTAAATCCGACCGTGCAACCTCCACGTGGTATGCTTTGGGTAACGCTAATGCCGGCGGTAAATCGATCATCAATCAAAGTTTTTGTCAAAAACTTTGATTTCCTTAAAAACGAAAAAAAAAATTTTTGTAAACTTTTTTCGACTTTTCAAAAAAAAAATTTTCTTAAAAATTTTCTTGATTTTTTTCGATTTTTTTAATAATGAATTTTTAAAAAACAAAAAAATTGAGTAAAAAGTGAAAAACAAATTAAATTATTGATTTTTGAATGGATTAGGGTGAGTTTAAGGGACAAAAACCTTGTTCCCTTATTTTTTCCAAAATTTCAATCAATTGGTCCGGGAAAAACCGTTGAACCGATCGCTCCAGGGATTTAGGGGGTTCTTTAAGGAACAATAGACTGTAAAATTTTCCTCAAACCTTAGCTTTCCCGCCCATATTAGCGAAGATACAGCCAACCAAAAAAGGAGAAAAAGTCACTTTTTTCCACTTTTTTCAATTCAATGTTAGAGGTGGAAAAACATTTTTTCTTCACTAACTCTTGACTGTGCTTAATTGGAAATTTTATGCAGATGAAGAAACTCGGCGCCCGCTTGCTGTGCGACCAGTAGTTCCAGAGATATTAGCAGTTGAATGGAAAAGGATGCTTTTGCATTCAAAGTTCGATATCTCGGAGACAAATGGTCGTAATTGAGCCATCCAAAGCGATTTTTGAAGCTGAATAAACACGCTAAGAGACCTATACAATGGAGTAGCTCGAAAAAATTTTTCCATGCCCATAGAGTGAAAAACGAAACCTAGAAAATTTAGAAAAAATTTATTTTCAGCTTTGTTTAAGAATTGCATGGAAACCGGAGCTCAAAAAAATTTTTCACAAAAAAATCTGAAAACTAGAGTTTTCAAGCTTCAAAACCCTTTTTTTTAATTTCCTGTACGATTATTTTTCACTGAAATACAGCCTGTTGAAAATCACCCAAAAATTTCAAAAATTTTTATGTTCCCTTAATTTTTACGAGGAGTGTAATACCACTAAAGTTCCAAGATTTTCCCTACATACTTGGTTTTTACTGTCAATTGTGATATTTTAACTATGTGGTAACCACTTTATCATTATATCTAATTATATAATAAAGTAGTGGTAATGGAAATAACTGGTGGAAGTGCTATTTTGTCGAATGTTTATCACAAAATATCAAATTGCCTTTCGTGTCTACTCGATATAATTACTGTCCTTATTTGTATATCTGTCTATAATATCAAAATAATTTCTATTTTTATTTATTTATAATTCAAATTGCGTACGGTAATATATTTCGAAGACATAACGACCATTTATTGATTACAAAATCTTACAGTACACTTGTAACTTCAACTTTCAGATGCAACTTCAAGACAGAATGTCCAGGCGGCACTGACGAGATAGGATGCGATTTGCGCTGTGCACCTCGCGGTCTCTTCGAGTGCAAGGAGGAACTGATATGTCTGGCTGTGAAACAACTCTGCAATGGTGTCAAAGATTGCTTAGACGGCTCGGATGAAATACCCGAAGTTTGCAGCATGGGTTTGTTTATTTTTCATAAAAATTTTTGTAACGAAAAAGTTTTGCTTATTTAATACACATAATATGGTTAATTACAAAATATTCGATGTCTCTAAACTATCTATTGGTGTATTTGATTCTTTCAATATCGGTCAGTAACGTAAGTTACCAATAAACTACAACAAATTTTGATCTCTCTCTCCCTTTATTTAAGAGTTCTATCTTATCGGTGCAAGTAATTAATTTTGATCTATTGTTACTCTAATAATAATCCTTTTTAATTTATTCAGATACGGTATAATCACTGGGCTTAAATAGAATCTTGAATTTATACAGTTTTTTAATGTTTCCCTTTACATTTCAGTTAACAGAACGTCCAGTTTTTTCCCTCCACCTTTATACCCTGCAGACGAATGTCGCAAAGGGTTCTTGTGCAAAAGTGGGCAATGCATAGAACTGAAACAAGTCTGCGACCGCATGCCCGACTGCTTCGATGGATCAGACGAAGGCGGCGATTGCTGTGAGTGTTAATTCAACTTGATTTATGAAGTGAATACCAGACAAAAAAAAAAAAACAACTTCAATCGTGGCAGAACCAAAATATCTTTAATTATAAAAACCAGTTACTTTGATTTAAAGACTAAACCACTGAACTGATTTAAATAAAATTTCTATAGGACCAATTTGAAAGTAGGTGTACCCTTTCAGATAAAAAAGAATTTTTCGAATCGGTTTAGGTGTCTTCGAATAATAGGGAAATATAAATAAAAAAATTAAAGATTCTGATGGATTATCCAAATTAGTCCAAGTCCTACTATAGCAGAGATTAGCCCATTGCCTAAATCTTCGCAATTAAAATAAAAAAAGTAATCGTTATAAAGGTAAATATGGAATGCTAAATGCTTCACCGGATATAGCACATCTTAAAGAATTATTGCTGAAAAAGAAAATCTGGTCGACAAGTGAAAAAAAATCTTCAAAAGAAATCTTCTAGTGACATCGAAGAGCCAATTGCATCGGACAACGAAAACGCATCTGTATTTATTGTCTAGAGCTTTGGAGTTACTCTCGTGCAAGAGAACATTGTCTTCAATACCAAGTTTACCACCAATGGTGTCTATGCGGAATGCATCTAATTACCGAAAACAGCAAAAACAGTTATATATGATGTTTTTATCTAAATAACTGTACTTACTAAACCTGACAAATAATTAATTTTGCATGTTTATCATCTATCTACCATCTTACGCATAATAGTAAGCCGTCTTACTATTGGGGTAGGATGAGATGGATTTTCAATTCTTTCGTTTTACAAGTTCAACTTTGAAACTGATTAATTAGCTAAGAATAAATTACTTTTTAATATAGAATGCCTTTTTGTTTCTATTTCAGTTTGTTTTTTGATAAATAATGATTTCAAAATCTATGCCATCTCAAACCATATTCCCCTACATAGCAACTGAGAATACTTAGATATTAAGAAAAAAATAGATAACACTTATTGCTTATTACCGAGGACTTTCGTAATGCAGTAGTGGGCACATAATTTTGCGTAAATGATCACAGATTCGATTACCGGTTGGACCAACTTAGGAAACGAACTTTCCTGCATTAACTTGATTTGTAGGTATACTTTGCTCTTAGATGTTAGTTGCCAAGCCTCTCATAACACAAGATATCCTAACTCGAAACTAGTCATTAGTGTAATTGTGTGGTACTTATAATTATTACTATTAAAATCTAATTTAAATTCCCCAGACTCGGCCTGTAACAACCACTCGTGCAGGTTCAGCTGCGTGTCCACGCCATCAGGGCCACGGTGCATATGCCCAAACGGATATAAAATGGACATCGAAGGTCAGACGTGTGTTGACATCGATGAGTGTGTCAAAGATACATGCTCGCAACGTTGTGAGAATATACCGGGCTCTTTTCTTTGTTCCTGCTACCATGGATATGCCCTTAGGTAAGCCTATTCATGACGAGATAGATGGATATATAAACATACTCAGGTGCGCACATAAATGTGCGCACCTGACGCTTTTATTCCTGCTGATAGTCATAGGCTTGTAAATAGGTGGAGTAAATCTGTTCTCATTTAATTCTTCTGCTTTTTTATAAAATTGGTTTATGTATCTAATATTTTACAGATCTGACCGTCGCTCCTGCAAAGCGGTTAAGGGCAATATGTCAATATTATATGTATCGGGTAACACGGTTCGTTCCATATCTGCAGATGGGACATCTACTATAAAATATAGTGAAGCGAGCGACAAAATTTTCGACGTGGATAATAATGTGCGGTTAGTAGTCTTGAAATCTAGTTTTATAATAAAAAAAGAAAGCGCACTAATTTTAAAGAGACTTCTCCTACTGGATCGACGTTTCTTGTTACAATACTTCTGTTCGTAATTCTATTACGAGTTAATGCTTTAACTAACAAATTCTCCTAAAAGACCTTCCTGGTCTAGTTGATAGCGTTAAGGCTATTAAACCAAAACTTAGGTAATAAGAGTTCAATAATGCCAAACTTGATAACTATTGCTTCCAAAAATAGAAAACATTATCTTTTATTTCAGAGAAAGTACGCTTTATGTAACAATTCCCGATGCTGGCAAACTGGTAGAGATACAAAAAGACAATAATAAGATAAAAATTACAAACATAGGCAGACCTACAATGGCAAGTAAATTTATTTGTTAGTTATTTTTATTCGATTTTTGCAAAAAAAAAAAGAGCATTCTTGTCCTTTATTTATAAGAGATAAAGAACAGAAAATAATTACTTTTAGTCACTCTTAACTGATGAGATATAACGAAAAAGTAAAAAAATAATCCTATCATTACAGGTTGCGGTGGATTGGATAACGGGAAATGTATATTTCGTAGACAAAAGCACGGCGAATACAACAAATAACCACATGAGAGTATGTAATTTTAAAAATAAAAGATGTGCTAAACTGCAGAAACTCCCTATAAGTGGTAATGCAAAGGTATGTAATAAATAGTTTAATTTTGTTGAATGTAATTTTATAAATGCATGATAATATTATTTATGAAAATACTATTAAAGTTCAGAAGTCAGCTTTCGGATATAATTTATCAACGGTTGAAATGATCGCAAGAACCCATACAGTAATTTTAACTTAAATTTGTTAGCTCTAATGGAGAGAATAACATGTCGTCGGGATAGTACCAATCTGCGTAACTAGCATTGGATAATTCTGTGTACCTTACAAATGTTGGCTACATTTGTAATTTAAAATTATGTGGGCAATGCATTTCAATGTTCTGGTTGGCAGCCACCTCATTGAAATGAGTTTCGATCGACATATATTATAAAAAGCAAGAAATTGACTAATGACAATACTGCGTATCTACAATCGAGGAGTATATGGTACCTGTAAAAAGGTAATGAAGAAAAAGATTACAGAGGAAGTCTCAATAACATGTATCCCGTAAAGAATTACCTAGACCGGAAAAGACTATAAGACTGTAGACAAAGAAGCTGCGAAAAAAGAACGCTTCATGTAATCACTGCCGATTTACAAGCAGTGTAATTGTATCCACACTTGACACACAAGCCTGTGCATTGTAATTTAAAACGAAATTGATGTTTCATAGTTTGATGAAGCAACAACAGATTTAAAAGCAACAACGTGCACTCCATTTTTGTCAATTATTTGAAGAAAACTAGTGTAAACAAAACTTTATTACCACTTAAACAATACTATTATGTCCTACAATAGTAGCTCCGCCATTGGAATAGACGATCTAGCACACCAAAATCTTAAAAAACACTTAGTCGACACACCAGATGGCCACTAAGCCTGACAATTGGAAGGCTTCGTCATTCTTATATATCCCATGCTTTCAAGAAAAATAACGGATAGCATAATTGAAACACTATATGGTGCAAACATTTGCGCCCTCGTAAAAAAAAAACGAATAAGAAGTTTGAATAAGCATAAAATATAACACTGAATTTGATAGTTGAAAAGTTAATCAAACTTTTAAATCATCCAAAGGTTTGATTAACTTTTCATATTTTTGAAGACTACAGATTTAAATATTATATCCCAAAAAATCAGCGTATTTTCATAAAACTCCAGGCTTACTCCCAACGTTCATTTTATCTTAGTTGTATCATGACCGAGGATTTTTAAAGATTATTTACGCATTTAAATATTGGGTAATTTATGCATTTACATATAAGGTGCCTGGAGCGATTAAGACTTAAGAAATGCTATAACAGAAGTACATTGTGAAGGGATAACGTTTTATAGGACCTCTTTTATCTACCATATTCCGAAAAAAACACTAGAAAGAAGGTTCAATGGTTTATATGTATGTCACAAAAATCCGCCTATATAACCTCTAACATACTTCTAGAATAGATAAAATCGCATTTCTCGACTCGACAACCAGAAGGCACTCATCAGATGGGTATCAGATCCAGGCCCAAGTACAGCCTTTCAAACAGTGGACTAAACACAGTGTATTAAAGTTCAATAGGTTTCGTTGTTCTTTTTTTATTTTTTTTTTCTATTAATCCTGTACTGATATGATTACAGATGACGTCCCTAAAAGTCGACCCTGCATCCTGCAGAATGTTTTACTGCATAACCAACCACTACGAATCTGTAGTATGGTCAGCGTCACTAGCTGGTCAAAACGTTGTAGACTTGAGCACAGTACAAAATTGCACGGGACTAACGGTGGATTCCTTCAGAAAAAGGCTATATGTCGCCGAAACGGGGCCTTCACTTATCACCAGAATGAACTTTGATGGAGACAGACAGTAAGTTTGTTTTATCAAATCGACTTTTAAATTCTGTATGAGTTCTTGTTCCTGTTAAACTCATAGCGGTGAAAAAGTAGTAACTGTATGTACAAACCTTTCTCGACAATCAGTTAATCAGTGAAAACTTAAAAAATAGCAATTTTTTGTATATAGACCACATGGGCAAATATAATGACTAGAAATCACTCTAATTTGAACATGAATTGTCCAGTTCATTACTGAAATCATTTTCCCATTGTCTTTATTTCAGCAAAACAGTAATATTTGGACACCCACAACTTCAAGAACCGAATGGGTTAGCACTTTTTGAAGACAGCATCTACTTCTTAGCGGATAACACATCAAAACTCAGTCGTTGCCAGCTCTTTGGCAAAAAGCAATGCGAGCCATTCATATACCGCATGTTTGAGGCAAATACATTTGTGATAAGTCACGAGAGCGTCCAAAGAGACGACTTGAAGAATAGTTGCGAGCAATTCACTTGTTCCAACGTTTGCGTTTTGGACAAAACAGGTCCATTGTGCGTATGTTATGATGGAACTCTCGCTAAAAATGGACTTTGCACTAAGGCGGAAAGGAGTATGGTGAGTATTTTAATCTCGTTTATTATTAGGAATAGAATGGAAACCGCACTTGTGCTCCATGGAGCACATTGGTGGAGCATCAGTCAGGGATTTTTTTAATAATGGGTAATAATGGATTGCATGCGCTATGAGTATACATTGACCGAACAACAGTGAAGGATGATAGATGAGGATGAAGCAGGTCAGTCAGCCCATCGTAACGAATTCAACAATAAATCAATCACGATGATTTCTAGAGGAAATCGAAAGGCAGTCGATCTAATAGGGTAAATTATTAGCAACGGGGTTGGTAATCCTTATTACTAACGATCTCTTCCCTCTGACTGGTCGCTGACAGGGTATATAGCTAACTATATTCTTACAGATAAAAAAAGATTTTTTCCAAATCGGTTTAGAATTAACGGAGTTATGAGGTAACAAACAAAAAAAAAAATGAACCAAATTAAGAACCTACTTCTTTTTGAAGTCGTATGAAAAGTAGATTTTATCGTCACGATAAGACAAGAGAAGAGCAAAAAGTAACGTATTTTTAGTACGACATCGTAAAAGTTTACGATGACGATAGACACGATAGCGTTATGCCGTTCGCATATTACTATGCCGTGCTCGGATATATTACAAAGCAGCCAATACCCCTTTGTTTATAGCTGCCGCTGTTCGACAACTGGGTTCAGGAAGACTACACAAGCGCCAACAAAGCCGTGCTTGCGGCCCTCACCGCTGCTGGGGTGCTGTTTGTGATCTATCTCTCTATGTTCATATACTATCGCTATGTGTACCGAGCAAGGGAGATTCGCGCCTCCACATATATGGAGTAAGTTATTGATTTTATTTTTCCATGACATTTTCAAATTTTTTAAATTTTTCTTTTGCTACTTTTAAAGACAATTTTTTGTTTAATTTTTATTCTTACTCTGCCTATATAACCGACTTCCACTGACAATGTTTTTTGATGTATGTATTAACTTTATTGTAAAATGTAGTTTAAACAGCTAACAAACCGTACTTATTACAAGCCTTACTTATTTTTGATTGGACCTCTACAATCATCTTAAAAACAATAAATGACAAAATAAAAAGTATTCCAAGACTTGATAGCAAATTATAATTTCAAAACTACAAAGTTTAATATTTCAATAATATAAGTCAATGTTAGAAAAATGGGATAGCCACTCTCAAAATGAATCTAGTTTTAAAAAATATGCATATGAAAGGGCAAGAATGAACTATATAAACAATAGTTGCCATTAATTTTGGTCAGCAGCTACGTAGACAATATTCCGACCCAACTGACAAGAGAAAGCACAATACATTTGCCTACAAGTAGGTCTTAAATGTAACTTCCCGAAGTTAGTAACAATAAGCTTTTAGAAAAAATATGAAAAACATAGTAAACCACTTGCTGTCTCATCTTTAGATGCAATAAGAAAAACAAATCGCCAACCAAGGATTAAATAAATTTTTCATGTTTAATAAATAAAATTATGTCTAGAGCTTAAAAAGGCAAGATTGTTCTCAATATGAAAGTTGTTGCCACAAATATTTTTCAATATTTGATGACAAATAGCTTTGTTTTCCAAAATTTATGTTTTTTAGACATCAAATATTACAAACAGTACACAGCATTATGATCAATTGTAATTGTAATTTTCTTTATTTTACTTTGGTAGTTATTAATCCTAAGAAGTGGCACTCCCTGGAGAATATCTCTGAATGAGATATATATACAGTTGTTATTTTCAGAGTAAGATTTCAGAATACCAATCCACGCAGCCCATCGGTATCATCCCAAACAACATCTACAATTGAAGTTCCTGAGCCAAGGTATAGCTATCTTTACTATACTTATAATAATCAGAAACATAAAGACAGTTTCATATATATATATATATATATATATATATATATATATATATATATATATATATATTTTTACTTTAATTTACATTATTTATTTATTTATTTAAAGTGGAACCCATCAGGTATCCAGGTTTTACTCTTTACACCAACATTTCTTAGCTGAAAAACTTTTTATAACAATTTGTTTTCTATTACAATTTGTGTTAAAAATATAAACAAGGAAGAACAATACAATATAATAAGACAAACCTGAGATAACAAGTGGCAATACGGCCTTATATACAATAGAGGAAATGCAACAGTCCACATGATAATAACATAATTCAAAACAGCAAATTTGTAACCAAAGTAATTGTGAAATATAATACAAAATAGAACCTTCATCTTTTTCGAAGTTGGTTATAGATATAGACTATACAGAACAGTAGATATAACAAGTTGCATGTCTTTAATGACTTACATAGGTTAATAACCTATAAAAAGAAGGAATATGTCTGTTAACAACCATAAACCCTATCAATAATTCAAGCACATAAGACTATAACATTTTCTCTCCACAAAACAAATAATGTCTTTCTAAGACTAGGCTAATTCAAACAATAATGATGCTTCTCTCAGTCTATATTAATGTTATACTCAATATAGCTTTGGACACTTGAAATTGTTGTAGAATTTGAAGTAAACTAACCTCTCTACGTACCCAAACAAAAACAGGACTCAAGAACAATGAACCTTTGTCGTTTCATTACTATTAACCAATATGTAGCTTCGGCATATGCAGGTATATATTTTGTTTCAATTTCCCACGATCTTTGTAGTTTTTGATAACCGACAACACAAGATTTCGTTTAGATATAGAACCATTAAGTAAATTAAAACAGAACCACCAGGATATATTTCTAGAAAGACAGGTAAGATAAGAAAGAAACTATTTGTAAAATAGATGAGCAAGCCAAAACAAATACATGCTGAATTTGACAGTTCCTCACAAAAACCCATACATAAAACCAAAATGGAGAAAACGAAATACAATCAACTTTGATCAATCTATCAAACGTATCACAATTTTAGAAATATCATTTGAATAGTTATAGAAATCAATTCAATATTTATGGATTACACTAAAGAAAGTTATCGAAGTAGTATAATTTAAGAAACAAAAGAAAATCGCTAACTATTGTATTTTAAAAAAACAAAATAGACGTCACCTACCATAGACAACACTAAGTAGACATTTTATCTATGAAATAGAAAAAGGACAACAAAAAGTAAGCACTCGTCCACACGAATATGTATTATTGGAATAATAATTACCACATTAAAGATACATATCTAGCTACATTTAATGACCGATCGTCTATTTCACAAATATACAATAATAGATCGGTCCAAAAAAGAATATAATTTTCAAAGATTTTTTCTCTCATTTTGTGATAGCAAAACCAATTGACTTGGATAAGTTGAAAGTGACTATATTTTCACACAATACCAAGTAAATACGAAAATAACGTGTATATAAAACTGTACGTTAGCAATGACAGACAGCTAAATACACGCCCTTGAATATAAAGAGAACTATTGGACATCAACAAAAAGCGGCGAGTGAGTCTAACAACTATTAGTGTGGATGCGGGACACATGACTTTACTTATGGAGAGGACAACTATTGCCATGCCACGTGGGGCTTAAATGGCTATTGCTGGACTGCCTTTGTAGAAGGGAGTTGTTATCATGTCATGTTTAAGTTCTGGAGGGGTACATAAAGAGAGCGGACGCGAGCAACACGGAAATGTAGAATGTAGTATCGTATATGCTTAACTTCATGAAGAACACTTGTTGCACAAGAGATACATTTTATAATAATTTCTTTTTCCTGATATTATCATTCTATATGTATAGCTTAAGTATATTATATCAATTGACTCGATTATATACTTAATCATAATAAATAGTAGATAATGGTAGGGAGTATTATCAATAGTAGGAATTCTTCATTAATTTATTTTTATATAATATTTTCAGTACCCCTAGTGAGAGCACACAAGAGTACATGAACCCAATACAGTTTGTGAAGGATATATGGCGCCAGTCCGTGCTTCGAAAACCAAGAAAACCTATTGTAAGTATAACAGTTTAAATTTTCTAATATTAGGTATTTAGCATTAAATTAATGAATGAATAAAAGGGGTTTATTTATTTAAATATAATATTCAGTACAAACACTCAACTGCTGTAATTTAATATTATCACGAATAAAACTATAGTCCTTAGAAATGGCAACATATGAAGGGTACCGTGGGAATTACAGTATATTTTGAAATATCTATGGTTTTGTTCATATTTATAAGTAATTTATAAGTTACCACTTTCTATCAGATGGACTGTTACCTTTTTTATAAATCTAAGTATCTTTTTTTTCATTTTTTTTCAGGGTACAGCAGGCTTAAATGTTCAAATTCCCAAGACTGAAAAAGAACATTCTGACACAGAATCAGACCTAGATGATTAGGAGAAGCAGCGAATTATTGATTGAAATTAACCATCCTTTTAGAATACTATAACTGAAAGATAGGTTCTTTTTTTGTGGTACAAAAATAATTATAACGATTTAATATATTTAAGACAGGCAGCATAAGTAAAGTTCCTTGGTTTGTTACAAATATGTGTTTGGGTGAAAACGTTATACAGGAGCCTTAAATTTGCTGCCAGCTTGACGAAAATCTAGTGCTTACCGTTAACATTATGTTATGCACACTTCTAAAAAAAATTTTAAATGTTATATTTATACCAACTACTACATATACACAGAACTTGTGTGAGCTTGGTGGACAATCTCCATCAAATACGAGATATGGATTATGGTTTGAATTAGTCAATAGGCGCTGCTAAATATTAAGGTACCGGAAGATAGCTATACTTTAACGTTTCTAACGTTACTTAAGTTTCGATTGAATAAGTATCCTATAATTTACTTTGATTTATTTTATAAATAGAAAACTAAGATATAAATAGCTTTCTCGTGAATTATATGCTATATATAAGTACATCGACAAAAACGAGTACATTTTGTTGCAACTTTATAAATAATAAAGTTATGTAAACTTTTCATTATATCAATAATACTAATAAATAACTTATGTACTAAGTTATAATAGAGTAACTTTACAACAATCAAATCACACAATTTGTTAAGAAAAAAACATTATGTTTGTTACATTTGAAAGACTGAATGGTTTAAATTTATTAGTGGATAGATACTTATGAAATATTTAAGATAAGCTTCTTTTTTCTAATTATGATTCTTCATAATGGAGTGTGGAGTTTTCATTACCATTCAAGTTAAAGAATACCCTATTATTACATAGATGTTGTTTTATATATGGTAAGATTGTATTAATGCCTTTTTTCCCATGTCCAAGACATGGAAAAAAAAAAGGAATGTAGAAATAATATTACTAATGTGTGTATTTTATCTTAATGTAAAGATTAATTATCTTTAATATCTTAACATATCTTTTTCGAATAGGTACATACTAATGAAATACTTATATGAATAAGACGTTGAAATAAAAAATGTTAATATTTCCTTAAAAATCAATATTTTTTAGTTTTGGTATACTGGCAGTTAGCGGACGTTGCCGCATTTCAGTATAGGTCAGACAAAGAGGGCAAATTTTTAACTGATTCTTTCTCATACTATTTGATACCTCTTTATTATGTATACTAGATACTTATCGTTTGTCGGATTATATATTTCAATGGAAAATAAATTCATGTTACCTAAATTGTTAAATATTTTTGATGAAAATGTATAATATTTTATATAATGCATGATATTTTATTATAAAAATTGATTATGACTGAACATAATAAATTGCAAATTGTATGAAAAAAATTAAATAAAATGTAACTATCTGTATGGTTTGGATTAAATAAACTATTATTTTTTATTATTATTGAATACCAACTTAGTAATTTTTTTATGATATGTAATTTATACCTTGTTTATCTTATCGTCAAATTATTATTTAACAAATAGTAAAACTTATTATTATTAACATAAAGACACAAAATCAAATTAAAAAGTTTATGTTCAGTATGAATGAGACCTTACGAGTCCGATCTGTAAACCTTCTAGCGGCTTGAGTCAAACTCTAGCACATTATACATATTACTAGCTGACTCGGGAAACGTTATTTTACCATATACATTATTTCGAGAACTATACATGAAATTCATCGTACTACAATTATTATATTCGATTGTCATCTTGCAACCATATTGCTGAATATAAAAATCGCGATTAAAACACAGGAGTTGATCGTAAAAGCGTGAAAATTTGAAGTTGTATGTATTTTTCAATGCTTAATCATAATAAAATAAAAAAAATAAAAAAAATTGCAAAAAAAAAATATTTAGGAGTGGGTCACTCTTATCATTGAGGGGTATGAAAAATAGATTTTGGCCGATTCTCAGACCTACCCGATATGCACACAAAATTTCATAAATATCGGTAAAGCGGTTTCGGAGGAGTTTGGTAACAAACACCGCGACACGAGAATTTTATATATTAGATATAACACTGAAAAAACAATTTAAAGAAAAAGATAAAGCTGCTTTCGCAACGATTCTTTATAACAATAAATCTAAGCAAACCTAACCGCAGGATATTTTTTCATTTCATTTTAATATTATTCTATATTGCTTAAAAACAATTAGTGGTCAAAGGTTAATGTCTCCTTTTAACAATTTAAGGACAAGAAAATGCATAGAAGGAATAATAAAATAAAATCTGTAGATCATACGGTTGCCTCTTTTCTTCTTATGCAAATATAATTAGTAAAAACAGGACGAAAGATATACCGTCAGTTGCTATTTTTGTCAATTCATAGCAAGCTAGTGTATAAAGAATGTGTATGTAAAATTGTTATTCATTTACATTACTAGATTATATATTCGACTCAGTTTATGTAGAAAGTATGCAAGCAGATACAACCTGTATCTGAATGTGGTAGTGTTATACGGCCGTATATAGAGAATAGAAGAGGCAAAATGCGGAGCCACCTTACACGACATAACAATTTTTTTAAGAGCATAGTGGAAAGAAAAATAAAAGGTAAAAGAGGAAGGGGGTGAGTTATAAAGAAATAGTAACCCCACCCGCGCTATCGGTATACACCGGCGGGGCACCAGTGAAGGATGATACATAAGGATGAAGCAGATCAGTTAGCCTATCGTGATGAATTCAACAAGAATTGTTCAGGATGGTTTTCAGGGGGAACCACGTGGAGGTCGACCTGATATTGCTAGTAATGGGGCTGTCAAACTCCATTGCTAACAATCTCTTTCTTTTCAGAGGAAGGGGAAGACTAAGGAATAACTACATTGGACAGGTAAAAGAAACAATATGTGTCATGTCTTATAGGGAGGTTAAGGATATGGCCTGGGATAGAACTGACAGACAAGAGGAAACTCCTAAATGAAAAGAAGAATACGGCCGTATAACATTTTCTACACACTATCCTGCTATGAATTGACAAAAATAAAAATTGACGGTGTATCTTTTGTCCTTTTTTTACTAATTATATTTGCATAAGATAAAAGGAGGCAACCATATGATTTACAGTTTTTATTTTATCATTCCTTCTATGTAATTCCTTGTTCTTAGGTAAGAATGTATGTACGTTCTTTTTTAATTGGTGAAAATGACGTGTTAGCCCCGCCCATGCTAGCAGTATACACTGGCTGGTCACCAGTGAGAGGTGATAGGTGAGGATGAAAAGGCAAGTCAATCCGTCGTGACGAATTCAACGATAATTATCAGAGGGAACCGCGTGGAGGTCTACCTGATACGGTATATTGATAGTAATGAGTACTAACCTCCCCATTACAAAAAATCCCTTCCCCCGATGAATATAGGTCAGTTAACTCATCATCACGAATTCCACTAGAAGGTGCCACGATGGTTTCTAGAGCGAATTGCGTGGAGGTCGACCTGATAGGGTGTATTATTAGCAATGGGGCACGCTTGTTTGCCACCTAATAATTACTAGCATTGGGCCAGTTAAACCCCATTACTAACAATCCCTTTTTCCCCTATAAATTTGTGCTTTTGCCACTTGATCGTAAAACGATTTTTTTGTTATGGATGATAATGGAATGGTAACCCCGCCTTCGCTAACGTTATACGCTGGCGGGATACAAGTGAAGTATAATAGGTGAAAATGAAAGGCAGATCAGTTAGCCTGTGATGAATACAACTGGAATTCAATACAATTCAGGGGGGATCATGTAGAGCTCAACCTGACAGTATATTGCTAGCAATAGAGCTGGTAGTCCGCGTTACTAACAATCCCTTCCTCCTCGGTCAAGTCGTTTAGGTGCCAAAAGATAAACTTATTTGAATATTTATATTAGTACAGATTTTAAAAATAAGTATAGTAGGCATTTACTCCAAGCACAAATTTAGATTATAAGTGTTCTAAAGCAAGCAATATTGCAGTGGATTGGTATTCCAGCAATCCCATGCATTATTCTTTTTATATTTTGCTACTTAATATTATTTCAAAGAAAAAAAAAGGAAATTTTTATTTTATAGAATAATATGTATAAGAACAGAGATAAATGGTTGTATAAAATATTTCAAAGAGAGATTGAAGTCAAAGAATTATCAAGATGACCCTAAACAGTAGGATGAAGGTAGTAAATAAAACACAGATATATTAAAAAGCATTAAGTATACATTATATTTTCCTATGCAATAAAAGATAATAAAGGTAGTTACTTCCAGAGCTTCTTAATAGACATATTCTTCTCAGAATCTTTCTGCATCACCTTAGCGACAGCCATCTCAAAGTCTTCCTGAGTGACATGTACTCTGCGTTCACGCAGTGCATACATACCAGCCTCAGTGCAAACTCCTTTCACCTCAGCACCAGAAGCCCCAGGCATCAACTCGGCGATCTTCCGCAAATTGATGCCTCTAGTCAGATTCATTTTACGAGAGTGGATTTTTAGGATGTCCAGCCTAGCCTCCTCATTTGGTGGGGGGAATTCAATTTTCCTATCAATACGTCCAGGCCTCAGTAAAGCAGGGTCCAGAATATCAATTCTATTGGTAGCCATAATAACTTTAATATTCTTTGTGGCTTCAAATCCATCTAGCTGATTCAATAACTCTAACATAGTTCTCTGTACTTCAGAATCACCACCACTACCAGATTCAATACGAGATGAACCAATCGAGTCTATCTCATCCATGAATATGATAGATGGGGCATGCTCTCTAGCCATCACAAACAATTCTCGGACCATACGACTTCCTTCTCCAATGAATTTCTGTACCAATTCAGAACCCGAGACACGGATGAAAGTGCATTCAGTGTGGTGAGCTACGGCACGCGCAAGCAATGTCTTACCAGTGCCAGGAGGGCCATATAAAAGTACACCTTTGGGTTGAGCAATTCCCAATGCATCAAACAGCTCAGGATGTTTCACGGGTAGCTCAATTACTTCTTTAATTTCCTTAATCTGCTTATCCAAACCGCCAACCATCTCGTAAGTAGAATCTGGCACTTTCTCAACCATCATGAGTGAGACCAATGGATCAACCTTATTAGGCAGGATTTTGTGGAGGGTGTAACTCTCATTACGCAGTGCAACGCGGCAGTTGGCGGTAACATCATTAATATCTACATTCTTATCTAAATCAACGACAAATTTGCCCTCTGGGTGTACCTTCACAAGTACTTTTTTCTTGTCCATAGGCTTGACTACTTCGCCGACGTAGGACCCTTGTTCTTGCAAAAGTTGTAACTCTTCGCGCAACATCCGCACTTTGGCGTTGAGTTCATTGCGTTGCGCCTGCAGACGCCGAAGATTTTGGGATTTTTCTGCTACGATCAGCTGAAGTTCCTCGATCTTAGTTATGTAGTAAGGTCGGAAACCATCGCCCTTAACAGGGTCTATTTCCATTTTAGTTACAGTCATTTTGATGTTGTGTTGTTCGCATTAATTTAATAATTAGTGAATTTTCATTAAATTTTATTCACCACTATAAATAAGACACAAATCAACCACAATAATTAGTTTTTCCCAGTCACGCTGACGTGTGACATATAAATGAATAAAAATTCTACTATTTGAAATTTTGAAATCGGTATTTAGGTAAAAATAGCTAGAAAATCATATATTAAGGAGAAGCTTTGATTTAAAAAAAATAAATTATCCATTTATTTAATAACCTTTTTTCTTTATAGAATTTACTAATAATTACATAATTTTATTTAAAATACAATATGTTTGCAATCATTGCAAATTATACTATTAACAATAATAAATTCTAATATGGCAACATTGTTACTATTTTCGTTCAATAATTTAGTGTTTATAATATTCGTTCTATATCGATCTAGTAGTAATATCCACAAATAACAGCAGAATAGTGCGATACTCAAAAATTTTATGATATTTGCTATCAGGCTTTATTTATAACAAATATTGTTTGATAGATTAAAATAATTCATTTGAGTATTTTGTATTAACAAAATTTAATTATCTTAAGCAAATAGCAAACTTTCGATGGTGTTGCCTCTATAGAGCGATAAAGGAACTAAAATTACTATTGTGGATTAATTTTATTTTTTTTTGCTATTTAATAACAAATGAGGCTGTTTATTACAGAAAATAATGCAATTAGGACTCAATTATGCTATGTAATATAATGTTTTATTATTTAAGGCATTACACAGGATCTACTTAATATATAAAGAAGGATAATATTTCAACTAGTAATGTAAAATTTGTTACTGACATATATAAAGATAATATAAAGTGAAAAATAATTTACTTAAATCAAACTGTCTTTATTTGTCATTTTGTATTAAACACCTAGTCATCTTTGTCATAATGTTACAAACATATAACTCTCAGCATATAACATAATATTTTATTTGATATTATGATACTTACGTACTCTTTGAATTCTATAATATTAAAATAGATGGAAATAGTACATGATGTGCATTATAACTTCTCTAACTATATTAATTTGCAATAAGGCATTATTAAAATTGTTGTGGATCATACGAATCGGATCTTTAGCCCATTGGAGTTATATTATCGGATCTACTGTGTACCCAAAAGAAACGCACCGCAGCATAATCCTCAGCGGGAGTTTATTCATCTTTATTGTTTTTGGAACACTTATTCCAGGGTTTTTGTTCCCTAGGGTCAAGTTTTTAGCAACTGCTTTAAGTTTACCGCCACAAATTCATATGATAATACTTCTTCATAGGCATGTTGCGGCTCATATTGAAAATGATGCATTTACGAAAGCTCTCCGTGGATATGCGGCAGTGACATTATGCTCTACTGTATGGACTTTAGCAAATTTATTGTAACCACCAGGTTTTAAGATTATTTTCCAGAGAGGAACTAATTCCTTAAAAAAGACATAAGAATATATACTCTCTGATATATTTTTGCCTATAGTTGAAAGCTCTGCTCCTTATTCTGGGGTGGGCACCAAACAATATATTTTAATACGTCTATCATTGTAGCATTCATTATAAATTTAAAATATTGTAACGGAAATATAGAGTTGAAAGAAACATTGTACCCTTAGATATTGTATTTAATATATACTTAAACAATAATATACTTTTCAACCGACTTCAATAAGGAGGTTCTCAGTTTGGTTATATTTTTTTTTAGATAGATAGATACTCTTTATTGTTGCCTCCAAAAGATTACAATAGTAAACTTATTATAAATATAAACGATTACAAGAAATTATCTCTATGAGAAAACAATGGGCGACCTTATCGCTAAGAGCGATTTCTTCCAGGCAACCTTTGGATGGAGAGGAGTAATTATAAACAATTTGGTGGGAGGTACGATAAAAAAATTTGTTAGTTCTAAATATGGGAGATGTGATACATAATATAATTTTTTTAATGTTTTATTACCTCATCAACTATATCAGTTGTAAACCGATTTTGAAAATTTTGTTTTTATCTGAAAGAATATACTTACAGATGGGTCCCATAGAATTTTTATCAAAATCGTCGCAGTAGTTTTTAAAAATCAAAATTTAGTTTATTTTGGTTCGTTTTTTTTTTTGTGGAACACTATCTTAATCACTAAATAACAAAATCAACTAGCTAAACCGAAATTAGGTGCATAACTGTTGATACATAATCGTCATTATATTAGCCCTTAACCTCCCACTGTGGGGGGAAAGGGATTGTTAATAATGGGGTCAAATAGCCCCATTACTAGCAATATATCCTGTCAGGTCGACCTCCACGTGGTTCCCCCTGGAAACCATCGTGAACAATTCCTGTTGAATTCGTCACGATGGGCTAACTGACCTGCTTCATCCCCACCTATCATCCATCACTGGTGCCCCGCCGGTGTATACCGATAGCGCGAGTGGGATTACCATTCCATTATCACCCATTAAAAAAAAAAAACCTCCCACTGTTGAACATAAGCCTCCCCCTTAGGGAGTTTTGCCAGTATTTCCCTGGCAGGCGAATTGGCAACCGAAGTCAGGGTTTAGAGATGTTTTAAGAGGGACGCCGCTGCCCATCCCTCGCCGTCCCTTAGCTGTCTTTTACGACACCCACGGGAAAGGAAAGGGTGGCCTATTCTATGCGGGGGCCGTAAAATACATAATATGAATATATATATGTACAAGATTACAAATTGGAATATTGGATATTTATATAGTGGTTATTTCTACTAAAGGACTTGTACCTTATGTTAATTTGAATCATACTAATATTATCTATGTACTAACCTTATCGAGTAATGCCTAAATAGATGGATAAGCGAAACATTTGAAGTGTCGCTAGTGAGACATTCAAACACTATACTTAATCTATTAGATGGAAGAAACATTGTTAGTAATGGGGACGTTAATCCCCATTGCTACCAATATATCCTGTCAGGTCGACTTCCACGCGGTTCGCCCTGGAAACCATTATGATTAATTATTGTCAAATTCATCGCGATGGGTATGATTTTCACTTATCATCTCACTGGTACCTCGCGGTGTATGTTAATGGCGCGGGCGGGGTTAACATTTCATTATCTTCTATTAAAAAAATCTATTAGATGTGGTTGTGAAAAAATGAGAAGTAAGCGAAATACCACATTGTTTATTTTTCTTGCAATTGATGCATAATTTTTTGATTTGCTTAGCCAATTTTTAGATCAAAGATAGTAAAGTCTCGTGAATAAAGTTTATTTACATAACGAATACTAGCTAATGTACCTAAAGATGAGAATGAATGAAACAAAGCATACATACAGAAAAAACAGAACATATATCCAATATGATTCATTGTTTTAAGGATAACGTATTAAGTAAAAACATGCGTACGTAAATTTTAAATTTAAACACCGCCTTAATAGTATATTCTCATAGACCGATGGTGTATTTTGTGGAGGTTTATTTCTAGAATCTACCTATGTTTGTGTTTCTAGACTATAACTTTATCGTTATATTCCAGCAGAAAAGGCAAAGTAGTTTAGAGTTAGGTAGTCGCTGAGACGCGACGACCGGAGTGAGTTGTGTTATTTGTGTTCGATATCCGTTCGGAATTCATATCTTCGTCACGAAAACAGTTCGTAAAAAAAATAAAAACAAAAAAATATTTGACATTGACAGGTAACCTATATTTACATTTATTTTCGTTTCTTTAAAAATATTGATTGGATTTTTAATAAATGTCCCTATCTTTCGAGAACATAATATTATCTAGATGTATTATTGTTAATTAATTCATAATGTAGACATTTGGCATGTGTGCAAAACTACAAAAATAGTTTTTTAGGAATATAATAACCATCTGATCAATGTTTTTATTTCTGTATTTAATTCTGTATTACTTTATTGGGGAACAGGTAATTTATACAACTTAGAATTTTGTATATAATAAAAGACATTAAAATATAATAAGAATATTGGATATAAATAAGAAAATAAAACCTACTAATCTTCTTTCTGAACATATCCTTACAAGCTTGAACTTGAATTGTAATGTAAGGTCAGGTGATTGTGACAAATGTCATAAATAAGCAAATGTTTTTCCTCTAGAGATTTATATCTTGTAATATTCTTAACCTATTTTAATACATAAAAAATAAATTTGCTCTCACAGTACTTATGTTTAACTTATGTATATATAATTTTATAATATGTGATAGGGAAATATAAAATTTTACTTTATTAGACAGTAATAATATTACTCAATATTAGTGAAAATTATTTATGAGTCGCCTACATTGAAACCTACATGTAAATTATAAAAGTTTATTTGTTCCTTTCAATACTTTAAGGGCTCAAACAATTGTCAAGGTCATTTGGCATATTATGTGTGTATAGTATTTGGAAATAGAAGGACATTAGTTACTAATTCTGATCACAGATGGGTACAGCTAGTAACTAATAAATATCCTTTTACCAGTTCTGTGATGAACTGTGAATGGTTCTCAATCACCATTTTATAATTTTTTTCTGATATGTTTGTTGTTATTTTTAGAAATTATATTAATTTTTTATATTTGTTTTTCATAATTGTGTTCTTCAAATGGATCATGGTTGTTTGACTTTACAGCTTAGTTTTATTTTGTACTTATGTTAATTTATATAAATAAGATAACAAATTAAATATAAGATTCAATACAGCTTTTTTTTTAATTATAACTATTTTAGAATGGGCAACACAAGTAAGAAGTTAGCTGCAAAATGTACATTACTTACCAAAGATGAGCAGAAGTATGTAGCGGCAACATTCAGGGCGGCCAGCAAAAACTCGGAGAGAATACGGGAGGATGATCTCATCGTGAGTGGAAAAGTAGATGCAGTGTTGCTAGAAGTGTGTTCATTTTTTGTTTTTCCTTTTTAAAGAATTTATTTTTTATATTTAGTCAGTGACAGTATTTTCTTTTAATAATATGAATGTAACATTTTTGTGCACTTTTTCTAAATTTAAAAAATATTTCATTTATGTGCAAGTCCAGAATCTTTATTGAAAAAGTCTATAAGCATATTTAAACTACAGTAATTTGTTTAATGGTCACAAAAATTAAATTATATTATAAATACTTCTTATTAAAGAAACCTAAATCTTAATAGTAAATTATTATTTGATATTAATTATTTTGTAAATTAACATGCAACACCTTATATCTCATTGTTATTTTAGATCAGGTGAAATTATAGTCAAACACGCTCAAATTTAATATATAAAAAATAATTCGTTTAATGTGTGTTGATGAATTCAATGAAAAAAAAAAAAAACAAACAGTTGTTTATCTAAGAGCTCAAAACGATCATGAAACTCATATCACTTGATACCTGTCACTGGCTGAATATCCATTACATACAAGTATTGGTGAGTGAAGTAGAACAATTTCATCAGTATATGTCTAGCCATTGTGTTAATAGTTATCACCAGTTCTTAGACATAGACAAGACAGGTTTTAAAATTAAATAATATTGTTTTAGAAATTAAGGATTTTTGCCTGTTTCATTGTAAATTTTACTCTTTCGCGTAATTAAAAAAAAACTTAATCAATAGTGAAAATAATTTGTGGAAACATATGCTGGAATTCGAAAATAGACCGTTGACCTTGACATGGCAGAACTATTTCATACATTTTTAAACGTCGAACAATGCGGTTTGGCGCGCAATCTAGACGTCAACAAACAGCCATGTGTTAATCTGTGGCTTCGGGAGTGGGTTGTTCCTAGTTGTTTATTTACTCTGTATGAATGAATAGAGGTAATGACATTCTAATGGCCTTTATTGCGATAAATACAAGAGATGAAAGTCACAAATGGACTTATCTTCAGGGTCGGCAATGCGCGCGTAATATCTCTGGTATTGCAGGCATTCATAGGCTACGGTAACCGCTTACCATCAGATGGGCCGTTTACTTGTTTGCCACCTCAGTGGTATAAAAAAAAAATCACAGGGAAACTTTGTACAACAGCTATCTGCACGGTACCTCTGTTCCACTTGAGTTTCTTCAACAATGTAGCTGTGCTCGTATGGCTGTATTCCGATTTGAAGGATATACTAGTAAAATTACAGGCTATTGCGACATAATACTTCAGTTTTTAAGAACGGCAACGCATGACAGTCGGTGTGTTTATTTTATAATGTTTACAACGTTATTCATTCCTTTAATGATGCCTATATAAAAATGGCAAAAAGAGTATTATGTTCTAGTTAATTATAGATAGAGGAATAAATGTTACCACTGTAATATTTGATTCGTAGATAAATAATATAATGAATGGTAAAGCATAAGGGGAAAAAGAATATAATAGGCATAATAGAGTGAGATAGATAGATAGGACCATAAACGTACAAATTAATGGCCTGTAGTGATTTACCAAGCCTTTGACTTATTTATTTAGGATTACTTATGTGTTACCAGATACTATACCTGAATATAATACAGATATAAAACTTGTAAAATTACATATTTATATACACATAAATAAGTTAAAATTACGCACTAAACAATTACCCTTTTAAATACAGTATTTCTCAAGAACATCTCAATTTACGCAATGCAACAATGTCTATAACAACCTAATAAAACAAACCTGTCTTGTTTATTCGATCATTGTATTTAATTTCTTGTTTCCACTTGTATGTAATATCAGTATATTTTTAAGTTACGTACCCAATGTATATTTCGTTTTGTAAGTCCCATACGAAGTGCTAATCTCTGTTCACAATTTGCACTAGTCTATGTATTTTGTTAACACTCGGAGACGGCACTTGTGTCTTATGCAGAGTGATTTGTTTATTATTACCATATTATGGAATGTTCTAACAGTGGAATTGAACATTTTTAAATTGAAAGACATTAATATGGACAAAACTCAAGGTTTACAACACCGTCTAGAAGTTATACTATTCCAAATTGCAAATAAAACAACGAATATTTATTAAAGGACATGTGTTTTTTTTTTATTGTAAATAAAAAACCACATGTCTGTCTAGACGTTACGTTTTTACAAATATATCAGAGGGAGACTTTGTACAAAAGTCGTTTGCTTAGGCACCTATGTCCCATTTATGTTTCTACCGTGAAGCAGTTGTGTTTGCATGGCTGTTTCGGGAAGGGTGAAGGTGAAGGGTGTTTCGTTGAAGGGTGGGAAATGGCAGAGAATTTACAGGCTACAGAGGAATAACACCTGAGTCCTCAGGAATATACTCTGTGATGTCTATGGTACTGCTCATGTCTATAGGAGACGGTTACCAATTGCCATCAGGTGGGCCATCAGCTTGTTTGCCTTTCTAAGTTGCATAAAAAAATGTAGTAATATTTTTCCACGTTTCGCTTCAAATGTAGATGTAGATATGAGCTCAAAATTCAAGTAACTACGCTGAATTTTCAATGGCATTTTTAGTCTGTAACTGTGGATCTGTGTTGTTTTTTTTTTGATGGGTGAAAATGGTATAGTAGCCCCGCCTGCGCTAACTGGATACGCTGGCGGAGCACCAGTGAAGGGTGATAGGTGAGAATGAAAACAGGCCAGTTAGCCCATCCTGATGAAACCGCGAGGAGGTCGACCTGGTTGGGTATATTGCTAGCAATGGGATTCTCAGTCTCCATTACTAACAATCCCTTTCCCCCGAATCTGTGTTGTTAACTCATATATCAATGTCGAGAACGTTAAAAAAAATTGAACTCTCCATACTAATATAGGACGTCTTTCAAGTTAAGGACGAGTAATGTTACTTTGGAATAAATGTTCAATTTCACTAGAAGAACGATCCCGTAATATACAATTTCAATATTTTCCAGGTGTACCTAGTTTTTACAGGTATTCTTGTTTATAAGCTGTATTACATTGTTTTAGTCTTATTCCTGTGTTTGTTAAAGTTCTAATGTGTATTAGAGAAAGCTTCAATCTGAAATACCACTTTCCATCAGGTGGGCCGTCACCTTGTTTGCCATTCTAAGTTGTATAAAAAATTATAGAGCTAAGAAACTGTTTCATACGATCTGTGTCTAATAGCAAATAGTTTTTTTTTTTTATTTTACTCGTATGTAAAATTGGAATGGTAGTCACGCCTGTGCTATTGGAATAAGTACGCTGATGGATGTGGTGAACCAGTGAGGGATGATAGGTGATGATGCAAGCAGGTCATCGATTACTGACAACGCCAAATATATAAAAATATAGCAAATGGTTTTTTTTAATGGATGAGAACGGTATGGTTAACCCTTCTGCACTATTGGTTTACGCTGACGGGGCACCAATGGCAGATGATATGTGACGATGTAGGCAGGTCAGTTAGCCTATCGTGACGTATTCCACCAAAATTAACTACGAAGATTTTCAGGGGGAACCGCGTGGAGATCGACTTAATAGGGTAAATTACTAGCAAAGTGGTCCATATTATCCATAAGTAACATCAGCTGGTCATTTTTGGTTCATGAATACAGATATGTATGTATAGTGATACATACGTATCTTTCACGCTTGTCACCCATTAGGGTAGGCAGAAATATTGGAACGCCAAATCCCGTGCTTGTATTGTATGGGAATCGAACCGGCATTAGTAAGTAGAGGTTGTATGTTTAAACTGCTAGATCACTAAAATCGCTAAAATATATTTAAAAATGGGAAGTAACAATAAGTGCTGGTTGGTATGTATTGAAAAATAGTTGTCGAATGACCTACGCTTGGCCAATTGTCAAAACTTTAATTAGTTTCAACTAAATCTATTGTATACGGTGGGGATATAGGGCCATAAACTGGTAGCTGTGACGCTGAATTTCATACTGTAGTGTAGTGACTTTATTTTAAACGTTTTAACCGACCGCCAAAAAAGAAATTATTTTTACTTTTCGCGTGTTCTTAATAAGTTTAGGAACATTGTTCAAAATAAAGTATGGCAACATCGCAGTTATCTGTCAACTTTCAAAATAAGATTGAAAAATGGTTCTGATTGAATATTTAAAAAGTGCTGTGTTAGCGAACTAAAATAATAATAATGGAATACGTTGCATATAAACTCACTGAAAACTGTATCTACTTCTTATTTTGGTTTGGAATTTTTCCATTACATTTTTGTCATCCAAAAAAAAAAAAAATAATTCGGTTAAAATTTTATAAAAATACTGTAGCATGATAAATGTTTCATTTCGCTAATAGAGAACTTATTAAAGGATTAGTCATAATCATTGTAAGTTCTTAAATTGTTTGTTTTTTTTTTTAACTTGACAGATAATTAAAATGTTGCCACAGTTCGGTAAGCTGAAGTTATGAACGTTCTTAGTACTCAGGATATATATATCAAGATCTATATATTGTAGATACAATATCTATACATATATAGACGCAATAACAGATATATTAACTATCGGTTTTCCAATATGTGATATTGAAAAGAAGAATCCGCTCGTAATGAATATAGATATCAGACTGGTATCGCCGGTATCGCTCAATGTACAGAAGAATTTTTTTTTTATACAACTTAGAATGGCAAACAAGCTGACGGCCCACCGTCGAAGTGGTAACCGTCGCCTATAGACATGAGTAGTACCATGGACATGACAGAGTATACTGTTTCGCCCATGATACCCCCCATGCGTTGCCATTCCTGAGGACTCAGGTGTTATTCCTCTGTACCCAGTAAATTGACGCCATATCCCACCCTTCAAACCGAAACACAGCCATGCAAACACAACTGCTTTACGGTTGACAATGGGACAGAGATTGGGTATCTCTGTCCCATTGTCAACCGTAAAGCAATCAACTTTTGTACAGTCTCCCTCTGGTGAAAATATAGATATAGATATCGGATATTAAGAAAATATAGAAATCGGATATTAAGCATCTCTA